AAAATGCAGTTTTGTTAGCACTGTAATAAAGTTTTGAAATAACTGATCTGTAGACAACAGGTTTTTCCATTAACAAAATTTTTCACTAAAAAAATCCAAAAGATATAATCTTTGCTAGTTCCACCATGGAATTCTAATATAATGACAAATATGTCCAAATCTGTTTTTTTTTTTTTTTTCGGGATGGATGGGAATCATCTTTACCAAGTCTCTTTTCAACACCATGTGAAACTTGAAACTTCAATATACAACTGCCAAAAGTTATTGCAAGAAGAAATATCTTAAAAATGTAAATTACTTGAAAAGTTATTATTGAGAACTGTTACTTGGATTTTTCTTTGAAACAGTAATTCTACACTACATTTAAAGGGCAAAGTTCACTATGCATGATAAAATTTTTAATCATATTGCTGACAATATAGGCATGGGCAACAGTAACACAATGATTGGATGCAATCACTTTTTGATTTTGAAAAGCTTTTCAAATTTTTTTCTGAAATGCCGATGTCAATTAAACTGATAGAGAGAATGTGACGTGCAAATAACAATGTACTGCCACATTTATCTTTGTAAATGCAATTTTTTTTTTTTTTTGTTATATAATGCGCTTCTGATAAATAATTTCCTTTTCTCCTTCAATGCTTCATGCATAATTTCAAAAAATTTCTAAAAATAACTGCGAAGGAAAACAACTAATTAGTCGAGAAATATAGCTGAATTAATAATTAATGAATTGGATGACTTTTTTCTGACCACTTAAATTGAATAAATTAAAAAATAGGAATGAATGAATTTCGAGTTACGAAGTTGTTGATCTAAATTGCTTCTTAAAAGAAGTACTGCGAGTTTGAAATGAATTTGAATTCCGTTCATCTGATGATAAGTAGATCAAAGAAGAAGCAAGCAAGATAGTAAGTGCATTTCTTTACTTTTAAAGAAACCAAAAGATGAACAAAGAGAGGGAAAGTGAAAATATATGAATCAGCGTTAAAAATGCCTAAGAAGTATGTTAAAATAAATAACAAACAGAATTTATAGAAGTGCTGCTGTTGGTAACAAACTGTCTCTTAGTTATCCATAATATTGTCAACTTCTCCTGTCTCCCTTTTCCTCATCTTATACGTAGCAGCAATGATTCCTTTCTACTGATAACAACTGTACAAAATAAAATAATACGAATACATTTTTTCCACTGTAAATAGTTCACTATTTGTCATTTGAAAATCAAAACATTTTAGTTTACAGAAAAGGTAGATGAGTAAAAAAGCAATACAATTGATAGCTAATTAAAAAAATTTTTCCAGAAATACGTAATGCTTAAAAATAGCAAAATCATTGATTAATTTTTTGCAAAATAAATAAAACAACTACCTATTTAATGTTTGGAACAGCCGGTCACATCAACCATCCAAACAATCTTAAACATACGGGCACAAAACAAGGAATACAGATATTATTGTCCTCTCCGTATCTCTCTCCTTCCTCTCTTCTGGTGCTGATGAATAGGAAGGAAAGTACATCATTCCCTGTAAACCATCCATTCATTCGTTCATTCATTCATTTCAAAGTATCGTTCTAATTTCGCTCTCAGCTACTTTCATTTTTTAACTTTTCACTTGTGGCAAAACTTGTTTCCTCCTCCCTCTCTCTCTCTCTCTCTCTCTCTCTCTCCATTCCTCTCCTCTCCTCTCCTCTTCTCCTCTCCACGTTTCGTCTCTTCACTAAAATTTTCCTATTTCTTTTTTCTTTTTTTGTCATTTATCTCTTTCCACTGATGAAATTGATGAGCGAAAAAGTTCAAAGACTCTGTTTTTGAACCTGTCCAATTCATTTAGTCAAATCATGCTAGAATTGAATGATATATAGTAGACAGTGTAGTGATTATCCTAAACTAAACTAAAATTGGAAAGAATCAATTTTCATATAAGTATTCTCAAAAAAATCCCACTACTTCTCATTACACCCACTTCATTAAAGGACAACTTAACCGTGACATGTCTACACAACTCGGAATGCAATTTCAGCTCTTTCTGCTGTGGCTGCAATCAATTGTTCTGTTCGAAATATTGGTAAAGTAGCAGCAGATTTGTATATTGAATGTAGTAACTTTGCATGGGAATAAGTTAGGTCGTTTCCATTTAAATAAAGTTGGGATGAAAAATGAAATCTATATTTGAATCAAATTTCACTTAGAGATTCATATCATGAGAATTTTTTTCTTTCTTTTTTAACAAGAGGATAGTTTTTTTTTTGAAGAAAATTTATGAAATGTTTTGAAATTTCTATAATATATATTTTCCTTCCGATTAGTTTCCTTATTAATCAAAATGGAATATTTTTCCTTCTTCATTAAATTTGCCCGCTGTGCTAAACTACTGCTGATCTACTATGTATGTAAACTTATTACTGTTTTCATTTCTATAGTTAGACATCTAAGAATAGCTCATTTGTTCTTTAGCAACTATAATTTTTGCCTCTGTACATTTCAAAGAGATGACATTTCAAAAGAGTGCAGATGAAGAAAAACGAATTGGAAAGCAAATTTATTGAGAAACATTTTTTTCTTTTTTTTTTTTTTTCAAAAGAAAAAATAATGAAATAATATAACATCGAGAAGCAAATTAAGCGGAAAGAAAAGGTTAGCTTGGGAGCTACGCGTATAGCAATAAAATATCTTACTTTGAAGGCTCAAAATCAGAAGCAAAAGCAAAAATACTTCTGTTCAAAGAAACTATTGGAGTGATCATGTTTAGTGAAGTAAATGACAACATCGAATAATTCAAGCTTTCTTGTGAAAAAACTGAAAAAAAATTTTTCTAGATATGCAGAATTTTTAATAATTTATGCAAAAAATCCATTTAAAAAATTTAACTTTTCTACAAAGAAGTAATAAGTTACAAAATATATAAGCTGAAATAGAAAGGAGAAGAGAATTAGGAATTGTAAGAGTGTTCAAATTTAAGTGAAATTTTATAAGGAAAGGACTAGATTGACAAGCAACATGATATTAAAATAGCAACAAAAAATGACAACAGCTAGAAGAAGAGTCACTACTTTTCTTGTCCTTTTTCCTGTTTCCATACCATTCATTTTCATTCATTCGTTTTAAAATTCAAGAAGAAACGATATGCACAAAAATCAGTTTACAAATTTAGTTCAATTGAAAATTTTCATCGCTAACCTCTGCCAAAATTTTCCAGCTTATATTATTTAAAAAGGGAAAACTTAATTTCAGTAAAGAGTAAAAGTAGATGCAAATGTTCGTATTTCATTTTGGCGCAAATTACATTATTTGCATTTATTAGCGCTCTAAAGGTAAACGGTCAATTCATGAAGGAAAATGATCGTACAGTACAGCAGCAGATTGAATAAAGGAGAACACAGACAGACAGGTTAACTGTTACAACGATGATAATGAATGATCGGAAGAAAGCAATGTTTATAAGAAGCGAAGCGGTATTGAAGAGGAACAGAAGATCATTACTCGTTCATTCATGCACAAAAAGCAGAAGATACACAGGAAGTGGAGTGGTTTAATTATTCTCTACAATTCGAGAAATGACCTCTTACTAGCAACGCAAGGAATTATAACTTGAAGCAAATGCATTAATCAAATTTTGAAATGGTATCGACCAATTTGAGATCACAGTAAGCCCTAACTAGATTTCTTGAGTTTTTATCTCGTATCTTCCAACTACCGTATACTGAAAATTATCGTATAACACTTTGCTCTTTCCGGATAGTCCAACATTCAGTGCTCTTGTTTACAGATTTTTCTTTCGTCACTTTCTTTGTTTTTTAGTAAACTAAGCGATAACTGTTTCTTGATTATTACAGTTTCAAGGAAAAAAAAAAAAAAAAAGTTCCAACATATAGCAATATTATTTCGTTTTCTTCCGAAATAGGACGAAAGCGTGACATCAATTAGATGAACAAAATAAATGCAGTTTTTGTGTTAGTGATGTAATTCGTTGTACTTTTACAATTAACAGGAGACAAGTGGACTAATATGTAACAGTTCAATTAACTTGTCATGATGAATTCACGGAATACAAAATGGAATTGACCAATTTGAGATCACAATAAGCTTTTTTAGATTTCTTGTTTTTTTTTTTTTTTTTATCAAAAAAACTACAAAATATTATTAATTATAAGGTATTATAGGTTTTTTTAACGCTATGCAGAGTCAAAAGACCTACAAAGAACAAAAAATGAATTGAAGTCAGCTGAAAGAATGGATTGAGAGTGTACAACCTGTTGCAAGAAAATTGTTGGAAATAAAACTTGGTGCCTTTTCGATATTCTCCTTAATTGGCTTTCCTTTGCTTCACTTTCAGAGAAACTATTACATACTTAATGACAAACGTGTCGATAGTAATCATGATAGTGAGAGTGATAATGATAACTACTACTTACTTGTAGTGCTGCAATACAAAGTGAGAGTAGCCATGACTATAACAAGTTGTCGTAGTAACCCTAACAGTGAAATTGAAAATAACTAGGGTTATAAACAGACTGCTTTGCACCTTTAAATATATTTCTATTCAATTAGTAAGCTATTAAATCCACTTTATTACACTTCTCGTAAAATTAGTTGTTGTCGAAAATACACAAGTAGACAAATCATTAAATCACTTTTATTTATTCACAATTAAGCCACGAAAGTGAAACATAAAAATTAGCATGAAAAATAGAGAAAAAATTATAGTATTGTTATGTTACAATGTGTTCAGAAATTAGAATCGTCATTTAGAGAACAAAATCATCAGATATTAGACAAAATCAAGAAATAACATAGAATAAATAGGCTGGAATTTATATCACGAATACACCAAACCACGGTGATGTTAAAAAACAGTCATTAAAAGAATACAAAAAAAGAAAGAAATCAATGCTCTAGTTTATAGTTTAAAAGCTTAAAAGAAGCCTGTTAGCAAAAATATTCAATCTGATTCGAAATTAAGAAACATCCAACTGGCCTACAAAAACTTATGAAATCGTCAGAAACGGAGATCAGAATATGACTTCGACATTGGCAATTTCCGCCACAAACGACGGGCAAAAAAACCACTTCTATTCCATCCTTCATCTGAAAAAAAGAAAGCTGAATAAATGGCAAATTTCAATGAACAAAAAAGTCGCTGATTTCCAATTATAAACAAATTTGCGGCAAGTTTAACTAATAATATATTTAATTTTTTGATGTGAATATAATGTTTTTAATCAAAACTAACCACTTCGATCTTTGCTTTCCACGTTATTTTGACTGGAAAAGTGTTTATTTTTAATTAAGTTGCCAACGCGTGCACGATCTCTCATCATTGTTTGTTGGGTCTTGAAAGGAGAAGCAAAAGCAAACATTCATTGAAAGTAACAATGTTTGATAATTTCTTTATGATATAAGTAAATGCTAGAAGCATTCATAGTAATTACCAATTAAAAAAAACAAACACAGGATGAACTTTCAAGGAACTTGGTTTGACTTGTTGTAAAATCAATACCTGTGTCGCGCCAAGTGTAGCTACAGGATCGATTTGTACATAAACCGTACGCGAAGCTTCGGCTGATTTTTGCGGTAGATTTCTTCTAACTTTAGTTTCCAAATTACAGTAACTTCCTGAAAGTGAGGCCGCTGCTGTGCACAGTAGTATTGGCTGGGGTTTTTCTGCATTCATCTCCTTTGCAGCTGTTAAAGAACTCTGAAAATATCGAATTCCGATGGCAAACACAAACATATATATATATATATATATCTTCGGTTTTTGTAAATCCAAAAACTTTTTCTGATTAAACATGATTTCCGAGTACTGCAAGCTTCTAAAGAAAACATCTAAAAACTTGCTCACTTCAAGTTACACTTTAAAATGTAGTGTTTTAATCCCTTGTCGTACAAACAATTACAAAATCAAAGAAACAATCTGTGTACTTTCACGACTCATTAAAACCTTACCTTCAAACTTCCAACCCTGGATGGCTCCTTCCTTGACAGTTCCATATCTGTTCTCACTGAAGTTGGAGAAAGGCTTTCATTTTTGATAGATTGTCGATCAGATGTCATCAAAAAGCTGGAATTTTATTTCATACACTGTTTCTCTAATTTCAAATACTCGAAAAATTAAATAAAAAAATGCCAGAACTAATCAATTATATTTGATTCTGTAGAACTGTTACATTTAGAAATCGAATTCTAAATGTAACACTTTAAACATATTATTACGATTCAAGAAAAAAAAAAAAAAAAAGAAAAATCTAACTTCAAAGAATTGCAGCATTCATTGACGGTTGGTACAACAGTTTTTACTGGAGATTTCTGATCGTAGTTCAGTAAACAAGATTCAGTAACGTGAGAAGGACCAATAGTTGACGCAGTCGACGGTATTTCCATGTTTTCTGACAGTGCTGTCCAGCCTGAACGGCTGAAATGAACCTTCTCGTTTTTACACTACATAAAAATCAAAACTCGAGCATGAAAGACCTTTATGAAACATGATCCAAATTACAAATAATAAACATATTCCATCGTTCAGATGTTTCAGTTGTGACAAGCTGTAGATATACGTAGCACGTAATAATCAAATGAAAAATAAAAAGCTTTAGCCAGACCTAGACGAAGTTGTTGGACTTGCTCTGTCAGTAAATCCCGAATTTCGCCGTTCAGCTTCAAGTAAACGAGCTCGACTCTTTTCCACTGCCGATTCGATACTGTCAACCACAAGTCCCGTGCATTTAGCATCTTCTAGATTGAAATGATTTGCGGATCGTTCACCGTCATACTTCTAGGAAGACAATACAGTATGAAAAAAGTCGATACAGTATAAAGGAATCGTAATATTCCTTTTTTTTTTTCATTATTAATTAAATTTTTGATTTACTGCATTTGATTCCTTTCACAAATCACTGCAAGTTTCTATAACAATATTACTAAATTCCTTTAAAAACTTCAAGATATCGGAACTGACAAGAAAACGCAAAATTATCACTAAGGATTATCACCTACCGAAAATGAACCTGAAATCGAATTTTGTAGGCTTTTAGTGAGTATATGACGAGCACGTATAAGGCTAAATTTTCTGGGTGGTAATTTGATTAGGCCAGGTAATCTATTCATAGACTGCGAAGATAATGATGAGGCAAAACCTAAAAGAATCATGAATCGAGGACAAACACATTATGACAACTTCATATTTTTGAGCATAGACAATTAATTCATTTATGCAACATCCTAAACCTCCCAAATGTATCCGGAATCGTGAAAAGAATGCAACAACTATCAATTCGGAAACCAATAATAAACAGCTTCCTTAATCAAAGGAAATCTTTGCCGAAGTATTTCCAACTCACGCTTTTCTAGATTTTTTCTTTGTTCTTGACCAGAATTCCGAAAAATAAACATTGACTACTAACCTTGGGTTGTGAATTCTAGTTCCTGCAAACCATCAGGTATTACTCGATCAATTTGGTTAGTGTCATCATTGGATGATGATGCCACTGCCTACAAATTTCGGAGCTAGTTAATGCTTGATTTTTATCCAAAACAAAATGAACAAAATAAATAAGGATTAGAACTAACCACTGCTTCATGATGCAACATTGACGGTAATGCTAATTTATCCAGTGATGACGAAAACTGAAATAAAGTTAAATACAAACATAATAAGTATTTTAGTAGATTAATTAATTTAATTGAATAAACTAATGAATGAGCAAAATAAATAAAGTGAAACAAATTATTTATTAATTAGACAGGCCGAATAAGTAAATGAATAAGTAATAAATAAATAAAATTATCTTTTAAATTATATAATTTAAATTATAGAGAATTATGTAAATGTATTTAAAAACATTTAACAATACGACATAGATGAGATGTGAAATATAATAAAATCGTCCTTCTAGCTAGCATAATATAAAGCAACGTTACTCGCTTACTTTACAAGCATTTAAATCATTAATCGATTTTCTCACACCACCAATAATGCGTTTTGCGCGGTTCCAATTTCTCTCTCGTGATGAATTTAAATATTTAGATTCCATTCCCAATGACCTTGAACGTTTTGGGAGACGTCTACCAAAACAGAAACAATTATAAAGCATTGAATACAACTGAATGGAATGTTTAAAAGTTTGATTATGATTATAGGATCAAAACTTGGAATTTTTTTGTGGTTTTATTACAAAATAGCAATACATTATATCTCCAAAATTTTAGAATTGTTTCCCAAACCGAAAAAAAAGTGTATCGAATTTACCAAAGCAAAAGTATGAGTCAGAAGAGACATGTACTTTAGGAAAGCTTGAAGGATCACTACATAGCATAGCACCATTAAAATATGGAATACATTATTAAGAACCGGTAGGGTTAACTTTTCTGCATGCTGTTTGAGTTATAATAGTATGGCAGTAGAACAAAATTTCAGTTAATTCGATTAGAAGAGGCATATGCTTTAGGAAGAACTAACTCAGATTGTCCCCGAAAGTTGCCACATTCGTAAGGTTTGCTCCCAGCACTTTTTTTTTCTTGCTTCACAAATCGTCCTTTAGTTTCTCTACCGTTAATGGCACACCATTTCCGAGTACGCACAGACATTTCTCTCTAAATATTGCCAACTAACATATGGTGTAGGATATTTGTTTATCACAGATCTCGATATGTATAACTTTGGTATGCTTCCGAAATATCTCTGAAGCAAAAGACAAAATCTCGCAAAATTGGAGGCCGAAGAGTTTGTCTGCTTGCATTATTATAGAAATCACGCCAGAAGTTATACAATCACGTTAATTTGGTCTTTGTTGAACTTAGTAATTTCAGTAATAATTTCTGTACATATTAACTACTTTAGTTATACAACACTGCTCACCTTTGTTATGTATTCCAGTTTCATGTGGATGATTTTACCGTTCCACCTAATTCCATCTTTCATAGAGTCATTTGCAATTAAAAAAATTCACGTATAACTAACCCCTCGGATGGCTTCATTAGTCATTGGTCTTGGCCAACTATCTGCACGTGATAAGCATTTAGTTGACGTACTGGTCGTCGAGAATACTGGAATATTGCGATCCTTGGTGGGTGAATTGAGGAGGACATCGGATGATCTATCCCAGTGACCGACGGATAAGACGGAAGGTTCACTCTGCGAGTGCTGGCATTCCTCACCTATATCATTTACATACGGCACACAGCACGATACCATCGATGGTGCATTAGCTGAATATAGCATAATCATTACACATACATACATACATATACTTTGAGGAATGGGATTAATTGCAACTCCCACCGATGCATCACTATAGCTTCAGCAAAGTCATTCGACGTGGTGTCACGCAATACGTGGTCATAGGTGATACTGCACACTAAGCCTATCTCATTTTGTTCTCGCTTAAATGATTCTATCAGACTTTCAGAACATTTTCTATCCTGCTCTAACCCGATCAGTCGTTACCATTTCCTGATTATGGTTACATATTCAGCTAAATGGGATGTTTAGTCCAAATAGTAACTGGACTAGTATCCTATTTACAAATCGTTTTGATAACTATAACAAAGCACATGTATAGCATTGATTCAAGTAACGATAGAAAGTAATGTAAAAGTATCATAAGGTCTTGGTATAGCTCTCGAATGCAACACATAAATGCATGATTCTGCAGTGATTGAATATTTGCGTGTATCACTTACATAACGGAAGAAATCTGGAATCGGTCAGCACATTGACATATGAAGCAGATGCATCAGTTGGGGACACTGCAAGCAAGCAGAAACAGCGTTTTATTTAGTTAATCAATGCAAATTCCATGCGTTTATATCTGATGATCATAAATCTTCCATTAAGTAAGAAATTTTTGAAATTAAAAGTTCGATAAAGTATCAACATTAAGTTTTAGTACTTGGAATAGTGTCGAGAACTGAATGTGAAGGAAAAGTACCTGATGTTTTTGATTTTTGGCTCGAAGTTCTACGTACACTGCTAAAATTGAAATACATAAGTGGTTGGGAAGCAAAATAGTGAGGAATACCATGTTTGGCTAATTACATGTCTCCAAAAAGCAAAAAAGAAAGGAAAAATTTTTTCCCAATTTCTTGATCTCATGAAAGTTTTTCTAACTTAAATCGATTGTCTTAAATCTGTTAACTTTCAAAAATGATATGAACTTACGAAAGGCGAAAATGATTCGTTTCAGAGTTTTGAATGTTACACATATTGGAATGCTGGATTACCATTTTTGAAGAATCAGTGAATTTATCCTCATACCACAATCCATCACCTTCTTTCTGCTTCAAGAATGCGGTAAGTACTCCCTGAATAAAAAGATTATTAAATGAATGTATTGTTATTGAAAAGAATATAGCTCCGACGCTAAACGGTACATATTTTTAAACTGACGTGGTGATAGGGAAGCAGATCCAAACCATGGATCAGACGTCTCATTCAATTAAATTTGATGTGTGTCCATCACGTTCTGACAGACTGCATTCTCGGACTTGCGTCAAATAGTAATACTATCGCATTCCACTGCCGTTTGAGTAACCTAAAAAGTTATGCAAAGTGAAATTCATAAATTCAAACGGAACACGAGAACAACTTACAGGTTTATTAGCTAAATTGTAGTGCTTCTCGAGGAGCTGTATTCGTCCACAAACCAGAGAATACATGCCATCATCCAAACCACTTCTATCATTTGCGAAGAATTGCAACTTATTGTCGTTAAAACAAACCCGAATGATTTCGTTCAGAAACCAGAAACCAATCAGACGTTGTGGATAGCCATCAACAAGTGCTATCCGGCCATCCTAAAATAAAAAAAAATTCTAGGAACTGTCCTGAAAAAAAAAAAAAAAAAAATTAATTCTCCAAAAATTTAAACGAACAAATTTAATTGTACAACTGTCTCCTTCCATTCTACAACTATCCCCTTCCATTTCCATTTTTCCCTTCTTTTCTATCACCTAGAAACATAGTACTTTTGCATGGAAAGAGCAAGCAATTATGAAATTTCAAAAACTGACATGGATATGCAATCGAACTTCGCAATTTAACGAGTCATATGCACGACTTGATTCGGGTGCACCCACCAGCTGTGCATAAAATAGTGAACCTACAAATTCACACACGTATATATTTGTAAAATAATGGAATTGATTTAGAAAATGTCGAGTAAAGAAGTAAACTTTCTGAATCATTTGGCTATTATTGTTGATATTACTAAGAAAATGATTTATCACAGTTTTTGACAATAGAACAATGGATGTATCAATTACTTTTCAGTTAATAAAAGGACAGGAATGAATGATTTACTTCCTAATTCTCAGTCTGATCACATTATTCATCATCTGCAAGACTTTTTTTTTTTTTTCTAATTCAATAGTTTAGATTTGACAACATTGTGATATAAATATTTTCAGGCTTATATTACTGCCAAGAATTCTTTGAGATTATCTCAATAATGCAATGCAACTTTTCTTATCGTAAAACTTGAAACTATTGTTCATGGAAAATCTCAGTGTTGAATTCCTTCTTATTTCAATTTTAGTCAGTTAGTTTAGTTCACTCTAAGTTCTATAAAAATCAAATATCAGTTAGCTAAGAAATAAATTATTATTGCAGGATCATGTAATAAAAACTATTCGATAGCGATGTGTTGAAAAATTAATTGAAGATGGGAAAATGAGCAAACTTTCAGGGTTCAAATGCAAAATAGAAGAAATGTAAGGTAAGATAACACTGCGATGTAATATGACAATGTAACAGACTTATTCAAGCAATTCATTATTATTTCACAGTCAGTCCAATACAGAATCAGTAGACGTGGTACTTTCTCAGCTTTATGAGTTCTGTAATATATTTTAGCAGAACTACGATAATGCTTTACCCGCTGTCATTTCTATATCATGATGAGGTATTCTAACGTGGTGGACAATTGATGTTTTTAATGAACAAACACTAAACAAATGATTACATTGATCGATCGACAAATTAGACCAATGGAACAATTATATTAAAATGTGATGCCTCATAAAAGAGAAATAATACCAAAAATTTGCAAGAGCACTGAATAAAACAGAGCTAATAAGTATTATTAACCTTTGAAGCACGTATGATAAATCCAAGTCTCCCACATTGTTAGTATTTCAGCTGTTTGAAACGAAACAGTCAAAATATCTGGTTGCGTAATAACACACATTGTATTATTCTGCTTTTTCAACTCAAAACCTGAAAAAGGAAACTATCGTTAAGAGTAATACCAGGCTTGCTTTCAATTAATGTACCAATCAAATATTTACTATTCCACTTTTATAATTATGAAGCAAAATTTCTCCAAAATCAAAATCACAAAGAAAAGAAAAATGAAAAACTAACCAGTTTCCAGGCCTACGAAGGTACCAAGTGAGATCGCTGATGTTTCGCTATTTTTTAAACGTCGCTTATGATTTTTGTAAACATATAGCACAACGACACTGATGTCATTCGGTTGTGAACATAATAAGTAACACCGTGTCCACTGAATCATTATACATTTTGGAAATAACGAAAAATGGTTAATGTTACTAAATCACTTATTATGCTTACTTCAAGGAAGGGCTTATTTCTAATCAAAATTAATTAACATAGATTAATGCAGCTTTAAAATGAGAACCGTTTTATTTTTAAAAATCAAACAGCTGGACTCGATACTTCTTCCTGCTTCATTGAACATAACTGATGAACCCTTCATTCTTCACTGCTAATGATTTTCATTTATTCCATCTCGCTGGAAAACCATTATGAGCAGATGTAAGTTAATTAAGACATACCAAATTAATAATATTATCAATTCGTTCTACCACAAAATTTAAATTTTAAAAGCTATTATTTCTTCTCCTACAGAAAACTAAGCTATTCTATGATCTAGGAGGGATTACGATTACCTCGAAGTGAATTAGGAATCATTTATTTTTGCTAAGAATTACAAAATCAATTGGAAAACAGTGAAACCAGTAAGTGATTCATCAGATGCTGAAAGTCGAATTTAGCGAGATAAAATTAGGAGAAACAAGTAAAATTTAGAAAAGTTGAACAAATGTGGCACAATATTAACAATTTAAGGATGGTTCAAATGGGTACAAATATTGGTTGGATAGGTGAGAAGAGATAGTATAATGATAAGGAGATGTGCGATGTCATCAAATCAGAAGATGTTAGACGAAGGGAACGGGGACAGATTGAATGATTCGGGGTGGTGGAGGACAAATGATTGAAAAAGAACATTATTAAGGGTGATGACGGTGGTGACAACAACGTTGGAATAGTGCCTCTAAATAGTAAAAAGAGGAAAACGAAAATCATAAGGTATGTGTCGTTCAGAAAACAACCAGTTCTTTCTTCTCGACCGATGCAATTGCTGCCTTCACTAATGGTTTACCCTAAACGAGTTAGACCACCTTCATTTTAATGACAAGCACTGCAAACATCTAACTCCAATTACTCCGTAAAAAACCCGTTTAAGGCACTACGGCTTTTCAGAATTCTACATTATGCCACTGATCCATAAAGTTAGCTGCTGTATTTGAGTCAAAGAAGGTGTCTACGATAGACTTTCAGAAAAACCATTTCTGATTTTTTTGAAACAATTGGGAATTTTAAGGCATTAAAAAAATGCTAAGTTAAATAGCGCCCTCTTTATACAAATCAGCTTTTTCCGAGGAATGGTTTTTTTCAAATCAACTTAACTATTAAATTAGCCCACTAAACGTCCTTAAAGTTTGAGATCACACCTTTACCCGACTGTTTTGCTATACGATATGACAGAATATAGACAAAATTTTTATTCCAAAAATACTAAAATATTTAAATCAAGATAAAATCGTTCGCAGGATATGATTTCATTTCCATCAATTGAAATTTGAAAAAGTGAACAGAGCTGGGTAAAAGGCAGGGGTTAAAAAAGCAGAAAATTACTGCACAAGTCCTATCACACGTAAATCAGCAAATGGTTATTCATTTACATGAGCTTTTTTTTTTTCAAATTAAAAAGAATTAAGTGATGAATTTTCTTCTAATGAAGAATTATGTCGCCAACGCAATAAGTTGTAGCAGTGCAAACAAACTCGCACTGGCTTCGCGCTAGAAGGCAGCTTGACACGCGCATCGGTGCATGAATTGCAAAATATAGAGCCGCAGTTCCTAAAATAGAATTTACTTTTACTTCTTAAAACAAAACATAAACTTATTAATAAACATTATCCCAATTCTCGATCATTAACACTTAAAAACTGACCCTCCTGATTCAAGCTCAACTTCCTCATCCACTTCCTAAAAGAAATACACAACAAACACTTGCTGGACAGACCTGCAGTGATGTTTTCGTTTACTCATACTGAATTGCAAATTACATCCTTTACAATTCAAAACATTGCCATCTTTTTCCCATTCAGCTTCCGAAAGAGGCAATAGTTCTTCTTTCAATTCAACTACTTTTAATTTTGACCTGAAATAAATTTTTCCTACCGATCGTCAAAAATGTTAGGCATAAGACTAGTGCTAAATTCTAAGGCATGAGACTAATATAAATTCTACGTAGTATGGACTAGTAACATACTCCGATAGATGACCACCAAGTTCTTCTAAAGCTTTTTCACAATCCTCCAGTTTCTCACTTTTATATTTATAACTAGCAGTCAACTCTTCGAGTTCCTGAAAAATGATCGAAATTATAAATAAGATGAATGATATTTTTAATGAATAATCAGTGAATGCAGCAAACGGTAGATGAATAAAAGAATATATAAGAACAAATTATCGGTATTTTCGCACTTCATCAGCGCGCAATAGTTTCACCAATTCTTGCAGCACAGCTACGTTTGTTTTGAAGTTTACCATCGAAAGTGACGACCAAAACGGCAAAATTTATGCAACATTCATTATTTTAAGCAAAGAATAAGATAAACCTGTTTTATCACAGGCAACTGTTTCAGCTTTTCATTCAGCTCTGAAGTCTGACGTTGCAATTTTCCAAGCCGGTCATTCGCAACAGCCAATTCTTGCTAAATATGTAAACAGATGTAAACAGAATGTTTTTATATTTTTATTTCACATGCAGAATACCTGTGCTGATTCTTTTGAATTTGCGAGTAGATTTCGAAATTTTCAAGTCTTAAACCTTTTCACCTGTTTCTTTTCCAACACGCTCAATGTTAGCATGTATTCATCAGTTTTGTCAGCTAGCTCCTTTTTCAACATTTCCGAAGTCCCAGCTTCCTGTTCTAAATCCATTTCACGCATAGAATTTTTCTTGTTCAATACATCAATCACCTGCTGTTGCTGCTGTTTCTCCTTAAAGAGTCAAATTTATTTAACACACTGAGTTTAAGTTCAATATTTTATTTTTAATTACAACCACAAATGAAATGTTATGGTATGTCGATGAAACTATAATCATTCTCTCATTAAAAAAAATTACATGGTTATGTCGTTTATTGGCACTAATCATATCTTTTTCCAACTGTCGACATTTCCCTTCTACAATACGAATTTTTTCATACAAATCGACATTCACTTTTTTCGTATCTGCTAGTTGTTGCCGTAAAATTCGTATGGAATCTTCTTTTTCAGACGCTAACTGAGCTAGTTCTTCTCTGAAATACAATTAACGTTAGGAATTTCTTTTTTTTTTTTTTTTTTGCTTCAAACAATGTCTAAAACAGAATGATAACAAGCACAGACTTCTCCTTTTTTAATATTTCCACTTCAGCAATATGATCATTAAACATCTTCGGCGTATCTTCCGTTGCAGCACTAGCTAACTGGAAAAATTACTTTCAATATTTAATACACATTTATGTTTTATTAGAAAACAAAAAAACAAAATTTTTACCAAAAAATGTGGCATATATAGAAATTCGCACTTAACGTGAAAGTAAATTCAAAGATATTATACTTCTAAAAATTACAAAATATCTTACACTGATATTATTGGGACCAGATAGATTGATTTCTTCTATTTTCGTCTTCAATTCAGCCACTTTAGATCTACAGTGATGATACCGAATTATGAAATAAAAACAAACTATGAGAAAAAAACTTTCCTTTTCCCAACTTACAATGCTATACTCTCATGTATACTACAACAATCTCATTAAAACCAATATATTTGGAAAGATCTACTGGGATAAATTTTATTGTCAGAAAAAATTTACAAAAACCTTACTCCAAATAATTATTTCGTTGTTCCAAATAATTTTTTTGATCAAGGGCGAGTTCCAGCGACTTTTCATCAACCATATCAGATTCCTTTTCACTATTAGGGTTATTCGATAGGTTTGGTAAACGTACATAAGCCGCCAGCTCAACGGTTCTTCAATACATTTGTTTCACAGTTAAAAAACAAAAAGCCAGGAAAATCATCATTGAAAGAAAAAAAAAAGATGAAATATCTGAATGGCCAAACGACAGAAAATCAAAGAAAACAAAAGTACGCATCAATAGAAATTCGAAACTTACACGGGTTGATTTTCTAGTTGTGGTCGATCTAGTGCCAAATTACAATCAAGAACTGAAAGTGCCATCAGTGTTCCAGATAAACCAATGCATTCGTCATGTCGAATCAATGCCCACGGCTCGTAGAAGTCCCGGAAAACGTCTTATGAAATATCATATTCTACTAATCTTTACGAACCATACAATAATACGTTATGGATATGAACCTCTTCATTCTTAATCTAAGCACAAAGCATAAATCGGGGATCCTAATATCTTCACGAGTTCCTGTCGTATGTTTGGAAAGTAATGAAATAAATTCGTTAAATTTTCTCGAATATACTGTTACGAAAACGAGTGTAATATGGCAGCTAGTTTTTAAATTCTCTCCCAGTTCAGCAAAATTCTGAAAAACATTTTTGTATGGAAGGACTACCTGATGTAACTTGAAGTGACCAAATTCTCGAAGTAGACGCCCAATTTCTTCTGCATCACGGCTAATCTCAGGAAAGCTCGAATGCGAAGCAGAGGGGTTCTGCAAACCGACTGCCGATACCGATATTGTATGTCAAATATTGATAATTGTTTACCACAATTTTTTGTGAAAATGATTTAGTATCCAAAAAATAACAGCTTACGTGATCTTATCAAGACGGTCAATGCATTGGTAACTTTCATTCATATCTGCATTTACACTTGCAACTTTACCAAGACAACTCCACAATTCAGAATCTGGAGCACGAAGAGCTATCATTGTCTTCTGAACTACAAAAAAAAGAAGATCAAATGTGGATCTGTCAGAGTGAAACAACAGCATAAAAGGTGTCTTTAAAGGAAAATATTTTACTAATATTGCTTGTGTCTCGCCATTACTCAAATGAATTTCCAAAGTCATCCACACTTCCATTTAACTGAGCAATACATGATACCACTTGAACCTAATGTTACAAACTCCTTCAGTAATACATTCTAAAAAAATTTTTGGTAATGCATAAAAAATTTTGAAACCTGAACTTCTAAAACCATGCCACAAAACTTTCTCAAGTATGACGAAGAGATCGGTAAGTGGGCGTATTTCGGTATTGATGATACGATGTCGCGAATGCATACTTTCATCCAGAAATATGCGCAATACTAATCTAGTGATTAACAATAAATTGGATCGCTCATAATCTAAAAGACAAAATTTAAAAAGAACGAAAGAAATAATGACAGAAAATTAAAAAATTTTTTTGCACTAATTATAACTGAATTCCTCGAACAACAATCACTGTTATTCTATACAACTCAGTTTCACCGTTTGATTAAGAAAGACTAAGGTTTAAAATAAACTGCCTGAACTAACGTTCCAGTGCACTGCAAAAATAATTTTTCTGGTACACAATGAAATACATATGGAACTACATGAGTTAACACATGTAAGAAATTGTGCATCTATTTATTATTTCCGTAGCTTTCAGCAAATTAATAATAATAATAACGCTTAATAACCAAACTCTTAACTACTGTATAGCTCATAACAAGTTTTAAACTTCCGATATACACACGATGAAACATAAAATGTGTCAATCTATTTCATACAATAATCATTCTTCATAAAACGGTAATTGATAATAACTATAAATTAATGTAAGAGTCATTTAAATCAATGATAAGCAGATTAAAAAGCAATTAATGAAGGAATACACGTATTCGGTGTTGCACTTACTTTACGCTATGCAATAAATTGATTATAACAAAACCTTTCGTGAGTTTTTGAGTTTCAGTGAGAGTGTTACTGAAATCGAATCCAAACAATTCTAGGACGTTCATTGCAGTTGAAACGTTGCAACAATACAATCAGTAAAATGGTACCTGTAAATAATGAATGATATGAATCAACTCACAGTTAGATTTGCTTGTTATCACAAAATAGTTCTCACTTGTTCAGTCTGAAACATCGCTAAATATGAAGTGATGGAATATGATGTCATCTTACAGTTTATTCTGTATTTCCTGATATTATTTGACTATTAATCTTCGCATACCCATCCCTATATTTCAGTGTCCTGAATTGAAACTTCTAGATGGTTTCGAGAGTACTTAGAGAAATTCCGAATCATCTCGTCCTAAAAAAGCAATACAGAAGTGAAAGTATATATATCGTATCAGATGTAACTTTTGGAAGATGCTTATAATTTTCGCAGAAATCTGCTGCCATTACAAAACTATCCAGTCCGTGTTAACATGTGATAGAAAAAGAAAAAAAAAAAAATGATTTGAAATGAATGAAAAATGAAACGATTTGGAGTGGTTGCAAAAGATGAAGGGATCAAAAAGTGCTGCATATCAGGCCAACTTGCAGTAATGTACTTGCAGCAACATGCGCTATGCATGAAAAGTGACACAACACGTCCTACTTACACCTCTTCCATACGGACATAACATTTGCGAGATGTCGCATTCTGACCCAACAACGAGTCGAAACTGTTATTTCCTGGAACGATTAGCTACAGAGTAAGGATAGGAAGGGCTTTGACGTCACGTGGGGTGACAACCCGTCATGTGAAATTCCGGTAGTTCCTAGTTACTGTGAAGTGCTCGTATTAACCATTTATTACCTCAATAATATTGATTTGTTAATACCTTACCATAAGTCATCCTCATCATCCTATCCTATCCCTTAAAATTTTTGACGAAGCACAATGGGGAAGATTAGATCGAGACTATTTGTCATGTTGCTACTTCACTAAATAGAAATATGTATGTCATTACCAGTTATGCTGTAGGCTACCATCGATTTTAGTTTACTTTCATCTAATCTTTCATCTTTTTCATCTTTTGTTGTTTAAAGGTGCTGTTGCTCTTGTTTACTCATTTATCTCTGTTCCTTATTATTTCCCACTTTAGGTACCTCTTTTATCACATCTTCCCCAGAGTAACAGCTGATGGGGAAAGGAATCCATTTGGTATGTCAGGATGATTGCAAGAATCTTATGATACTTTAGATCCAGCTAAAGTCCATTATATGACATCATGTGCAATTGTTCTATACGATTGAGATATATTTCTCAGCACTGAAATTGTTTGAATGCTTATGCACTGCTAATACCATCTTATATGGTATCCCTCTATTATCTATTATCCATCTTTGAAATCTATATGAATTCGCTTCCTTACTTTGTGGCATCATATTCTTCCACTATGCAAAATGTTATTACAGCCATGATCCTCTAATAGCCTTTTTGAAATTAGCTCAGAATGAAGCTAATTTTAGATCTTCAAAATTTATAAAATTTATGAGTCTTTAACCTATTTTATTGCAATACGACTCTAGTGTGGTTCTATGGCACTGCGTACATAAATTATGTTCTCCTGCTGGACTGAATTATGTTGCTATTGTTAATGTATCTTTGGTCACAGATCTTTAGATTTGCGTGCTCTTGTATTTTCATCTTGTTGATTATAGTTATTCTTGCACTACGGATATTTGTATTATCTATTATTTACATGAGTTATCCCATGCTGAAAAGTAGAAAGTAGTGTAGTAATGTCACTATTTGGGAGTTTTTTCAGGGGAATTTGTTACTGTTGCTCGTGTTGACCTTTGTGCAAAGATTTAAAAGATGAGTAATGCAACAATTGATGATATTTATGACGCATGCGAACGTCTGGATAAAGCCAAAGTTAAGGTTGTTCGTTAGCTTTTTTTTATCTGTAGATCCAGAATGTTTCAAAAACTACGAATACACTCGATAATATTGTAATGGCAGAAATAAACGTTATATTGTGACTCTTTGTTATAAGTAAGCAGTGAATGCATATTTTATTAGACGGATTTAATATTCCTTTAAGATGTAAATTATTTAATGACGATGGCTTAGCAAACTTGAGTTTAGTATCTTTTGGTAGCATAATGACTATATAAGTGCACGAAGTTGCAGGACGCCGAAGATTACAAAATTTTCATTTCTGGTACGAAGGGGAACGATGGAAAAGTGAAAAAACTTTGTGCTCATATGATCGTTCGATACTGGCAAGATTTCACGGATCTGCGGAATGTAGCATTTTATTCACTTGTTTCACTGTTGGAAGATCGAGATCCTGATGTATCCTTTTTATTTCTTCCATTTGTTGAATTTTGATATTTAATTCTGTTCCATATCAATTTTTTTCTTCTGATTACATGCCGAATACGCTTGCAGATTCGAAAAGCAGTGATTCGTGAAGTATCACATGTAGTCAAATCTGGGGAACTTGTTGATAAAATTGCTGATGTACTGTCGCAGATGTTGCAGCAAACGGACGAACTGCAAGAAATAACTATGCTTACCAACGTCCTTGTTCAGTTCCTGAAGTCTCATCCGAAGGGTTGATGCTTGATAAATACAGAACGTTTATGGCATGCACTGATAAGAATTCTTTGGATCAGAATAATTTTTTTGAACTGTTGAAAATTCTCTATTTTTCTTCAAAGTATTCGTAGGAGTTTTAATAATGATGCTCATACGCAGATGTACTTTCTGCGATATTTGTTAATGTTGTGAAGTCGGAGGAGGAATCGGTACGTTTGCGATTATTGAAATTCATCCAGTTGCATGTACGGGATATTCCTGTCAATTTGATGAACGAAGACTTAATGATATCCATTGAACATCACATCCGAGAGGTAGTCATATTCCTTTTCTGCTGTCAACGTCTTTTATATTGAGCGGTCATTTCTACATTATTAACTAAAATTTTTTGCAGGTGCTTAGAGATATCACAGCTGTAGAATTCGATTTGATTTTTAATTTTATGCGTTCGTTGGAGTTTTTCCGAACGGCGAAAGGACGTGTAATACTGTACAAAATCGTTGTTGATCAAATACAAATTGATGAACCATTTCCTGTATTTTTTTTAACAATTTTTTCAATGATTTTAGATTTGCAGTTAAAGTATCCGTAAGTTGCCTTCTTTGAAGATTGTGGGGTGAGGTTGAACAATTTTTGTTGCTGACCAGTAATGAGGACCTAAAAATATTCTTTAAATATTTATTCTTTAACTGCAGAATCAAAATATTTTTGTGTTGAAATAATTAATGATCATATTTTATCATGAGCTGCTCTAATGATACAATTAATTTTCAATTTATAGGCTAACGATCCTCAGCGTTTTGATCAGATATTGTATTTTGTTGAACGAGCGCGATTACTTCTTTCGGTGGGTTTTCTAATAATGTAACGGGAAAATTGCACTAACATTATGCGAATCATCCTTTATCTTATCCTTGTGTGGTCATTTACCGTCTTATTGTTTACATGTATTGTTTGCTTTCTGTAAAAAATTATAGAACTGGTAATGTAATATTATCCTAGGCCAGTTATCGGGGCAGTGAACTGGTGAACTTTATGATATCCAAAGGCATTCCTGTACTTGAAGAAGTGGATGCAGCGTTACGTATTAGATTTTTACGAATTCTGGTTGAGCTTGCTCCGTTTTCGAAATCACTGGACCGTAGTGATTTAATGATTCTGTCTGACTATTTTTCGGTTGGTATTCTCTATATCGTCTGTTAACATTTTTTGTTGGACCAAACTATCTTCTAGTTTTAATTACCGTTAAATTGATAAGAATCACATTCAGTAAGCTAGGACTAGCGCTGTCACTTTTTTATTTGCTCAGCATAAAAAATGAATAGTTTATATATGTAAATATTTATGATTAGCTTTAATAAGATTAAATGTATTCGGTTTCTAGAAGCTTATTCCTCCACTGCCATCGGAACGTTCCGATGAAAATATGGGAGATGTGGACGCATCATTGGAACAAGAATTGCGTCTCAGCGAATTGGAAACGACTTCCTTAGCTTTCGCATCATTTTGTAGAACAGACAAAACAGCTTTTGATTACACGTTGGAACATAGCAAGGATTCAGCTAATTGGAGAAAAAGGTCTTTTTTTTATGTTCATATCATCCATTTTCTCGAAAGTATGCACTCTCAGAGAATTTAACATGATTTCCAGTAGTTAGGATATGTGTTAGAAGGATGACAGCAGTTAGGCATTATGATTAAAACAAGGAGGTGTCGTACGTTATGTTGGTTGATGTAAACAAAGATAAGTGCTAGTTATGCCGTTGTACTGATACTTGACTGCCAGTAGTTAGGATATATATATATATATAACATAGCAAAAGTACAGCTGTACCTTTCTACTATCTATCTGATTTATAGCAGAATTTTTCAGAATCATTTACTTGGGTCGGTTGTTGCAACACTATATCATTTCGGCAAATTCTGAATTACAGAAGATGCGTAAATTGGAACCATCTAAACGAGATACGAATCAGCTTTTGTTTCAGCAAAATTCCCTGAAAATGGCAGAAAATACTCTTCATCTAACAAAAATGCTTGCTCATAAATCGCCTTCCTTTATTTTTGTCATAACACCAAGCTGGAAGATGGGAAGCAGGTATAGTTTTTGTTCCTATGTAGTGATTTTTTAAGGCATGTTGAAATCTGCGGTCTTTATGGACTTCTTCCAGAAAGCGAGACTATGAGTCGGAAGTTGGAACGGAACAGAAACGAAAAAGACCTGTTCTTCATTTCTACGTACCACCTGGTGGAAAATATAGTGGTGAGCGTTTCGGACTTGTTTTGAATTAATAGTGTCTCACCGTATGGTCATGCAACGCAAGTCTTATTCCTTCTGTTAGCATATTTGCCGAGCAATACAGCATATTTTACTAACTAATCCGATTTCAAGTTTAAGATTCATTTCTTGAGGGAAATTAGCAACTATTGTTAATGCAACAATTTCATAGTTTAATTTACACTCTTTGGGAAAATATAAGATTTAAAATATATGCAGAAATCTCTAGAGAAGAAAAACGACCTATGTGTGACATTTTCTAGGCATGCTAAATCGAGGAGGCAGGAAGAATGGCACCGGAGGGCACTCCAATCGACGTTGATTTTATGGTTTTGTTCGAAATTTTTGTTGATACGGATCTCTATTTACTGTTATGGTTGTACTATTTTCATTTCTTTTTTATTGTTGTTTTTAGTCATTATGCATAGAATTATACTTCCCATGACTTGTGCATTAACGTCTGTTCACAGATCCACATGTTACCAAAAACAACCCTTATACCATTCAGAATTTATGTAGGGAATGTCTTTAAATTGTTAAAAATTTGAAGTCATTGATTTATCTATTAATTGTTGTTTACGGGCCGTTTATGTGCACCATATCTTTTACTTATATATTCTTTGTTGTAGCGATATTCTCCAAGTTGATAAATATGCTAGCTTTTGATCACAATAGCTAGTAAACTTTCAGAAGAGGCAGGGTATTTTTGATGAAGTGTCATTTTATGGCTGTTGTGTATTATTTTTTTGAACTGTGTGCCCTAATCAGTTTTTTTCGTCGCATTCCAAAAATTATTTTGGATATTTTGTTTTTTTGCTTTCAAATCGTATGTGAACTTCATGGTTCTCAATAAACGATTACATCAACAAAGGCGAGATATTTACAGTGTTTTTGCATGGGAAGTCTGGACCTCATTTTACTATTGGGAAATTCTGTTCTATAAAAGCCAAGATATTTTTTTTCAGATTGAATTTTTAATGTGAGTTTGGAGATTTTGCTGCAGAAGTATAACATAATCTGGGTTTCTAGAGAATGGAGAAGGTTTCGGATGGCAGCATGCAAGAATGGCCGGATTCAGATAGGCTGAAAGAAGCGCTGTCACTGGCAAAGTTTGATAATTGCTACACCATGCCCGGTTTGAAGTAAGTGTCCTTACGGTGTGTTTGAATTCATATTTTCGTATTTGGTTTTAATTTCTGCAGTTTTATTCAGGATATTGGTGCTCTATCGTGAAGCTGTCTATTACATTTTTTTTGCAGGACAAATGTAACTTTACCTGACTTGATGGCCAGTACGTTAGAGCAAAAGCTTAACAAAACAGTCACTCGACCATCAGTTTCCAAAGATCTGGATGGTGTTCATCTTCTCATTGTTAGTTCTTTATTTTATGACAAAATTCTTCTTAAATCATTGGAAGAGGCGTTCAAAAAATTTTTTTGATAAAATACATTTCCACAAAATTATTTTGCAAAAGTGTTATCACAAATAAGCAATGAAAGTAAGAAGTTCAGAAGATTTTAAAGGTATACTGGATATCACTGATCTAAAATTTGTAATCTTGGTCTTGTAAGCTTTAAATATTTCAGCGATAATTGTATGAAAGTTTATAGGCTGATGGACATCTTCGAGCTGCCGTTAATTTAACTGCTGAATTGTTAACAGAAGTTAATCAGGGGTTTGGGATGGCTGGTCAGCCTTCGAACAATACGGAGTACAGTTTCAAGGTTTATTGCTTGAAATATTATTACATGGACAGGCGTTGAATTTCTTTGTAACATCTTGTTACATATCTTTTGGTATCCTTGATTATTTATACTTGCGTGCATTCCGTAATAATGCTGTAAGAATGACTGATTTTTGTCGATGTATCAATCAAATATAAGCTAAAAACTGATCTGTAAAGTGAATTTATGCCAATTTGTCGGTTTGATTTTCGTAGGTGTGGGCATGCCGCTTGCAATTGCTTATGGCTTTGAAGCTGTATACATTATTGAATGACGAGTTGATACCGTTCGAGGAACTAGATGCACCAGATCTATTTTATCAGTACTACCCCAATCTGTATCCGGAAAGCCCCAAAGGTTCAGGCATTGAAAATACCTCATATTTTTGTATGGGCGAAACGATTTCAAATTTTTGACGGCAGTTATTTGTTTTTGGTCGTTTGAAGAGATTTGGACTTTATTCAGTTTTAGGGAGTCTGGTGCTATTCAGTATGCGTTTGGTTCATGCTGAAGCATTACGCTTCACTTCTAATCCATGGGCAACTTTGGAAAGAATTGACAAACTGGAGAAAAATGTTAACAGAGTAACATATATATTGTACTTTCTTTCAAAATTTTGCTTTTTCATAATTATAATGGGAAGCTAAATTAACAAGGTTCAATTTTAGGTTCTGGACAATTCAGGGAACAAAAGCGAATATTTTTTTAAAATATGGAAGGATCGTTTGTTAGCAGTTCAAAAAATGCGTGCACGTAGTTTATTTTTTCTAAAGGTTGTATATTTAGCTATTTTTTCTCGAAATAGCGAACTTAATCTTTAAAATATGTTTGTAGAAACTCATTAACTACAAAAGAATAAATCAGTAATTGTACATCGAATATGACGACTGCTATTGCAAAAAATAATTTCTGGCATTATAGGAATATTCAACGTCCATGATCCTATATAATCGTTTGTCAAAAGCAGGTGGGCTAAATTCTGAGCAACGGATAGCCCTGAAACTAATGTTAATGAGAATGGCGATGTCTATAGGTGATCAAAAAAACTTAGAACATTATTCAAATGAAATTGTTTCATCAGGTTGTGATGACCAAATCTTACACAGGTATTCGTTAAGATGCTTTGTTTAGAAATTTTTGCGACGCACAGATTTTTTTGTTTAAAATTTAAAATTCAATTTCATTCTCAATAATTGATGCATTTTGACAAATAAAATTTGAATATTTTAGGTGTTTAAAATATATGTTTTATGGCAACTATAATGAAGCTTACGATACCTTGCAAAAATGTATGAATTCACTCGCCTCTCCTGAAGTACTGAAATTTCAATCATTTTTTTTCTGATCTCTTTATTAGATTAAATGAGGACTTAAAATATCTGCTGTTCGTAAATTCTAATAACCTGTTTTTCAAACGGTTTGCTTTCAAACCGCATAAATCTGTTATTTTTTATTAGATATTTCCCATTATACATGTTTGCAAAAAAGAACAGTAACATTAAAATATTATTTCCTTAAAATTTCCAGCTATGCAACAACATGGCGATTTGCTTATTGTACAAAGGACAGATTTTTGATGCCATGGAAATGTTGAAGAACCTACCGGGTGATCCAAATGAGCCGGTTGCAATCAATTTTTCGACGATAGCAGAACTTTCGATTTCAAATCTCGTACGCGAAGATGTAATTCGTCTTCAGAATTTATAATGAAATTGCACACGAAATAAGAAAGCTCTATATAAGATTGATGAGTTTGATACGGCTAATTACACATCTCTAATTCCAGCGGTTTAAAATTTTCGTTAAAATTTCTTTTGCAGTTGGCAATTTTTGCTCAAAAATTTGATCGATTTCCGGATATGTTTGATCCAGTGACGCTGAAATTGATAGCCTCATGACAAATGCAAGGAAATGCTGATGTATCTGTTCATATTGTGCTATAAGAGTTTTTTTTTTTTGATATGCGATACCATTTCTGTCTTTATTATGTTATCGAAAATGTACAATAAAGAGAAAATCCATGATACAAATAAATCGACATTTCGCCACTTTTTTCACCCAACTAGGGTACTTTAATGGTATACTGTGAAATGTGAATTTATTCAATTCAGTTTAATATTATGTTCTGCAATTTTAATAAGACAGGCAGATATTTAACTTTTGTCGGATTATTCCTGTAAAAAAATTTGAGGCGCATGGTTGAACTAATACTAATTTGGGGAGAATATAAATATAACGCTTTTTAGGATGCTGAATCACTCGAATGATGTTTGGACAAGTGTAAACGTAGGCTGTTTTTGCAGCAGTTATTCCAAAATATGTCTTCGTACAATCTTCCATTATGATGTAATGCACAGAATGTTGAAAACGATTCTTTTGAACTCTCGAGACATATAGGAAGAGCAGCATGAATCACTTGCATGGATTACGTTGTTATTATCTTTGATGCAGTATGTATTTGTTGATATCAAGATTTGTTATCAAGTGAAATTCATTAGTAAGGATGACACAGTAACATCAAGTTATTATTTTTACACAAAACAGATGAAACTTTCGCTGCATTGGTCGGAGTAGCAGCAACTGATCTAAAGTGTTTGAATAATTGACGTTTAAATGATTTTGGGTTTGGCGTAACCCATTTAGTGCGCTGTTTAACCAGAAATCCATGCCAAACGTGGAATAGTTATAAACTGGCTGTGATGTTTACCATATGATTCGTAGGCGAATCAGTAAGAGGGAATTTTGTTTAGCATCTAGCAAGTCTAGAGGTGCGTACAATCCTCTAAGGCAGTATCAATTATCAGGGTGGCTTCATTTTTCATATTTTAATACTACTAAAAGATATACTGCTCATAAAATTGGTACCTCTCCTATACTACTGAACGATAATGAAATCAACGTGAGGTTCATTTTTATGTAGTAGTTGTTTTTGGTATAGATGTAGTCATAAATCCTGTTTTTAGAAGGTTAAGTGCCATCGTTTTTGTTGGGTAATCATAAATTTAGAAATTCAAAACTCCTTTTCTTATGGAACACCTCAACTCATCCTTTCGAGAATACCTTATTCTCGCCTTCGCGAATCTGTACGCTTCGTACGAAACCTGTATGTCGACCAGGCTAGAAGCAGAACATGGAAAATCCGGATATACCCTGGGACCGCTTAAATTGCATTGCAGATGCACGTTCTTCCGAAATGCACCAATAACCGGTATTGCGAACTTATGAGCTGTGACCTTCAAAAATATGTGCGTACCCACCACTGCTGTGAATTGCAGTCATAAGAACCACATCACTTTGAGCTGCTAATCAATTCCGCTGTCACTGAAAAGGCTAGAATCATTCCAAGACATCGCCAGAATTTTTACTCCCAAGGTAACCATTTCTGTCCGCTTTCAATTTTCAAAATTTAATCCTATCTTGAATCACGCCATACATACCAATAGTATAACCTTTTAATCTTCTACAAGTAGGATTTCTCGAGATGCTTAAAACCGTGATATGGTTCTGATTTAAAATTTTTATGCTTCCTAAAGTTCATACTTTTCTCAAGTAGCAGTGCATTCCTCAGTTGGCTTAGATGATTTCTGCCAACTAATGGAACCTTCAGAGCAATGAAAAATGCATACACAATTATTTTTGATAGTGATTCCATGAAATATCAACATTCCTTAAACTTAGAAACATATCTCGTCATAATTAGCGCTATTTGCTGGAATTTTGTGAAGTAGGGAATAGCTTAGCGTAATTTTGGTAGAGCTGTCGTTAGAATTGAAGAGGAAATTGAGTAACGTTTGGAAATGTACTTTGCAGTAAATTGCATCTGTACATAGAGACAATAATGTAAATCATTGATATTTAACGTTTTCCAATTAGAAAAACTAACATTCTGACAACTTTGCAAGAGAATAACAATGTTTTCAACCGGCTTGACATAACAAAAGACAAGCTGTAAACATATAAACGAATAAAATTATGAATAAAGACGGTAACAAAAATGAATAACGGTCGACAATCATTTTGTCTGTAATTATGGTTGATCACTTTCATCACAACTAATCTGTAAGAAAATTCAGGAAACAAATTCGAAGTTGCTCAAAATGACCGGCAAAATACACGATGATAAACTTGCAGATTGCAGTGTAACGTAAGTCGTTTAAAATTACTTAACATTTCAATTGTAATTTGTTCTTATGCCGATTCCATATCTCCGTAACAGTATTTTCAAATATACTATCGAAATCATAAGCTAGGGATAGAGTTTTTAACAATCCTGTTTCTTCCTTCATTGGATATTGAGTTGTAGGGAATTATTAGAAATCTTTAATAGTTAACCAAAAAAAAAGTGTCAACCGCGAAGTGCCAAAAAATCCTAATTTTGAAATTAATGTTGATTAAAAATTGATTAAAAAATTATTTTTCAATAAAAACAAAACCGAAGAAAAACAACCATAAAATAACTTTAAATTCAAAAATGTTTAACAAAAACAACAATTATTGAAGGTAGAGAAAATAAAAAGTGCTTTAAACATGCAATTCTCTACCGTTCCTTTAGAGTTTTTTCTCAGCAAAATTTTTGGAAAGAAGTTAGAAAGTGAGAACCTTACAATAATATTTCCAACAATAAAAAAAGAAAGAAACAGCTAAAATTAAGCGAACAGTAAAAATTGAAAGATTTAAGTAAAGAAAACCAGAAAAGACAGAAAACTCTTCAGTTCTTCTGTTTCCCTTCTATAAATCCAGTAATCTATTTTCGCAACTTTTACCATACGAAATATTATTCTGTCAGACAGATAGGAAAAGCTGCTTTTCGATCCAGTTTGGTAATTTCATGAATAAAAAAATCCAACATATTTAATAGGTTCCATCCAGCCAGACAGGCATAAGATTTTCCTAATTTTAAATGCAATAGATAAAAGTCTAGAATTGTCAGTTCAGCATAAATCACAGAAATACCATTTACCATTTTCTGGTGAAAACAAAAATTTATACCCAGCACCATGTGAAAGTCAAGCCGAAGAAGCAGTTCAAGTATTTTAAAGTGTGTGCCAATGCTTCTTATGAAGCTTTGCCTTTGACCATTCGTGTAAATGCATCTGGTTGCATCAGTGGACCATGTAGCTACAAATTATGAGAGCTGTCAGTTAGTGTAATTCAGGACCGATTTAAGAAACTAGGTAACACTTCTCCAGAATAAATACATCATAATTAGTTTAATTTTATTTTTTGGTTTTCCGGTAAAAGCAATTAGTATTAATCATAGCAAGATTGCTTTCCATTCGCTTTCCCACAATGGATTCAAATAGGAAAGAATATGAAATGAAAAATATGGACTCCTTTAATTTTTATCTTACACATTGCAGTATATCTTTTATTCAGTAAAAGATACCTATACCTTGCTTCAGTAAGTTAAAGATAATCTTGAAGACTATTATGATAGCTTACCTTTTCTGGATCATATTGCGTTTCAGTAAAGCCATCATCAGGACCAGGTGATGAGCTTTTTGTTGTATGACTACCAATTGCACGATGATACTGTTCCCGGTAAAAATCGGCGAAAAGTTGTCCACAAAGATCACGTGCCATCATACCGCCAGCATACATATCAACAAATCGCAAAAGTAATATACCGTCTAGAATTAGCTGATTAAATTCCTTAAAAAAAATGGTAGCAAATTATAGCAACATAGAATGTCTTCATAGCTTGTATGTATTTCTGCTGTGTATTTCTAAGAAATTTCGAAACTTAATAGTCAACGATTTTGTTAATGAAATCACGTGATTCAACTATAATTTCACATTTCCGATAGTCAGTAATCAATTATAAGAAGTTAAATAATGTGTAAAGTGGAGCTGTGATTTGAAAACTTTATATTTCAAAATTTGTTAGCAGTAGCAATTAGTGTGAAAACGATAGTAGCAAACCTGGTCGCAATGCTTTATGTACAAAACGACGCAGTATCGCTTGATCCATAGGTGTATCATCTAGTTTTATATGTAAAAGAAGCAATCGTGCTGTACGTTCGCGATTTGAGGCTAATATAGTATTGTAAATGAAGTAGACGAAATTCAGTAGTGTGGATGCAGCAACAAACAGAAACCAAAACCTGTAAAAAAGTTTGTCCTTCTTTAACAACACTTAAGTTTTAACAGAAACGAAAACCTCACCACTTGCTCACAGTACCGTGACTCATTTCAATAAAATGAATAAGTATGTAATATGTAATTGAAAATTAAAACAGTTTATGATCAACATAACCTTGTTATTGGAATTTTTGAATATTATCGTCTTGACCTCGCGAACTCGTATTTTCTATTTGGAGCAGATTAATAAACAAACCAGATAAAAAGATAGATTTTTTCGTTGAACATGTTGATCATTAGGACGCACTGGACCGAATACCGATGAATATTTGCTAAGCGTCGCACTTTGAAATCGCACATTGTTACGCGCGGGAATACACCAGAATCTAGCCATTCTCGACCTTGCCATAGATCCAGTAACATCTAAGATCTTCACTTGTATGTTTGGCATATTTATCATTTTTCCTTATAAGTCTAATCTTACAGCACTGCATAATTTGCAGATCATATAATTCAAGTTAGCGTTGAATAGTGAAAAAGGATAGGATAGAAGAAAGCAAAGCTATAATCCAAAAATCCACAAAAAAATCACCTGGAATCCCCAAAGACTATGACTGGTACCAAGGAAGTTATTAAGGATTATAAATTGGCTGAATATGTTGATAAGGAAGAGAGATTTCATGAGTAGGTAGAGTAAGGTTACATAGGAACCCAATGAGTAGCCGTAATTGAAACAGAAGAAACGCTTTTGGTGACGAGGTGTGTCGAATTCGAGACATTCTTCAACAAACGATGCTAGTTTTTCCAATTCCTTCTTTCGCTCATTACATTTTGATGACCTTAGACTTTTCGCTCCTTTTACTATTGTATCCAAATCTAATCCTGAAATAATCCAAAAAGTTTTTATTTTAGGATTTTATATATCGTGCTCATTGCTAATGACTTCGTGAATTGAGAGGTTATTTTTGGAATGAAAGTTATCATTACGTGATATTTATGAAAATTAAGTTTGTTCGATTGGTCAGTGACAACCAAGCAGTGCATTTAACTCTAATTTGAAATAAAAAAAATCGAATAAAAAAAAAGTGTGGCATGCAGTGCTTAAAAATTTGGAAAAAAAAATATTGAAAATAAGTAACCGCTTTGTTTGTTGAGTGTTTTCCATATCCATTCTGGGATGAAAAACATTAGTGCCTGTAGCACTAACATAATTGGTACCCACTGATAGTAACCAATTTCAGCTCCGTGACGATCATTCACATCTTCTGGTACTGGATCATCAAAGTGCACCCAGTAGGTATTCTGTAATCAACACAGTTGTAATAGCCATTTATTACATCATAAGTTGAATTGTCTTTCTAATTTTTCCGCCATTTCACTTCAAAAAATACATATCTCATAAAGTCACATAATTAAGCATATGAAAATTAGAGAATGTGATCTCTAGTTCAGTATTAATTTAAGTAAAATTGGCGATGATTTTAACATTTAAAACTTGTTCATTTTTGTAAATTGAAAGTTAAATAGGAAACATGACAACAAACTTGTATAAAGCAATAATCCTCCGTATATTGTTCCCATCCACCTTTAAATTCCATAGGTACCCAACATTGTATTGGTGAACCCACATATCTGGAATGTCAAAATTTCGGATAACTAACAAAATTTTATAAATAGCGAGAGAATATTCAGTGCCTTTGAATGTAATGCAGTTTTAATTATATATGTAAAAATAATTTGAATATATTAATAAAGACACTTGGGAAATATTTGGATATGTTATAATGATCATTTCATTTTAAATTTGCAACAAAAGTATGGAAGAAAAAGTAAATGTTTAAGAAGATTCAGGAATTAACTTACTGTTTTGCTGAGACGAGGATAGCAAAGAATGTTAGCAGAGAACTTGTGACAAAATAATTAAGTCGATCGATACGATCATCATATGTTGTTGGCGAAAATATCTTCAGAAACGCACTATCCAGAAATGGTATACCCAGCATACTTTACGAGCACGTATATGGCACTTTCAGAGTTCAATGTAGTACTTTGTACCAAGGTCTAGTAAGTGTGAAATTTATTCCATAGATAATCCAGGCTGACTGGGGCGGACTTAATTACTCAGATAACGGAAAAGAAGTAAATAGATTTCTAGTTGTCAACACGGAACTGGTAAAACGTTCTGCAAATAGATAAGCAAATATGTATGTTACTAGGCTTTTGATCTGTATTCCTGTCGAAATGAATCACTGTTATCAATTATGATGCTTATTGTATCATCAACAAAAACCAACTACCAACTATCTCGTCTCATATAACAGTTGATCATAGATTCATTACTTTCTTACTAAAATTTGTCATTGCCCTTTTAAGGGTAGCTAGAGACAGATGAAAAAAAGAAAAAATCAAAACGTATGAATTCTTCTGTCATATCAGAAATGTCAGTATTCCTAAGAATCCCTGTTGGCGTTATATTTCACAAAATATCAGGGGAATTTAAAATTTGTCAATATAATGGATTTAAATGAATTAGAAAAATATGCTGCGTTGATATATCATTTTATCAAAAATTTATGAAAATGAGGAATTATTAGCACAATATAATTTCTTTTGAATCAGAACAAACACATAACATAATCGTTTAGCACGAAAATTACATCACACTTATGTTACAAAATTAGATTTACCGAAAGTCCCTAAAGAAGATTCGGAAGTGCTAAATCATATTAAACGGCTACTTCGAATAAAGCTAGTTAATATACGAACTGCAGTTTCTAGAGATAGAACCGTTACTCTCAAAGCTACTTTCAAATTTCGCAATGGAAAGTCTGCACAGAGATGAGAGAATGGAGTAATGATTTGTTTCAATTCTCAAAATTTCTTCTAAATTTCCAAAATCTATTTCTTTTTTTAATTTAAACAAGTGAATGTTAGCAGATTTCAATTAAAATTTCGTTAATCTTTAAAAGTATTCAAAGAAAGGAAAGCAACACAGTTGATAATGCAGCAGCAAGTAAGCAAGCAAGCAAGAAAAAGATGCCAAAATGATGTAAGCTTACATAATGATGGACAAAAAGGGGTCACTGCAATAGCCACTTAGGTTAGCAGTACTTGGTGACATTGGACGACAAGAATGGAGGAAAAGGAGGAAGAGAGAGTGAAGGATGATGAAATATGTCTGAATAAGATAGGATGGAAAGGAAACAAAGATAGAAGAGTGTTGAATGAAATGAAAGAGACATAATAGAACTGAAACTAATTATCCATTCATTCTCTGTCATTGCCTGACCTATGGAGGAATAACCTATGCGCGACCCATTCCATCAGCTTAATGACACAGAGAGTAGAGCACACTAAAGCAGGCAATTACCCGTTTCAACGTTTAGGGTTAGAGTGAAAGAGGTCAGGCAAGTCACCCTACCCTTCGCTTTGGGGAAGGACTAACCGTCTATTTTTACTGTTTCGGTTGAAATAGGGTAGTGTAGAGTAGGGGTAATCGATAATTTATTTCGAAATTTTTGAAGGAAATTTGGAACTTATGCTAAGCTAAGGGAATCCCATCCAGTAGTCAGCTGTGTCATTTGTGCATAGCGTAAGCAGTAAAATCTGTCTAGAAATTATGGAAATATATCTCGTGCAATAGGGAACTCAAAAATTCCCTCTATCGAATGTTAATTGTCAGGTCATCCTGAAAAATTTCCCCGGAAATTTTAACACTAAAAGTTTGCCGTAAATGGTAGGAGAAGCTGCTTTTGTGATTAACAGTGGTGTTGTGTTACTGAGTCTTCAATCTTTTTTTTAAAAAAAAAAACTCAGTGAGCTATTTGAACAATGGAAAATGCAAATGGACAAGAGACAGTTTCCATGAAATTTCCTTTTTTCTTTCAGTTCGTAAAAAAAGATAATATTTGGTTTGCAAATACTACGTAACTTTGGTTCAACCTGTTGTACTTGTCTTTCTGCTTAAGAATTGCTTAAGAAACTGGGAAAGCTAAAGTACAAAAACATTTGCGCTTATTGCTGAGTTGGTCAGTTCCATCATACCTTTAAGTTTTGATAAGTTTTACATAAAACCGACCAACTAAAGAGTAATTTTTACATTTTGATGTGACCTTAATAAATCGATTATTCTTAATAAATGGTACCACAGTCCGATTTATATCAGTAGTAATGATTTGGATCTTTGGGCACTTACCGACAGACAGACACATACATATACATACACAGATTTATACATAGATACGTATATGCACACACACACACACACACACACACACACACACACACACACACACATGGATAAGTTGCATTAATATTTGATGGTACTATAATTTACACTCACCATCACTTATCAAATCAAATCAGAACGACTTGAAAGACATAAGAAATAGAGAAACGATGCAAATACAAATAAAACATCAACGAGGTATGCTTTCTAACAATTAAGGAAAAGATTTTCTTACTGTCGGTCACATCAGTCCAAACTGATGACATTTGAAATTGTTTCACCTTGTCTCTTGTCAATAAAATCCACAAATAAAGGAGGAAGAAAAATGATGGTCAAAGCTATGATCATATGGTCAAACTTCAGTTTAGTTAAAGAAGTGGGATGGAACTGTAAACTGAGGATAATCAATGATTGTAGGACGATAGATGATAGACCAAATGGTGTAAAAAAGTACTCATCCATTCATTGCTAATGCATCTTTTCAACCTCGCTGCCACTACTTCCAGAAGTGTCTCACATACTTCACAACTATTGGCTACAACAACCTAGCACTGTATGATTTTGTTGCACGACGAGAAAAAAAAAAAAAAGTGATGGAAATGTTGAAAGATCAAGTTTTGCATCACTGTTACTATGCTGTCGTCCAAAATGACAGTGCTGATACGGCTAAACAAATGACTGGTAACAATGACACACACTACTAAATATGCCGCGATCGAAATGATACGCTGCAATATCTTTAATTTGATGTCAAACTATAAATCATTGAATAATTTTAAGGGAAATGGCAAGAATTTGAATAAATCAGCTATTTGTTAAATGAGTGAATTGTACCCCATTACAAAAATTGCTTGAGAAATAGTACTAGGAAAGCAAACAAATAATTAAATAGTTTATATATAGAGAGTTCCTGAGGAGAAATGAGAGAGAATAAATCTGTGAGTAAAAGTTGAACTTGTATTTGAAATTGTCTCTTTGCAAATTTGAAATGTTTGCTTACTCTAAGCACTTTTGTTCATTTCTTTTAATAATCTGTTGAATTTCTTCCGAAATCACACTTTCATTTGCTCATCACATTTTCACCTCAATTCAACTTTTTGCCTCACTATTCTATCAAATATTTCCTACCATTCGGTTGCTGCATCAAACATTGGACTAAAAATAAGTTTGACTTTGAGCCTTGCTATAACTGTACCAAACCAAGGTGACACATTGCACTAAAAATCTAAGCACATCTCGTAATTTATTATAATGATTGTTATCACAGCAGTATGTTCCAAAGGTAAATGCGGAAATTGCTAAGTCATCAGTACAACAAAAAGTTACACTGCAAATTTTTTCTTTATCGCTGATTTTATTTCTCATTTATAGTATCAGATTTGGATATCATTTGATCAGATTATTCTAGTGATGATGACTGGATGGATTTTTCTCCGAATTCACCGCTAGCAAATCGTACTACTAACAGTAATAATCACTCCGAAATCGAAAAACGACGTCGTGAACGGATGAATGAATTGATGGGACAACTGGCTGCACTAATACCGTCAACATTTTGTCGGAAACTTGATAAACTTTCCCTACTGCGACTTGCACTTGATCATATTAGCACAATGAGTATGAATATTTCAATTGTAACTGAAAAAAAAAAACTGAAAAACTTTTATTCATCCTATCTATCTCTTTTCTGTAAGAATCAAAGAACATGAAACGTAAGAAATTTGAGTGAAGGAAGGAATTCAAAGAATATCGTAAACTAGAAATACAAGATCAAATAGATATTTTAGTTTTTTCAGGAACATCGAATGATAAAGAAATGAATTATGATTGTTGCACGAAGCATGTTACTATAAGCGATTTGCTAACTCTTCTCAAAAATGTTTGAAATTATTGTTCATAGGCATACTCAATCTTACTAGAAGCTTGTAAACATTAGGATCGAAATGTCTTCATATCGCTAGTAGCAAATCGTTTCATCGAAACTTTTTCACTGACTTTTTGCAGGTTGTACAAGTAAAACTCCTTTCACTTTTATTTACGAGAAATTAATTGAAATTGTTTTCAGAATGTTGAGCACTTTATGGCTGTCGTTGATGTATCATCCGGGAAAATTTTGTACGCTTCCGATGAAATACGTAAATTTTTGGGAGACGATGTTTTGGCTCGGTATTATTTATAGCTATGAATATTCACTGTTAAATTAGTTACTAGGTGAAACAAAATAATACATTCCACGTATTTTGTCTTAGTAATTTAATATTTTCCCTTATTCACTTAGTATTTTTTTAATATGATTGATTGACGTCCGTAAATGAATGGGTTGGACGAAATTTTGATCCTTGCAGAAATTTGGTCGAACAGATTTAATAAGAAAACTTAGGAATGTAATTTTCACTTTAAACTTGATTTAATTTTTCATACAAAATTTATTTTAATATTCACACAAGAAAGACGCACCATTTTTATGTCCATTAATGTTTCGGATGCTTTTTGAAAATCTCAGAACCTGATCTTAAATCTGTATCTTAGGACTTAAATATTACTCAGGTGATTCACCTAATCTATTCCGCATTGCTTTCTACTTATACTTTTACTACTGTTAATATTATACATTAGTGTTCTTATTGTTACAGCTATTATTTTATTATTATTTATTGTTATCTATTATCTTAATTGACTGATGTTATGTTACCTTCAATGGTTAATCAGAAATTGGTATGAAATGTTACACCCCGTAGATGCGGCTATTTTCAAAAAGGAAACCAGTATGGAGCGGAATGAAAATGTCAACGCCAGCGATTCAGGTCTAATTCAAGTGTTAAAAATAATTGTTGAAGTTAAAATATTCATTCACCATTCTGTTAATAAATTATCCATTTTTTGCTAAGCTATAAAATGCTTTTTGCTTATTGTTTGTTAGAGAAAATGCATAATCTTATAATAAGCCACTTATTTTTCATACTAAATTCAGTTTGTGAAACAGTAAGTTCGAGTACAGGATATTACAAGTCGAAAACAGAATGGAACCTGGGCTTGAAGCGCTCATTCCCATGTCGTCTGCGGGTCCGTAATTCAAAGTATGCTACTGTCACTTCTTTTCAATTTCCTACATGAAGAAATTTTGGATGATAGGATGATGCTTTAAAATTCCGCTTGAGTGGAAACTAATGACAAAAACTATTACAGAGGTTTGGATCAGTTCGAACATAATTACGAATATTTCCACTGTTACGGTTCACTACGTCATACTGACAAACCAATTCTGGTCATGCTACTCATCAAACTATTTTTTTCGGGTAAATAAACAGTATTTTGAGAAAGAAAACAGAAACTAAAACTTGAAAATACTGAAAAAAGCCAGGTCTTGGAAATTCACTTTAAACTGAAATCGTTCATGGTTCGTTGAACGTTGGAAATTTTCTAATGATAAGATTGCTGTGTCTGTCAGATTTAATTTACATTTCTTTACAGGTGTAGAAGAGCAGTTTCAGATAACTATAACACCAAACGGTCAGATCATCCGTTGCGGTTCTGGGTATGCAATTCCACAGCTTTGTGAGCTTAAAATTTTCGTTGAGATCTGATAACTTTGCCGCGATGATCACAAACACATTACTTCTATAAATGTACAAGCTTCAATTATACATCCACTTACAAACGTACCACTACTGTTTAGATTGCCAATCATCCTAAAACATCTTCCACAAGACCTTACTGGATGTTATTATTACGATCTTATCCATGAGGGCGATCTACTTGACGTTGCATATCATCATAAACAAGGTTTTTAATTCTTTATCTACTTCATAATGTCATTTAAGTTAACAGCCTTAAAAATTCATCAAAAATTAATGAGAGCCAGCATGAACTGACTTTTAATAACGAATATTATTTATAAAACGCTAAAATATGCAAATAATAATGTTTTTAGCTACCAAAGTTACTGTCTTACTGTCATGTTATAGTGGATAAAAGTGAAATGAGCAATAAAAGAGAATGATTAATACCAGGTCCTGAAAAGGAAGATGACTACATTAAAGCTTATGTACTCTATTACCTTCAAACATGTTTGTAATAACCCTCTTAAAAAATAATTACAGTAATAAGTCGGCGTGATACAAGGGAAACGAGTTACAGAATCAGGGCGATGAATAAACAGTGCGTCAAAGTTAATGCTACTTGGATACCGTTTACGAATCCATGGAATCTTAAAACTCAGTTCATCGCCATTAATCATCGAAGCAAGTGAGTTATTTTCTGACTTTATTAACAAAATCATCGACGTTATCACTCACTTGCTGGTAACATAGGCAAACAACTAGTTATAAACCAGAACACGAGATGCATCCCTACTCAAATAAAACTATAATGTTTTTAAAGTACATAAAAGATTTGCAGTTCACTAAGATGCGATGAGGAATCAAGCCCGGAACAAAGTGTCCTAAGGCAACTGCTATCAAATAACCGGTCGCAGAGGAATTACCAAGGTATGATATTTCATGCATTTATAAAATTCATGCAATCTCGCAAATCAGCGTTAAGTTTTAGAATGAATGATGTTAATTTCCTTCTATTAATCCAACTCTTTCGTTCGACCATTAAAAACGATCAAAAAATCTCAGATGTCTTAGGAGTCTAATTCTTCATTTAGTTAGGAAACCAGGTTACCCACAAACTTTTATATTTGATATTTATAGAAACAATACCTGAATTAACAGTTTTTGGTACCGCTCGACTGGGAGAATCTGTTGCTGAAACATCATGATGCGACACATCATTGTTAATATTTGTAAATTTACTAACCAGACCATTTACCATCCATATTTTTTATTTCTTGAGTATTACATCTCTGTGAATAAAAACTCGCCATTTTGATTAATAACTTTAATAATGAACACATTTATACCGCCAAGCAAGATACTAGAGCTGTTTTCACTGAAAAATACTGGGGAAGAAGTGTAGTTTAACAAATATACATGATAAGCGAATAATAATAATCACAACAAAAATTTTCATATAATGAAATAAGGCTCAATGAAAGAAATGAAATTCCAACTGACGATAAAATAGGCACCATAAATGCAATAAATGCTTGATGTAAATATTACAAATTTAAATCTCAAAGTCCGACTACAAATATCCTAAATTTAGATCCCAAATTTTGACCGAAATTCGACAAGAAAATTTAAAATTGGGGTAAGCTACGCTATCTAAAGAAAACATGAAGTTAAATTTCCATAAAAATAAAGAACGAATCAATGGTGTGGCAGTGATTTATACAGTCAGTAGTGAAAATTTTAAGATAAGAAATGATGGCACACAGAGATCTTTGCTTTTTCAACGACAGAGAAATGGTACATAAAAGCAAAACAGCATCGTCCCCACACAAAATATGAAGATTATGCAAACGATGATCAGTATTAGTAAGCACATTTTTTTCTGAAATGCATGAAATAGGTAACATACATTTTGAAATTGAAATGAGCAAGAAGAGAATAAAATCTCAATTTTCCGAAGAAAATTTTTCAAATCTATGATCTAAAAAATTGCAACAGTTAAATGAACAACCTTCCGGACATTTGCCCTCATATTTTTAGCTTTGATCATGTTCATGTGAGCCTTCTGCGCATACTCCACAGCACTTTCAACATTTCGCTCTATATTGTTTAGCATTTCACTCTGCAAAAAAATAAATAATTAAGCAAAGAAATTTTTTAGGATCCACAATTTTTAAATAAATTTTACGTAATAATATGTCACAACACCTGACTCTGGATGAGAGTTGTTAATTCGACAAACAGGCCATACAACTCCTTTATACTGCTTTCTAATTTCACAATATCATCACGACGTGTCTTTACTTCATCATATAGAGCTTTCTTATCCCGTTCCGCTAACAACAGCTATAAATGAGTAAAATAGTAGTTCAATTAACACACAGGAAAAACATCCTCATTTATTTGCAAACACAATTTACACCATAACATATTTCAACAAAAGATAAAATTCACAAAAGAAGAAAAAGCTAACCCCTTTTGTATGCTCAAATAAAGTTCCTTTTTCGATGATCGCTTCAATATCTTCTTCATTCACTGCGTTACCAGCTAACGGTAATATTATTTAAGACGTTATAATCTTTCAACATTATAGTGAATTGAAGATAAACTTGCATTTAAATAAGCTAACTAAACTAATCTGTCATAGATATACAGAAAATTTGTCTTAGATATAAAAGTGAATTAACTGATAACATAGCAAAGCAAACAATTTCTAAACGCTGCAGTATCTTCGTGTGTACTACAGCGAAACATAACCAATAAAGAAAAAGAATAGAAGCATACAAATTTTCAAGTACGACTGAATTTTTCGTTTGCATTTATCTTTGTATATTAATTGTTCATCATTGAAAGCGATCAGTAGACCCTGCAGCCTTTTTGTTAGCGTCATCACCTTAAAACTTATATTACAATATAAAAAAAGGTCGAAGTATTATATTACTTCGGACTTTTCAAAACAATTAAAGATCAAAAATGTCATATTATATCACCTGATTCTTTTTAATTCGTGCTTCGACGGTTTGAGCGCTTTCATCTGCTGCTTTATCGAATTGTCGTTCAATTTCGGCACTTATATCTCAATAAAAACTTTAAAAACCATTTCAAATACGAAGTTAAGAGTAAAAAATGATTGTGTTTTACAAAAATCCATCATCTTTTAATTGATGGATGTACTTACTTTTAAGAGCAGCCTGAGTTTTATAAAGTATTGTTGTGTAAGAAGCCACTGCGTCATCTAATTGTATATTCATTTCTGCAATTCTTATTTCAGCTATTCTAATGATGACAACATGTGAACTTAAAAATTAACTATTCTGCTCTTAAATCAGTTTCTTTAAGCCAAGTCCTACCAAAAATGGCCATACAATTTTCTACTCCAGAAATCCTAGCGTTGTTTTCTGCAGCTTCCATTTATTACTGAAGAAGCTTTCGAACTGGTCAGCAGAAAACTGTTTGCCTTAATCCGAGTTACACATATCAGATTTGGCTGTGAATCTAGGATTGGTCAGACTAGTCAATCAAACAATCCGTCATCCACGCCATCCATAGCAACAAAATCTATAAGATAAATGACATTTACCAGGATGATCTCCTGGTTCCGCAATGATTTTGCAGTGCCAATCTTTTATTTCATCCAGTAACGTTTCCATCATATTCATATCATTTACCAATTCATCCACGTGCGTTAGAAACTTAAAATATGCGATAATAATTGAAAATAAGGAGAATCGTCCGTATATTTCCATGGAGATGTAAGGAGCCTTTATGCAATTTATGCATTATCGGAAAGTACCAGAAGATATGATCAGTGGTTGAAATGATAAAAGAAAAAAAAAGGCAAAATTTTCATACCGTGTTGACCTTGCTGCTACTAACTTTATTTAACAAATTCGTTCTCTCGGACGTATCTGCCCATTTCTCCTCCAGTTGTTCCACCAAAGCCGACATCTCCTTCTTAGCATTCTGTGAACATCCCAAGCTTTCGTCTACTTCTACTTTTAAGTTTAATTTATTCAGAACTACAAACTAAGAAAAACATCACGACTACATTTAAGTGCAATCAGATTAAACCAAAATGACTGCTTAACGACTACAATTCTTAAGCTCTTTGACGTACGTCACATGTCAGTTCTTATGGTTAGCTACGCCACATTATCACTAGAAAATAGTGCCAGTAATGAAAAATAAAAGCTATCGACATCAAACAACAAATCAACATACCTGCTGTAAGTCGGACAGCCTGTCTTTCATATTTGGTATTCCAGATCAGTTCAATTCAATCTTTAACATTATCAACAATGAAATCAATTTAATTATGATAGTACCATGAGCACTGACATCCACAGAATTTAAAGATGTTGTGTAATATGCCTTTTGACGACTGACAACATTTATGATATTCGGACGAGAGATACAAGCAACGAGAGAGAAGTTCGGTGGGAATCCGGAGGAGAAGTTCGAATCCTCCTCAGCAAATCCCAAAAAACTTCCTAACAAGTAATACTTGTTGCTGACACCTCAACCACCAAGCAACAGTGTTCAAATCGCCACCGTATCACTGCCTCGTTCACTCTTCTATTTTCACAATTACTTCCCGTTGGAAGGGACATTTTCCCTCCTAAGATCCGTCAGGGTATTTCAGGTGGAGTATTTTCTCTCTAGGTAAGATTAGTCGGTTTTCATGGGAGCTGAGCGAATTGTTCTGAAAGAGAGCTTTCATCAGAATGGAAGTTAATTACTCGTAAAGATGAACAACAGAGTAGCATGGAGCTGAAACTGGAAAAGGGAAAATTCAGTAATGGAAAGTTTGCCGTCCAGGACATGCACTGGTGTATTACGGAAAAGATTGCTTCACTTCCGGAATGACCCAATATTTGAGAAAGGTAGTAAGAAACCAGGGACAAAGATATCCGCTCTTCTTTCCCTCTCTTTTTACTCAACAGCTTGACAAGTTTAAGTTTGAAAATTAAATGAAATGGATGGATTGATTTTCAGGTGTCCTTATTTGTGAGCACTTTCCTTGTCAGTTACTTGATAATATAAACGCTGAATCATTGTAATAGTTTATAGCACTCGATTTAAAGGTATATCTTTGAAAACTTTTTTTCATTTTATTTGTTTTTTTCTTTTTTTCGGTTCTCATAATGGTATTCTATAGCATTATGAAAGTTGCCGTCATGGATATATTTATGTTCCTTGTCGATATTAGATGTTTTGAATATATGTCGTGTCTTTTTTTTATTACACAATGATACTTCTATTGACAATTGAACATGTTGAAAATTGAAGGATGAAGAAGAGCAGAAGGATGAAATCGTGAACAGCTTTAGGAAAAGCAAAAGCAAACCTTCATTGGTAACGAAGGAAGGAAATGGAAAAGGAGGACAAAAAGGAAAGTTGTTTCGTTTAACAGAAGAAAGGATAGAAAATAAAATAACAACGAGAAAAAAAAAAAACAGACAAGAGTGAAAAGGTAGTTGAAAAGATGTAAATGAGAATCATCTTCAGAAAGAAAGCTTCAGGCAGTAAGAGGAGAACGATCGTATGTACAGTGTAATGAAACTTTGTACCATTGTTCAGTTTTCGACTGCAAAAGGTGGAGGAGAAAAACATATGAGGAATCTGCTGTATTGGTAATACTTTTCGTCCTCTCTACTCGGTCTTTCTTATTATTGAATTTTCTGGATCAATTACAAATTCCATCAACACATTTGAGTATTGTTAATCGTGCATAATGTGGAACCAAATATTTTCATATTAAAAAAATATTTTTGAGTAATTTTTAAACGAGCATATCATCTTACGACAAGAAAAGCAATTTTGTGCTACTAGGATTCGGTAAAGTACATCACTATAATTGGTGTGAAATATTCTCGAGCTTAAAAAGTTTATCTTAGAATTTGTTTCACAGTAAAATGCACTCCTAATTCTTCGTATGAAAGTTTGTGGAGCATAAAGAGAAGAAATAAGCCTTTTTGATCTCAATTATATGAAAATAAAGTTATGCTATTCCATATATATGTAAAGTTTTCCACTCATTGCTTTTCTTGTATTCTCCAAGTTAAAAAAAAAAACTTATAGATTGAGGTTCAAAACCAAATTCGCTGAACTGATGAAATGATGGACTGAATTAATGAAAGCGAGGAATAATTCAAATTATTAATAAAGACGGATTTTTATAATGAAGCGAATAAATTGGATCAAATCTTTGATTGCAAGGCCTAGAACTATCCACCTCATAAATACGCTTCAATGAAATATTTAGTTCATCAAAACAACAAAAATGTTTTATTCTAGACAGCTTCGAAATTCTCTGATTCATCATTCCAATACATCAACATAGCCTTGTTGCTTTGTATTGATTTCGCACATTCTACAAGTAATCAACACTTAAGGAAATAATTAAAATTCGAGAAGTTAGTAGCAATTTCATGAGATTTATAGAACTTAGATTAAGCAGAAACATGAAATTTAAGGAATTTTTTTTTCCAAAGAATCATTTAAAATCTGTGTTCCAGATTCATTTTAAGCGAAATTTTATTGCTTGGACGTAAAATATTCAGAAAAAAAAAAAAAAAAAAAGAAAAAGCGAAGCAATTGCGAGAGTCTATCTATAGATTGCATAGTACAGGTGTATGAAGCAGAAGATAAACTTAAAGAATTTCGCAGTTAGAAGGGAAAAGCGTGGGCTACAATTTGCTCAGTTGAAGAAAATGTGAGAGCAAAGCAGAAAATGAAGAAAGTAGCATTGCTGGAGCAGTTGGTGGTAAGTTGGAAGAATATTCACGATGTGAAGTAGTAGCATCTGCAGGTGTGCTTAACGAATGCTGTTGAGTTTACTGCTTACATTCTGAAATCTGTCTTTTCTCTGAAGTTAAAAGTGACAGTTTCCGTTAGTGAGAGAAAGAGAAGGAATATATCTTAGAAAGGGGAAAATCAACACTGATGTAAAAAGCAGAGAAGAGGAGAAGATCGGGATGTAAGGATGAACAGAACTCTTTGATGATGAAGCAGTTAGAAGAAATATAAATTAGTTTAGGCTATCATAGTTAAAGCTTGCTTATAACAGATAGCCATCTTATCCTTACCAAAATGCATAACCGATTATTTTTTAAATTAAATTTTGATATAAAGCTTACCAAAGTTTCCTTTCCTCCATTATTTCATCCACCAAATGATTCGTCCACATTTACCATCTCCTTTTCATTTATCGTTTGATTCTCATCACTTCCTTATGTAAATCAATGGAATATTCTGTGATGTTCGATGTGTTCATTTCTTTTTTATTATTGTCAGGCAATCTTGAAAGAAACATTTTCAGTCTTTTCAATTTTTTTTTTCTTTTTTGAAAGACAGATCTTTTCAATTTTTGAAATCACAGATTCTTAAAATATCATATACGACACTTTCCACAGGGTGATAATTAATAATTAAGATAAAAAAATTAAACAGTTCTGTACTATTTATTTGTAATATAATTGTACACCCATATAAAAGATTTTTTGAATCAAATTTCGTTGTTTTGAATAGGAACCATGATTATTGGGTATTTTATTGTTTATTATAAATCAGCTTATATAAGTAGTATAAATTATAAGACGATCTCTGAACAATTCGAACTTTCCTCTAATTTTCACATACAGTATTTAATACTAAAATTTATAAACCGATTTCTGATTGAAATATTTTTCCAAATACTGACGAGGCTAAATTTTCTTTCTTTTTCGATTGTATATATTATCGAAATTTTCATATCGTAAGCCAAATATCCGTACAAAAACTTTTGTTCTCAATCAAAATTTTAATAGAATACATCTTTAAGTAAAAAAAGATGCTTAATTATTGTTTTACTATACATCATAAGTGAATAGATTTGCGTTGTTCAATTGTTATAAGCTATGAATATTCTGTTACTATTTATATTGAAAAATTTTCCACTTTCCTAAAATAATTTTCGACAAAATGTTTATATTTCTAGAGTATATTCAGCATCGAATGCAGGGATTTTCAGTTAAAAACTAATTAAGATTTTTATAGGGGTATCGGATTTAAAAATTTAATTTTTGCATCAGCTGTGGTAATAATTAGGACGGAGAAAGGGAAAGAGAAGAGCTCTGCTAGCAGTGATGGAAAAAGTTGTAATTATTGATGTTAAAATGTTAGACAAATTATCAGTTCATCTATTGGTCCGAGCTAGCCATGATACAAATATTGTTCGTTAGAGGCGTCAGTTGTTTTGTTTTTCACGTTATACTCGGCCCTGAAGAGTGAAGAGGTAGTTAAGAACGATTTACCGATAAAACTTTATGTACCAACGATGCTACGTTGCTAGCTAAGATCTATGATTCTCAATTTTTTTCTTGTTTTCAATTTTTTTTTTCTACCAGCAATAAAAGAACCTTTCCTTTTTTTTTTTTTTGATATACTGGAATTATGCGAGAATAGAGCAAACATTAATTAATTTCAAACGAATGAAAAGCTTCAAAGATGAGATTTTGTCCAAATATTTTAACTTAAATGAAAGATACAGATTCAAAATTTGTATCGTTCAGTTTTCTCGAATCTAAATTATGAATTTTACATTTGACCATGAATGAAGTAAAAAATTTTAGAGCCAATATATAATAATTGAAGCATAGTAGTGCTGAAATTTTTTGAGGCTAAAGTTATTTGAATAAACTTTAACTTTGCTAAACTTAAAGTTTGTTCAGATTCTATATTCATTTATGTAATAAGTTTTCTAAGAGAAATTCAGAAATTAAGACATATTCTTCATAGATCTGCATAAATTATCAAGGATTTATGTTTAAATATAAATTATTTGATAGGACATAAACAAATCCGTTTTACTTCTTAAAAATAATAATCCTTCACGGATTAGCTTCCCTATTCAACCTGAAAGAATTACTTACAAATTGCAATATGGATATAAATGAATATAAGAGCAACGAAGTGCCTGAGTGTGACGATCGTCCACGATATGGAGGTCCTCTCGGCGAAGACGATGATTCCGTAAGTATATAAAATTGTTTTTAGCCTTTTTATAATTTATTATTTCTCCTGAATTTGATTACTTACTCTGCTCAAAAAAGTAAAAATTTTTAATTTGAAAATATCATTGGTTCTCAAAAATTAGTGAGTGAGTGAAAATTTTTGACGACAAAAACCAATTGTTTTGTTTTTGATTTATTATAAAAATCAATAATTGATTTCATTTCATTAAACTCAGCTATTACTGCAGGAGGCCAAACGTAAAGCGGAGGAGAGAGAAATGAAAAAAGCGGAAGTGCGTAAGCGCCTCGAAGAAGCTGGAAAGAAAAAGGCAAAAAAGGGTTTTCTGACTCCAGAAAGGAAGAAGAAACTTCGTGTGAGCTTCCTAAATTCACATTTACAGTAATATTTCACAAAATTAACTGCTTGTAAGGCATTTTAAGTCAATTTCTATGATAAATGAAATTAATTAAAACTAAAATTGATGGAAATAACAAAAGATTGCTTGATTGCAGCATAAATTTTTAAAAATTCCAGAAGCTGCTTATGATGAAAGCAGCAGAAGATCTGAAACAGCAACAATTACTGAAAGAGCAAGAAAGGCAAAAAGTTCTTTCGCAACGTACAATACCATTACCAGATGTTGACAGCATCGAAGATCATGGTACACAAAATTGATTTTGTTGGTAAAAGCAAAATCATCGTCCATCAATTAATTACTTTTTCAGAAAATATCTATTAGTAGCAGGAAAACTAAACCATAAAAGTCATAAAAAAAATTTTTGTATTGAGAAATGAACCTTTTCTGATTTGAAGAAGAAAAAAAAAGACTTTAAAATTTATTAGTGAATTCACTGATCTGAATAGGTAAACTGGAAGCAATTTACAATCAACTGTTTCAACATATGGTAAAGTTGGAAGAAGAAAAATACGATATTAACCAAGCAGTCATGGCTAAAGATGCTGAAGTATGAAAATTTTATTCGTTTAAAAAATACTTTGTATAAAGCAAAAAATTTAAAAACTTGATCTTATCATTCAAATTACCATTCCAAAAAGTATATGCTAGAAAGACTGAAACATTTTATCCGTTTTTCCAGATCAATGAACTTACAATTGCTGTCAATGATTTGCGAGGAAAATTCGTGAAACCAACACTCAAGAAAGTATCAAAATATGACAATAAGTATGATTTCAAAAAGATAATTTATTATGGGATGTCATACACCATAATTGGTCATTTTTCAAATCTGTTAATCCAGCATGAGATGAAATTCAATGATTTGTTTAGATTCAAGAAAATGGCTGGACAAAAAGAAGATAAACAGGACTTCCGAGCAAATCTTAAAGTGGTCAAAAAGGATAATGTCATCGATGATATCGTTAACAAAGTTCATTCATTTTTTCTATTTGTAAAAGAAGACAAATAAATAATTCTTCATTGTAATGCTTAGCTGCATGAAGTTTGCCATATAAGATGCTCGTTTAATCGTGGAATTTTTTTTTTTATCACATCATTTTAGCAAATGGCAAAAAAAACTGATAAGCCTGAATGGTCCAAAAAAGGTAGTGATAAAGGTGGTGCTGAAGCAGAGGAGAAGAAGCAGGAAGCACCAGTGGAGGAAGCTGCACCACCTGAAGAAGTTGCCGAAGAAGAAGGTGCTGAAGAAGCTGATGAAGGAGGTCAATCTTATTTTCCTTTTTTACCTTTGAAAAGAAAAAAATTATATGGTAATATTTGACAATCATTTATGAACTTTTGCAAAAAATTGAAACCTTACCTGGGAATTTTCCTATATTACCTAAATTCTTTATACAAATTTTTAGATGAAGAAGCTGAAGAAGAAGAAGAGGAAGAGGAAGAGGAAGAGTGAATATTACCCAATTCGTTGTATATTATTTATACTTATGTTCTGATTTCATCAAATTCATCAAATTTTATCATTTTCTACAACTGAAAAAAAAAATGCTGAATATTGATATTGATGATAGCGATTTCTTTTCAGTTAATTTATCGTAGTATTGTAAATTATCGCTATCACTGTCACTGATTGCTTAAGTTATAAAAAGCGTAATTCTCTCCGCAGAGAAGGTCAGTGCTCATATTTTTAATATCTGAAAGAAAAAAAAAAAAAAACATTTTGATCTATTTTATTAGTCAATTGTCTTCTTCTTCTACTGTTCACCTTTGATTATTAAAGTCTGAATTAAAAACTTCTGACTTAAACAAATCTGTAAATAGCATGCATTCACTTCACTGAGTACAGTACAATATTTTTTAGTCTGAAAGAAAACAAAAGAAACCATAAAACCTTCGATTTTTCTGTGTGAAAAAAAAAATAAAAGATTCAATATTTCAATAAAAAGTGAAAAATCCTTTTGCAAATCAAATCGGCAAAGGTGAATAGAGAAGTATCTCGTGTTCTGTTTGAATCTTTATAATATACAGCCTTTTTACACATTTTACGCTTTCAATTTTTCTTATTTATAATAAAATTAAATGGTATTGAAGAACATCAAATGTTCTGCTAAAATAAACTTAATAAAATGAATTCAAGATTATATGATGCAATTTTCACAAACAGATAAGCATTCAAACTTTCCTTTTTTTTTTTTTTTTTTTTTTAAAGGCGAAGAGATATTTGTGAATAGAATTCACTTCTCAGTAACTAACCACCAATTATCTGTCTAGCTGTTATCTTTTGAGTAATAATAAATGATGACAAGCAAAATATACTATTTACTTCAAGAAAAAAAAGAAAAGAAAAAAATTTCAAAAGACCAAGACAGTATTCCAAATATGAAAGAGCGCAAAAACTAAAATAGGGAAAGAAAAACATTTCAAAAAATAGGTAGACGAGGACAAATTTAATTTAATGGCAAATGGATGGATGCTACTCGTTCCGGAGTTTATGTTTCTTTTTAAATTTCATCAAATAAAAGAAAGATTTCGCAGTTCAATGACAGTCAAAATAACACTTTTTTTTTGAAATTTATTTAAGAGGCATTATGTGGGACTGACCTTATTTCCATGTCATTATGCGTGTTATCATCATTTCTTTCACAAAGTATCATGATCAACACCAGTCTGCAAAAAAATTAAAGAAGAAACAGAACTATTGTCATTATCATTATTTTACCATTACTATCACCAGTTTCATTATCTTTACCTTTGCTATAACCATCATACGCTAACAACATCGTTATCATCTTGTCATCATCAACGTGGCCAAAACTATCGTATTCAAATAAAATGACTCCTTCAAACAAACAAAAAAAAAAAAAAAAACAAAACAAAATTTATCCCAAATTCAGCACAAAACATTATTACAACGCACATCCAACCTATCTTACCCTAAATGACAAATTATTTTCAGATTTCTCTATTCCACACTTTTTGAAACACTATAAATAGTTGTACATAACTCTTTCAATTTCATATCCATTATTTTTCTCGATATTGCAAAACTATTTTCTTTTTTCTTTTTTTTTTTGGTACCTGAAGAACGTCATCCTATCTGCTATTAATAGAATGATTTTTAAATGTTCGAAATTCTAAATTTGAAAATTATGACGGATGAGCAAAGCAAGTTAATTACATAGCATTTTTCTTTGCATTCGCTGTAGAATGAAATGTATACTGATGAAAAATTCAGTCAAAAATTTGTTTCAAACTCCTTTTTTTTTTTTTTTTTTGCCTAATATTTTCAATTGCAGTTAATGACGATGATTTTATTATTACTTATACTTTCTTCGAGACAAATCCTTCGCGCAAATAGTAAGTTTATCCAAATGAAAGATATGTATCACTCTTAAAATTTTAAATACATACCTGCTTTTTTTATTCTTAATGACAAAAATGAAGGCATAAGATTCGCAGGTGAGATAATTTCCAGGTCAGAATAATGATAATCCTTATTACGGAGTACCACTCGGAGCTCTTCATTACAGTGATGGTAATACACGAGCGGAAGCTTATGCCGCTAATGAATATACCGTCATTTTTCATCGTTTCACGCATCGACCACGTCAACCTGGATGTACGTTTGATACTTAACATATTCAGTAACCACTATTACATCTTTATCTTTTTCATCTTCAAGCTGAATAATTCTGTAAATCTGCATAATTCTGTGTATTTTGACGTAAAACAATGACATTTTTAAAAATTATTATTGTCATTAGAATGATTATTAACCTCTCTCATTTAAAAGAAGTTTTAAAAGTGTTTAGAATTAATTAGTTTATTTTAGGTACTTCGATAATAATTGGACCACCACGAGCGACTGATCGTAATATAGCTGTTGGTGGTGTTTTCTTGTCAATCTCACAACCTATGGTAGCATCTCAATCCACTACTAGAAGGCGATTTACCCGTCAAGTTCCTTTCTCTATTTTTGGAATGCGTAATTGGCCAGTTGAATTTGATCATCTTGAACTTCGAAAAGGTTTTCTTTGAAATTCCAAGATAAAATATATGAAACTGAATTATTTGAAGCAAAAATTTTTTTCTTCACTATTGAAGTATACTAATCTGTAGCTTTAAAAGGCATTGCAAAGTGCAAAAAATGACTTTCAGAATAATTCTATAAGACAAATGGTTAATAATAATCATTTATAAAGATAGTAGAGAGCCGATACCGAGCCAGCAAAAAGATCCATTTGCGGGGATTGAAATCGATGTAAATTCATCAGAGGATGTTACCCCTAAAACGAAAGACATTCATATTGAGGGAATCAGAGCTCTTGAAGCTGTAGATTCATCAACAGTATCAACAACGTTTGTTTATTTTATGTTTAGCATGGCTATCTACATAAAATATTAGTCTTAGAAAAAAGAAATTTGAACAATTTATAAACTTGGACCAATAATCCTCTAATTTACCATCCTTTGCTCATTAATATATCACATTATTTTAATTTCCAGGAACTCTAATGCAGTTTTTTTCTCCATCGCTACTACTCAAGATGATTTCTCTTCGAATGAAATAACACTGTTCGACACAAATGCGTATTTTTTTAAATTCTCGAATATTTGTGTGTCATTTTAAATGCCGGAATTTAGCTTTTTTTTTTTTATTCTGTACTATTTTAGAACAAATATCTTTGATGGTGGTGAGGTATCCGTGAAAATTCAAGGTGAAATTGAACAATCGAATTCCACCACCGAAACCATCATTACAAATACAGATACAACAAGTATGATTAATAGTAATTAAAATTTTGCTCATTATTTGAAATAAGGTGGTCAGAAGACAAACAGGGAAGATAGACGGAATAAGTAACACTGATGTCAGCTTTTCTCTTGGTTTTTGAAAAAGCAATTTTAGGGAGTTGAGAGAGAATTAACATCTAACATTTGTTGGTCCTGAAGAAGTTGATACCGAAATATCAGGAAGTGTATGTCTATCTGATTTTCCTCATTTTTTTTAAATTGTGATTTTTGGCGGATCAACGGAAGAGTCTACGATGGATACTATCAAATCAACGTGGAGTGAATTTAAAGATTTACACACTGACTCTAAATTTGGAGGTGATGACAGAATAGAGAGTACAATATTTGCGAATGATGTTTTCAAGTAAGTGTTTGTATAAATGCTAACTTTTCTATAAAAGAAACCAGCGTTTAAAATAAGTTGGTACAGTGTCATAAATTAACTTAAAAGGTCGGATGAAGGAAAATTATTTTTCAAAAATTTCCAACGGCATGTATCTTATAATTTAAAATACTGTTTATGGTGTTTTTTTGTTTTCGCAACTTTCATGGAACAAATTTTTTGAATTTACATAAAATTAATTATTTTTGAATTATTACAAAATTTATGATCTCAATTTTTTGCTTGAGAAGGTTGCTGAAAACAAAAAAAAGAAATAAACATTACATCAGGAACAAAGAAAAAGGACAAATTGTAGAATTGAGGATGTTATCAAAGACGATGGTAACAATGAGAGATTAACAAATGATGGAATTTTCCCGTATGAACGAAATGCATATCCACTTAAGCAGGTGGTTCATTACTTATGGCTGATTACTTACTTCAACTTAAATTTAATTTATGCTGTCACAGTGGGATTAAGCAGTCGTACCGCACAACTTATATATATTGGAATTTTGTCACTCTTGCATCTATTTACCTTTATTTGAATTTCTCTGTTCGTAGGGAAAATTATTGTCGCATTATGAAAAGATGGCTGAGAAATCGAGCAAATTTGACCGAAAAGACAAAGGATTTCCAGTTATGCTTGGTCAAGCTAAGCCTGAAAAATGGTTTAAAAAATCGTCACAGCAATTAAGTGCGGAAAAGCGAATTAAAGGTATTAAAAATATGTTTACGATTGAATTTGGTAAACAACTTTTGCTTCCTTTGCTTTCAGTTTCGTTTATGATTCATTACTGCCATGTAAATTAATGAAGCATAAAATTCGGTAATTAATGCTGCTGTATCTGAATTCGTATCTAAATATGATTTCCATCTAAACAAATAGATCAGTCAAATAATATAGCTAATTTAGTTTAACTAAACAAAAATTGTAATATTGCTTACGAATTAACAATTTTAATAAAAATACATGAGATTAATTCTATCTACAGATAATGATGATGAGTTAGCCACTGGTGATTTTTCATTATCGGATAGAATTGTCGAAACAGATGAAGGTGTTGTATTCACATCAACTCAAAATGCTGCAATTACCACAACATTATCATTCAGAGAATCGACACCATTATACTGGGTTATTCAAGATCCTAGGCTGAAAAAACGAAGACGTATGGAACTTCGAAAAAAGGTCTGTTATTATAGGCTATGAAACATTAATTTTTATCTTGATTAAGATAATTTCGAATTTTTAGAACAAATACGAAAATAAGTTGGATGATAGAGCAGTGACGACAGTTGCAACAACTAAGTCTCGTTTCAAGGTACAGGTCGATCATCGTTTTGAGTTACCATTAATTGAGGATAAGACGGTGGTATTTTCGATTACAAACGATGCAAAAATAACGGAATATCAATGGATTGCTTTACGTGATCACTGTTCTCAGGTTTGCTTATTAATTTTACAATTTTTTTTTTTTCAGCTTACTTTTTTTTTTTGTTATTTGTATAAAAGATAACAAAAAAATTGACAGTGATTGATAGCTAGGTGAGTACATTCTTCTTAACAACTATTTATTGAAACTTAAGAAATAAGTATATGATTTCAACTGTGATAATATTATTAATTCATTGCTTTCTAGGAGAGTGAATTTATGATTTTGCTAATTTTGGGATGCTAATTAATGTCTTATCTTATAATCTTTAATTAAAAAAAAAGATTATTTAAAGAGAACGATTCCTCTCTTATCACTGAAAGGAATCGATCCACCGCATGAGGAAAAAATTGGTGCATTATTGGGTCAATCTCATAACGTTACATCACATCGTGTTCAAATTTTGAATTGTAATACAATCTTTATACCAGGTTTTGTATTCAATCAAGGAAATGACCCACCAGGTTTTTATTCGTTCAAAAATTTTAAAATAGATAGGCTCAATAGCTGAAAGAGTATCTTATATTTGATATTCCGTTTTTGAAGCAATTTAAAACGAGGAAAATTCCACATTGTAACTTAAAAAGTACTGTTTTCCATTTATTTCAGAAACATATTTCTACGCAGGTATTGGACATTTTCCGGACAGAATCGAAAAACAAGTACGCGCCTATGTTGTTGGACAACCACCGTAAGTTTTTTCTTTAATTTCATGCATAATTTTTTTGTAACAGAAACGCTACAGAAGATTTTTGTAATCTGGAAGAAATTTAATGAAAAATATGTGCTAAATCAGGGATGGTATTTTCCGGAATATTAATTGTTGATGTATTACAGCGTGACTTTTCAGCTCATTTATTAGCAATCACAGCAAGCTTTCACATATATTATAATTAGAGTTGTGATGCAAATTTTCAGCGATCAACCGTTAAGAAATTATAATGGTGAAAATGTGATGATACGCTTACCGAAGACGTACCGTACGTTTGATATTGACTTCATTTCGGTATTCAATGAAATAGAGAGACGCTCTTATGGACACGTTATTACGCCCAACTTACTTGTACCACCGTGTAATGATTATGATGTTATCTAGCTTCTTTCCTCTTTTTTTCGATGTTTTATGCATGAAATTATTTATATTAGTCAACATTTAATTTCTTGCATTAACATATTGTTAAGAACACGTGGCTAACCGGGTGCTAACAAGCTAACAAGACCAATTCAAACATATACGTAGCAAGTACCCTTGAAATTATCATGGCACATTTACATTTGCCTTTTCTACGGAACATTAATTATAAGATAACTATTCTAAAATGGGTAAAATAAAAGACATTAAATCGATCAATTTCTATTTTTCAATAAATTTCAACCTTCCATATTGCACTTCTTTAGTCATTTTTTTGTTAGCAATATTACTTTATAGCTTAGAAAAGAAAAAAAAAATGTTATTTCTGTACATTATTTTGTGTGAAAGACAATCGAAATTTTATTTACAAAAGGCTTTGTTAATTTTATCATTTCTGTGATTTTCTCGAAATTCTCATTACTTTTCATTAATTTTTTCCTTTTTTCTCCTCAATGATCTGTCGTTTCAGCCAAAATTTAAAGTGATTCTTCATAATAAATAATAACAAACAATTTATTTATTGTACAAAGATATCACGTTTGGTTACAGAAAGAAGATGGTGCTGTGCTGAAAGAGGAATGTTTGCAAAATATTGTTAGTAACAAAGGTAATCGCCACCGTTCATTATCCACAAATTAAACATATGGAAAAAAAATAATTAGAGAGTGAAAACAACACAGAGTCCATTATTACAGTATTTTGTTGATTTTCTCGGAAGAATTTAGTAAATTCTATCATTCGAATCAAATTTAAATTTAGAATTAAATTAAGCGAAATTGCAAATGTAACTCATATGTTGTTTATTATTGAAGTCGTCACATAGAACAATGTTCACCTGTTATCATAAAATCAATCATAATAAAAAGATTAAATGTTGGTCATCTGCACTGTTCAACGGCGAATGATTGGTATAAAATGGAAGTTATCCTGGCTTTGCGGACTTGCCATATATTCTGCTAATGATAAGCCCATGCTTGCTGTAAATTTAAATTTTCATAGCTATCAGTTTATTTTAGATATTTTAATAAATCAATCAACAGAATTCTACATAAACGAAATAAAACATTTCTTGCAAGCATATTGAATTTATCAAGCAATTTCTTTTTCATTCATTCATGCTCTGTTTTCTCGACCGCTTCCATAGTTTTTGCTAGTTGAAAATTGAAATTCAAGCTCTGATCATGATAATATATTTATTATTAATTACTGGTGTCATTTATTCATGTTAAACCTTTCAAATGATATTATAAAACTCATGTTATACCATACTGGTTAAAAAATAATCGATGAAAACTTATACCAAAAATTGAACATAACGTCCTTGTTGATAAGAAGTTTTCTATAATCATTAACTTACTTTTCTTAATACTATCATTAGTAGAATTGAAAATGCTAACTATAAAAAGAAACCACTTACGGCTACGCTTTGATTTGAGCAACATTGCTTGATAAATTCTACTTAGTTGTTCAATTGGCAAATCATTACCTGTTCGATCAATCTGCAATTGTCCCCATCAATTCTTGAAATAATTAATTTAGATTTCAGGCTTAAATAAATTGACATTTCTATGATTCATAGAAGTAAGAGTCTCCGCAATGATCAAAATTATTCCACTTCTCTACTTTGATCTTTTGCAAGAAAGATAACTTACACTTTTTGGCCACGCAATGCAATCAGTAACGAGTACGATAAGTAGTGTGACTGACAATTTCATGCTTGTATTAGCAATTTTTAAATTACCCTACAAATCTGCAGAACTTTGATTTAAAATTAATTTATTAGCATTACATCAATTATAATTTTTTGTGTTTGAAGTTCGCAAAAAAAAAAAAAAAAAAAAAAAATAATAATAAATATTGTCCCTTTAAAATAGCGATCACTGTTATCTCAATTTCTAACTTTCAGAAACACATATAACAAAATAGATTAAAAAAGGTATTATAATTCTAATTTTAAAAGCTTAATTTAGAATGCTTAAAAATTTCACAATTTTTTTTTTTTTTAAAACATCTGAAAAATTTTGTAAAGCAGCATTGATATGTTATTGAGAACAATAATTTATTCAAATGAAAGAATGGAAGTAAAATCCGTATCGGACAATAGATAACCATATGATTTCTGTAAAGCATAACTGAGAGGTCATTTGTTACATTCACCTTATTTATTAACTGCTAAAATATCAACAAGTCTTGCAGTAAGCTCATCTCATCTCATCAATTTCCCTAATTTTGTTTTTCGGTAAGAAGAAAAAGAATTATAAAAGCAAACAAAAATAAGTCAAATATTCCTACCGTGAAACTATATTCTTATTGATAGACTAAGTCTAAGAGTAGAATACTGTTAATATGATTAAAATTTGATTTTTGATGGTAGAACTTGAATCACAATATTTATCAGTTTGCTCTGATATGCAGTGTTGTCCTAAGTATTTTTGCACTTTAATTAAGTGTAATCTGTTTTAGTCATATTTAAATTTACAGTGAGCAATGTTAGAGTTTACTGATCTATTTTTAAATGTTTGATAAATTTACCTTGATCTAATTGATGCGTTTCAATTCAAAACAACACTAATTTTGATTTTGTCATTATCTGAGATTAGTGTCTGTTTGATGTTGAGTACTTTAGAATAAAAGCAAAAAACTAGAAATGCATAATAAGTTGTATTCGTCAACGGTTTTCAGATGATTGTTTCTTCGTTTTGAGATAAATGAGGCACTAATCTCAAAATATCTTCTGTTCTGTTCTTTAATCTATTTAATCTTATTTTGTTGTCTTCATTTTAGTTTTTAAAATGTTCACTTTTCCTTTGACGTATCTGCAGTTAGAAGGGCAATTCAGTGCACAAAATCTTCATCCTATCAAACTTCATTTCTTTTTCTTTTTTCTTTTTTTTTTTTTTTTGAAATTGACAAAATCTAAAACTATTCAATTCGCATTTCATTTAAGTTATGAAGAGAATTGTTTAATTTGGTATAAGACTCTTTCGTTGCAATAATTTGTCCCACAGATTTTGAACGAAATACAAATTTTACAATAATTGTCTCATCTGCTTGCTTTCCCTTCCGGTTTACACAAATTTTTGATGTTGGGATATGAGGGAAGGATTGGTGTCAGGCAGTGCATATCTTATGATCTACCTATCTTTCTATCTATCAATCAATCAATCGCATCATCTATCAGCGTTGTATCAAAAAGCGGAAACATCGTACAATCTCTTTTCTCCTTCCTTCCTTCATTCTCCCTCAATTCTCACCTCCCTTTTCAATTTTAGACTTATTATCATAACCATTCATCTTTTGCCCTCTTCAAAATTTCACTTACCAAATTTCAAAACTTCTTAACAGTTGAACATGATTGAGAGAGATAAGAGAGATGACCGCTCAACTGTTTTTTTTTTTTTAACTATTGAAAAAATAAGCAACATCAGACAAATTTTCAAACAATAAATCACATTTTTTTTGATTTATGATATGAGTGAAAGTTGAAATCAACAAGCAATTCCCATTTTCTTTCCACTGAAAGCTGCATCGTGCCACAATCTGTCAGTTTATCATATATTCAAAGTAATTTTTTATTTAAAAAAAAAACAGAACCACAACTACTAATTATGGTTCAATTTACCTCTCACATCTAAGAAGGCAACAATTTCAGGTATTTCAGGCAACAGTAGAATGCATAATTGTTCTGCAGCTAGCATTAGAGAAGGAACATGAAAATGGCGTAAGTGATATGCATCACATTTACTTCACGTCTACCAATCTTGCTGATATACGATTTACGATGTTGTGATATAATGATAATGAAAAGAAGTTTGAGGGAAATCAGATGAAAAGTAATTCAAAAGTGATCAATCGATCTTAAAACGTTGAAGAATGACGTGTAGCTTTGAAAGCAATATTAGTTCCTAATGACTGCAAAACTTATGAATATTTCAGTGCATACTGCTTACTAATTAAAGCGATAAAAGAAAATTACTGCCTGAATAAGCTCATCATCTGTTAAAAGTTAAACTTATTTTTTCTCTTATCATTTTTCAATCCTCCTTTCTACTTATCACAATTTAAGAATGATTTAACATTTTTTTTTTAATTAAAAGTACTAACTGAGGATAATGCTACTGGAAAGAAAGACAAAGTTTTCATTGACTAATTTCAAGTAATAAAATCAAATTTAACAATTACCTAGTTCATTATGAATTAGAGACTTAGTACACAAAACATACTTTTGATACTTAGTCGCCTATTTGCAGTTAACAAATTGATAATTTGAATTCCATCTTACCGTTAGCAGTAAAATGGATAACTGAAGTATTATTCGAACAGCATTTAGCCTATCTTTGGAGGAAATTAAAAAATGTTTACTACACTTTCATTTTACTACTTTTAACTTGTAACTTTTAACTTATTTTGCTTGTACTCCTTTCTTTCGCATTCTTTATGCTTTTCATTATTGGAACAAAAATTTTCAATTATTTTAACTTTCCCTCCTTACTTTTCCTATTTTTATGTTTTTCTGCTTCAGCATTCTCCTGAATAGTCTCTTTTTAAATACCGAAATTAAAATTGAAAATAATTATGTTCCAGCTGAGACCACACCCTGCTATCTTTATTCATAAAAGAGCTGAAATAATTATGACATTCATTCCTTAAATATCGGAGAAGTTAGCTTATCCATAATCAAAATAGAACCTAAGAAAACTTAAGAAAAAAAAAAGTAAGATGCATGCGAGCAAATTTTGAAATGAATGTAAACAATGAAGCAGCAACTTTTCCTTTCAAATAAATTATGATTGAAATTTAAATATTTAAATCCAAGTACCATAAAACCTAATTATAAAATAAACCAATGAGAAGAAATTTAATGAGTTAAACATTATAGAACAAAATCATAGAAGCGTAAATGGATCGCATAATGAATGCTCGGCAAAAATTATTTCATTTTAAATGGATCGAGAAAGAAAGTAGCGAAGCTTTATATGAATCACATCATGTCATTGTCTAAAAATATTTATGATCACTCCTTTTTTTCCCTTCTAGTGCTAACACACAATTAAATTATCGCATGCCATTTAGTATAATAATTTATAATTTGTGGTACCATCTGAGTCCTTATTCTACGTATAACTATATCCAGAATTCAATGCTTCTAAATATAGTAATTTAATATAACTTATATATAAATAAGACTACTGAATATGAAACACTCACACACATATGGTTTGCATATATATATTTATTGCTTTATACTTACACAGTGTAGTAGAATTCTGCACAAAATCACTGAATGTTACCTTCTCTATGATGATTTAATTTGATTGATAGACTATTTGAGTAATTGTGTACGAATCACGTTGTATTCAAAACTGTCACAAAGGTTTTTGAATTACCTGTGCTACAGCAGATATGACTGAATAATATATTCCAAGTTGAAGAGAGCAATAAGTATGTTCAAACTAAAAGTAAATGAATAAATCTAACATAATTTGAATTCTTGAAATGATCTAGATATTTCAAATGGTAAATAATTTGATATATAAAATTACATATTCTTAGTTCTTTTTGCATTTTGTATCAACAGCTGATCAGTATGAAGAATTGATTTCCACAGTTGTTCTCCTTAGCTGATAATTTGATTAGTTAATAAAAGTTGAACGAAAGCACTATTGAACTGATAGGAACAGGCGCATACGGAATACACTTCAATGATAATTGGTTGTCAGTACGTACGTCTGTCTGCCTTTCATCTATCTATCTGTACTTCATTAGCTCAGCTGAGGTATGTTGAATGAAGAACGATTAGAATATATTCGTTCAATGAAATGTGTACGAATTGCAAGAAAGCGAACATTCATTCGTCCCTTCTCAAAGATTAACTTTACGTATGACACGACACACAGAAAGTGATGATATAGATGATGAGGAATAGTTCGTTACTCTTTTAACGAACTATTCCTCATCATCTATATCAACTCGAAGTAGCCAAGTTGATCTTCTTCCCTATTGCTTCAGATCAGATCTCTTCCAATCATTATTTTCCTGCCCATCTGATGAATGATACAAACATATTACTACTACTATTACTATGAACAAATGTATTGTTGCATAATTCATCTAATGTTACCTGCTTGCATTCAAATCTTAATCGAAGATTTAAAAGTTGCTTGGTTATATTTACAGTTTCAAGTTACACTACTTTTCATTCTAATTCCATGTATTCTAATTTTTTTTCCACATGCTTTCCTAAATCTTTTCACTCTTCATCAGTTGCTGTTACTATCACTCGGGCAACTCCGCACGGCTACTTACTGTCGTTTTATTATCATCATCATTTACTCAGATATTTTTTTGTTCTAATAGCAACAGCAATAATTCAACTTTCTTCTATATTATTTTCTCTAAGATTGCATTTGCCAACGATCAGTTTGTAAATTGATGATAGTAGCTTCTACATAAATATTTCAGATCATTTCGAATCATTTTTAACTCGTAAATGCCTCAATTTTCAATACTTTCTCCATATTTCTTCTTAGGTGTGCTGAGAAGTATCTACCTGTGAAAAGGATTAGTAGAGAATGACGTCAAGATAAACCTTGTACGTTAACAAAAAACGAAAGACGTAAACAGATTTTTTGTACTTCATCTTCTTACCTTTGCTTAGGTTTTCTTGTTTTCTTTTTCCATGTTAACAACCTTTTTTTTTTTTTAAACTAATCTTCGCCTATATTAAAATTAGTATTATAGACGCTTTAGCCTTTTTATGTGGCGTATTCAGATAGAACAAACTGATAACAAAACCTTAACTGATGAACTAGATTCAAATACGTAATTCGGCATAAATTAGACAAATTGCGCGGAAAGTTTTTTATCCGCAAAAATTGCTAATTCGTTTTTTTATATAGTTCCCCTTCATGATTTGCAAAATGCAAGAAATCAATGGTTACAATTTTACATAAAAATTTGTGTGATGTTTTCATTCTTATTCGATCATATTTTCATTTAAGTACATCTAGAATAGCAATTGCAGAAAAAATATTTCCAGAAAAAACTTTCAATTAATGGGAAAAGAAGTAGGAGAACAAGTTAAACAGCATGAACTCGTTTATTAAATCGACAAAAGATTGATAATTTAAATATTTTTCCTGATGTTATTTTGGCACTGCTGAAACAGTCGATAGAAGTGCTGAAAATATTGTAGATGACAGATGGTTCGGTATGACTGAAAGTTTTCGAGAAATGGTAAGCTTCGCTTGGATTAATTCACATGCAAACAAGTTTTGTTTTCTGCTGAAATCATTGTTTGCTTCACAACAGATAGAAAGAAAAGTATTTCTAATGAATGGTTGAAAACAATTACTGATCATTTCTTCTTAAATTAAATTCAATAAGCTGTTTGCTCTACTGCTTTTGCTAGCAACAAATATAAGTCGTGTCACTCGACTTGTATTCTATGTGCTGCATATGGGTATGGGTAACATCTCAATGAGTACTTTTCCTGGATTGAATAAAAAGCATAAGTGTTATCACGAGTAATTCATAAGGAGTTGCATTTTTTTTTTCTTTGTTTTTATGATAAGTTGTAATCGATAAGAAAAAAAAATCCCTGTAATGTCTATAAAAGTAAAAGAGTGAAGAAATTATCAGAGTATGTTCAGTTTGGTTATCTGTCGAATGAATTTGAGGAATGTTCGCCTAGCAGCCGTCTTCAATCCATATCACCTCATATCTCTAGCAATGGTACCAGATCACCACGCCGGAAAAGCAAATCACCTCAGCCACCTGATAACAGGTTCCTACTTCACTCATCAGAAACAGTTTCATTAAAAATTGCACCTAATCAATTTAAGATATATTCATTTGCATAATTATTTTACGAGCCTGAGCATAATCTTTACAAAGTGTGAATAGAGTTATCCTTTCCAACTATTAGTAATTAAAAATGCAAATGGTAGTGAGAAAGAATAAAAAGTAAGCTATCACTTTTGCAATAGACAGAATGAATTTCAATTAATGTCAGTAAATTCCATTAATTTATTTTAATTAGAGTAGACTTAATTATAAGTTTTATGTCTGCAGCTCATTTATCATTTATCAGTAATAATATTAGCAAAATCTTGTTTACAACAAATGAAAAATGTGTGTAGAGAAGAAGAAACAAATTCATTGCAGTACGGAAAGGTGTGGTAACTGTTCGCCACAAACTAATGTAATCAGAGATTCGCGACCTGACATTATCGCTTGGCCGACACCACCAAATGCGCAAAGTACTAATAACAATAATCAGGGAAATGGTTCAGAGGAATCTACAAAGTTATTCTCCATTCTCAAAGTGGCTTCTTCAAGTAAAATCTTTTTCGTCATAAGGAATAGATTGCAAAAATAGGAGCGTTACAAATTTCAGCTATCTAATCAAAATCTGATTGTTATCATTTAGCATTTCAGCCAAATTTCAGAGATTCAAGTAATCTTCGTATAAGTAAATTTCTTTAATTGCAGCTGCACCTCGAGGACGAGAAAGCGAGCTGAAGAAGAAGATACAAACTCTGGAAGATACGGTTGCTGAATATGAACGACAGAAATATAATGTTATGGGTACATTTAGGTTAGACTTATGGGCCATTTTTCGAAATTTTCAAATGAATCGAAAGAAAGAAGTGTAACAAAACTAATTAATAAATAAACTAATAGTGGCAAATTTCAACGTATATATTATAGCGAATATAGAGAACGAGTAGCAGAACGAGAACGAAAACTGGAAGCGGAATATTCTAGCAGAATTATAGCTCTTAGCGAAGAAGTTCTTGGAGCTAAAAAAGATTTTGAAGCTCGGATGAAAAGCTTTCAAGCTTTACAAGTACCATTCACTACTCTTTACTCTTTCAAAAAATCATATTTATTTACAGATTTATCAAAAACTGGCTCCTCTTTTCTAAAATATATGCCACTAGTTTACTGTTTGTGTAGTATGAAATTAAGAGAAGAAAAATCAGAAATGCGATTTTCGATCCCCTGAGTTTCCATTCTTCCTGAAGTTGGGTGAGACTTGAACCCAATTTAACTTAGGACAAATTTGAGCGAGAAAAAGAACAAGCGCTTGAAAAATTACGTCAAGAACATCAAAAGGAGATTCAGTTACTGGAGCAACGTTTTTCCGAGTCACAATTACTCAATCTGGAACAGAAGTAGGTCTTTATTTATTTATGAGATATACTTAATCAAAGCAGTTCCCATCTCTACATAACATCATAAAGAATCAAAATGGACATCCTGAAAATAGCTAACAAATGTTTGCTACAGATATATGATTGAAATTCAACGACTGGAAGAAGAACGAAAAAGTTTGAAAGCTGAAAAAGAGCGACTAGGAGAGACATTTGAAATGAAACTTCGAAGAGCACAAAGTTTATACGAGACCGAATTAACGGCAGCGAAAATGCTGTATTCAAAAGAACTTGAAGCGTTACGAGATCATGAAGAAGCCCTCAAGGAGGAACTTCTGGCACGGTACCACTTACATTTAAGCGTAGAATTTTGGTATAATTCACACAGATTTTCAGACATATCTATGCATAAGTCACTATATATGTATATAATACTCATAGTATACATTACAAAGGTATTTCTGAAGCAATTTTAAAGTCGAAAAATGAAACAAATTTTTACTTTATCATTCTCGAATATAAATAAGCCTATATATATACAGGCAAGATGAATTCCATGATCGTCTCCAAGAGTTACAAGATCAAACAAAACGAAGTAGAGAAGAACTTGCAACATGTAAGAATGAAGTAACAGCACTGGAAAAACGATTACTAGTAAAAGAGGCAGAAGTTGTGGCAATTTCTAAAGAGGTACTGGCAGTTCGTTTTAAAAATAAATATTTGAATGAATTTTAAGGCGTAAATAATAATTAAAACTTGCAAAATTTGATTTGTCTTAGTAGATTAAATTAGCTATATTGTTCTGTCCAAGAACTATCGAGAACATCTGATTCTTATTTGATTTGACGTGATTTTATTTTATTTTTTTCTTTCATTTAATCCAAAATTAGGCAATTTTATCACTTTTTATCAAATTCATTTAAGAATTAACCTAAAAAGAATAAATAGGCTAGCAATACTTTTTGCAGCTTGAAGAAGCTCGTAACGAAACGAACGATTCATTGAGGAAACTTTCGCAAGTAGAAAACGAACTACAAGAAGCTAAACAACAATATCGACAACAGGAGGAGGAATTGCAGCGCAAGTCCAGTAATGAATTTTCAATTGATTCGTCTTTCTTTTTTTTCGTGATTCAAATAAATGAATGAAAAAAATTGCATAGTGGACAAATTGTAGATTTACTAAATATCGTGGAAACTGCAAAAAGTAAATTGGAAGCATTCATTCGAGATTTGCAAGCCGAGGTAAAAGCATTGAAAAACAAAGTTGAATTTTTGGAGAAAGAAAGAGAAAATTTGCAAAGTCAAAGCGAAAGTCAGACAAAATTGCAGAATTCACAAGTGAATGCTCTCGAAGCGGTCAGATTTTCTTCTCACTCTTAAAGTCAACATTATGTATTTTATTAAGTAGTGGATTCAGGAAAATCATTAATGAATTCAGGAAAATAATTAATGAATATTTCTGTAAACACACAAAAACTATTCCGAAATTTCAGACCTTATCAGATAGCAAATGATATTTCAAGCAAAAATTCTTTTGACAAAAAAAAAAAATTCTGGTAAAATGATTGAATTTTATTTAATGTTAAGGTTCTGGAATCAGTGACAAAGGAAAAAGAATCAACGAAGGATCACTACGAAAGTCTTTTAGAGAGAGAACGTCAACAGGCAGAGGAGCGTGAATATGCAATGAAGAAAGAATTCAGTTCGAAATTAAATGAACTTGAATCGCAGTACAACAGTTTAAAGGATCATCTGGAGCATAGTACAAAGCGAAACGTAGAACAGGTATTTTCGGATCAGTTAGCAAATCAGCTAATTGCAACTTTCTCTCATCTCCTACAAGACATTTCAATCCTACCACCAGTCAATATATTCATATTCAAATATAGGAAATTGCCTGAAAAATTTTTCGGAATTTGTTCATTTTTAAAATTCAGGAAATACTGGATGTTAAGGAAGAGAACCGTGCATTATTGACAAAAGTGGACACATTGAAATATAAGCTTGATCTACTGCTAGAAAGCAATGATGTATGTTTATTTTTTTTAGCTCAGTGTCTTTGAAGACTACGATGTTATTCTTTATAATATTGAGGGAAGTGTTGAAAAGTGTTGCTACAAGAACTATTTACTACAATTTTAAATTCTTTTCTAATTCGAATTAATTGAATATTTATATTTTCATTTGTTTATCCTTCGTTTATTCAATCAACGAATCAATTTTTCGCTCTCTTTTAATCATATAACTTTAAAACTGTAATTCGATTTATACTATACCATTAAGTACTATTGTATATATTCGCCAGTTTATAAATTCATTCAGAAGTTTACTTTTAATTATTCATAAATTATCCATAACAAGTATGCCTGAATTATGGTAATTACGTTGAAGCTAATGAATTTTGGGAATATTCAGGATAGCGATAGTGGAACAATACGAAAAATTAAGCAATTAATTGATGAAAGCGATCAAATGAAAGACGAAGTGGAAAAATACAAAGAATTATTGAATAAGAAAGAGTTAGAAATAAAAAAATTAGAGCAGTTTGAGCGACAACGTACAGCAGTTGATGAGATGTCAGTTATCAAAGATGAAATTGGGTATGTACTTCTATTGTGCAGGAATTCTAATTTAAAATACCAAGCTTTGTAATGGAATAATTATTTTTTACAGTTACGTATGAGTTTACTAGCAGAGATTAATGATACATTGATCTTGCATTATAGATTTCAATTAATGAATTCAGATGGACATTTGAAAAGAGATGAGGAAGTGAAGAAGTTGAAAACCGAGGTAATACAAAAGTTTAATTCTCAATTCATTTTTGGTTCGTTTTATTTCTTACTTCTTCAATTTTCAGAATCAATTTTTAGAATTATTTTAGATTGCTGAACTCTTAGCTGAACGAGAAGATGTGGTAATTTTAAATGAAAATTTACTGAAATTAAAGTCTGAAAACGAGAAATTAATAAACCAGCTCAGGTATTTGAATGTTCAAGATTCAAGTGACATTAGAGACAGTGGACAAATGGTATGTTATTTTTCTGCAATTTGCTTGAGTAAATTTAATCCATTCTTGTAATCGCAATCAGCATATGTCGCCTCAGAAGAATGATTCATGCAATTTGTGAATTTTTTTTTTGTGACATATTTTTGATTCATTGATCCATTTATGTAATATTAATTTTTTTTTCTCCCTTTTTATTTTAACTTTAGAAAGTAAAGCAAACTTTTCAAGAGATCCGATGTGGAGCAAAGAATGACTGATGAGATTAGTCAGAAATGGGAAAGTACAGAAATCTCAGAAATCAGTGAGAGACGTTTGCGAGGTATGAACAAAATTTTTTTTGACACTCTCTGTAGTATATTAAATAATAACGTAATTTAATTAGACTTGGAATTTTTCGGAATTTTTTTTTTTTTTTTTTTTTTTTGCATTGGTCAAAAATGCTGTGAAGTCTGGAAATGACTGCAATATTCATTTATTATTCTCATTGTTCAACTCTTCCAGTGCTTGAATTATTATCACTCAATCAATTATCAAGTAGTTCATGAACAATTTCAGAAGAATTTCAAGCACAGTTGGAAGAAAGAGTTGAAGAAGAAACATTGAAAGTAACATCCCGATATGAAATGGAAATTAACGAAGCCAAAAATACTGCCAATGAAAAGGTTGCTTTTTTTTTTTTTTGAGTGCTAGTAAATTAAATCTACGATTTTAAAAATGCATTTTATACTTTCTGGAATTCTTAAGGCTAGGAACTTTCTGGGATTTTCGCAGTACTTCATTGCTCTTAGCTTCAGTTTTCAAAACGTTGAAAGAAAAAAAAAGAAAAAAAAAAAAAAAAAAAAAAAAAACGGAATTTTTTTTTTCAAGAAAAAAAAAAATTCCGTCGCTTAATTAACTGATAGAATTTCCAGAATAAAGAATTGGAAGCGAATATGAATATTTTGAAAAATGACTGCAGCCAAAAAACAAAACAAATAACAGAGCTATCCGATAAAAATAAGAAATTAATGGATGAAATAAGTGCGATACATAATGAACTTGAAAAGAAAAATCAGGAAATCAAAAACTTCAGCAAAAAAACGGACGAATATCTCAGGTAAAAACTGACTTAATTTGATAATCAATAATTCAAAATTCCATTAAAAATAAGTAACAGATTATCTAGTCCGATATGTAACTGCAAGAATTTATGATGGTGATTTTAAATTTTATCAGGAAGCGAGAAAATCAACAAGCTCAGATTCTTGAGAAAAAAATCGTAAATTTAAATAAGGAACACGAAAAAACGATCGAAATGATGAAGAAACATGAAATAGAATTGGTCAACAAGTACCAGAAGCTTCAACAACAGCTTACAAATAAGTTTGGATTTTTACCAATACTTTATTAGCTGCTTTTTTTTTTTCAGATCTTCATTGAATTATCTATGAAGGTAAATTAAAAATCTATCAGAATTTGATATATCGGTGCTTTGTCACCAGCATTTTTTCTGAAAATAACATACATTGTTGCTTAGCAACAATAATTCAGACCTGAAACTGGCACACATGGGATACAAACAAATATTGAAGATGAAAATGAAGCAGGAACGAGTGAAATAAATCCGGAATTAAACGAGCAAATACAACAGTTGCAGAAAGCACTTGGAGTGAGATAATATTTTTATGTATTTGTTTACTATTTATTCAAAATAATACATAAATAACTTTCGAAAGCTCAAAGGTTAGAAGCTATTTGGCAGTTTCATGATACTCAAGTTTTCTTATTAAACTTAAGCATCTAGAAAGTTTGCTCATTAACTATTTAGGAAAAAGATGCTCTTATATCTCAGCTGCAAAAAGCTCTAGAAATTTTACAAGAATCCGAAATAGAGGACAAAAAAAACAGATCGGTTGGTTATTTCTTTAATACTATTATATTGTAATATGTTTGTATACATTTCGATTTTAATACAATAACATAAAACTGGAACAAACCTTCTTAAGTGATAGAGAATTATTTTGGTTGAAAATTTATACCTTAAGTTATTCAGTTTTACTTTCAAAGCAGAATTTTTTTTCACATATTCAGAACAGTTTTACGGCTGGTGAAGCTTCCAAAAATCAAACAATTACAAGCAATTTGCAAATTTTACTTACTGAAACGCAACGACAAGCTAAAAGTAACTCGAAAAGTGGTAAGCAAGAGCTTACCAAGAGCAAAAAAAGGAAGGAAAAAGAAAGTAGTGAAAAGGATAAAGTAAAGTTAGTGGTTTCATACTAATTTTTTACTCCATATTTACTTATAACCATTATTTAGATCTGATTTTGAAGATCAAAAATTAAAACATCATATAAATTCATCCATCTAGTTTTTAACATTAAGTTGAGTAATTTCAATTTCAATCTTTAGTTTTTCAATTGAATAATTTCCTCATTTTAGTCATTGCGCAACTGGTATACCAAGGCCAAAGTCACCCAGTTATTCCGGCCGGCTTTATGAACGAAGTCTTACAAAGTCAAAATCACCAACAGTAGATGTAATAAAGCAAAAAGAGGACAAAAGGTAATTCATACATTTAAGCAACAAGTTCAGATTAGGATCTACATTTTCAGTGCTGTCATTTTCTGTTTCACCTGTTGAGATGAAAACATTCTAAGTTTCTGGAATGCTGCTATTACTGCTACTGCTACTGCTGCTGCTGCTGCAGTTTTATTTGCAGAAGTCTGCTCTCTCCGGATTTCGAACGATCTTCGTTGACTGAGGAGCATAGACGAAGCTCACCTGGACGTCAGCCATCATTGCGTCCCAAAAAAGAAGCCACTTCGTCATCTGTTGGTTCATCCAATTCTTCGGGTAATAAGGATGACTTGAAGAGACCTGCTTGGAAGTTCTAATTACAACTGTTGTCAACTGTCCAATTAACTATTCATCCTTTACTTGTGTTTTTTTCGTTCCAAATTTGCTAAGGATAATACTTTATCGAATCTAGCAGAGTTTTCCATGCGCATAATAGAGTGAAATTTTAGCTGTCAATTTAGATTTGCTGCATTTAATTTCACCAAATTTAATTTCATCCTAATTAATTGCAGTCAGTGAAGGATATTACAAAGAATGATTTTACAGCTGAGAAAATTTTTAGCAGTTATTCATAGAACTTTTATCATTTATAACCTGCTTTAGAAGTCTACATGAAGTTACATCAGAAAACGGTTTCCGAGAGGCTTTTTTTTTTTCTTTTTTATCATAGATTTTGGAAAGTAAATGTCTCTTTGATATCGTTTTGAATTTAAAAATCATGTAATTCACTGAGATCATGTGCTTATCTGTTATTATTAGTCTGTATGTTGCACTTACCATTGTACATTTGATCAATTCTATACAAATAGTCTTTACTGTTGCAAACGCAACATTCTGCACAGTATGTGACAAATATATTATTTAATTTCATCATTTGAGTTCATTTCGATTTCGAGCAATTTTCAACAAATTGTTAGCAAAAATAGGCATAAGCGATAGTGGCTAGAATCTTCCGTCGCAATTTATTTCCGTATTTTCTGGTTTTCTTCCTGATAATGACATGAAGTCAGAGAACTATTCACTATCCAGCAGCAGTACGGATAGTAAAGTTGTGTATAACACCGATACGTCCATAACTGAATCTTCTTTCGGCATGACGCATAAACGTTGAACGTTTTCAATACAGCCTACGGATTCACGCAAGCACGCACATGCGCAAACACACACAGGTACACAATACCTATGGATTGACAGCGATCTGTAAAGACAGACGTGAAAATGCGTAGGATAAGCAAGCAAGTCGTGAACTTTTTTACGAAATTTCAACGTTGAAAAGTTAAACTATGTCAATGTTATTATCGCCTATATGTGTTCATTCAAAAATATGAATAAACTTTTCACCACTGTCATCGAAACAAACTAATTGGCGACGGATCACAAAATCTGAATGCGAGAATGTTCAGTGTCGCGCATCACGTCTGCCAGTCTCACCTTTCTTCGTGCACTCTCGAACTTGTCATTCTCATTCTTCCGCTTTGCATCCTTAAACACTTCCTTTAAACGGTTGTTTATCCATTTCGCATCATCATCCATACGTCCGCTCCTTTTCAAAACATACCCACCTACTCAAATCCAAACAAACAAACAAACAAATGGACAGACATGCATACACACGTGTAAACACGCAGACGTGGACGGAGTCAGGACTATACGGCTGAGATCGATGTGATATTTCATTGTATTGTTTAGATAAACAACTTGTCGGTCTTTATCAATCACTAAGTTTTCATTCTACGTGACAATTCATTTCACGTTTGTACGAGTGCTGGATTATTGAGTTTCATTTGGGGTAAACATTTTCTCCATTTTGCATTGGAAAGGAAAGACGACTATAACTGCTGGGAGGAAAAAGAGCTAATTTAAAGGATAATCTGTCTTCATCGCGAAATATTACTTTTCCCGAAAGTTTCAGTAAAGCATTACTGTTATCCGTCACGTCAACCTCTTTCCTTTCCTTTTTTAGATCATCAAGAGAAATTACATACATTCATACAGACGGACAGACAGACGACAGGCACATACACATACATGCATGCGCACATGCGCTGAATACGCCAATTTTTCACAGCTTTTTTTTGCTCAGCAATGTGAATTGTCATAACTTTGTTTTAATTTCTCAAAAATGCGTATTTTTTTATTAAGTGTAAGGGATCAAAGTCATCAAAGTCACCTGTGATTTAGAAGATGCCACCAAAGTCATCAGAACAAAGTTACATTGAATCAGAATTCGTTATTGCTTCTTTTTTTTTTCTACGTGATTGTCATTTGCAGCACTGGACGGAATGGAAATAAGGGTCATCGTAGATGGGATCGAACGGAGTGTTTCCGGAATAACGAATAGCACGACATGCGCTCAAATTATTTATGCTCTTGCCCATGCTACAGGACAGAAGGGCCGTTTCGTTTTAATTGAAAAGTTTCGAGATACGGTAAGTATTTAAGCACTAATTTGGCGTATAAAAGATTTGCCGGAGACTTAGCTGAATCGCAAGAATTCTCTGGATACAGTGCTGAACATTGTAGAAGAGACATTATTTGATATGCTAGTTCTCCGATTAGAAACTTGTCGATTTCTTTCCAGAAATTATTTGTAAACATTTTGATTTAGGAAAGAAGTTTGGCACCGTTAGATCGACCGCTTGAAATGTTAAAGAAAAGGGGTACGCATTCACGTTACGTGACGTTTCTCCTGAAGCATCTAGATGAGGGTCCATTATCAGTTGCCGGCGAAACTTACCTTATTGATACTGACGATCGTTTGGTACTAATCACATCTTTTTTACTGTCAATCGCTGTACAGGAAATCTATATTAGCAAGATTTTTTCACATCTTTGTTATCCTTTCATAAATGTTGGCTTTAAGTAAGTATAGTAGGGGACATGCAAAGGTTTTTTACTTTAGAAAATTTCAACTACTGTTTTTGAAAAAAGACGATTTAAGTGATTATTTGCAAGAAGGATGTTAACTGGTAACTTCCACTCACCTTTTCTACCTAACCTTTTGCTCATCAAAGTTTATCTTTGTATAGAGTTTGTGCGTCATGTCCATTAACATATCGTTACGTCTAACATTTTCTAATTACCAATGGATTTTCTATTGGTGAAACTTACTGTGCCACCTTCCATTTCTTATTTATTATGACTAATTTTACAGTTATTCTTTCATTTTTAAAAAGTTCTCAATTTTTCATGATTTTAAAAATTTTAAGGAAAATTCACAACTGAAAGAACCATGCTTCACTTCATTGGTTAGTTCTGTGCCCCAAGGTGTGCACATCAACGGTACCGATATTGAACAAAATCGAGGAATGGCTTCTCCCACTGCCGTCCTTCCTTCGATGCCAGGCACATATTTCCCAACTTACGATTATTTTTAGCTAGCTGAAATTTTTTAAAGATGTGGGATCTTTACAACTTAAAGGTTCTTGTGCACCACTTCTTCCAAAGTTATTGTGCATTTGCAGAACAGTCGTATCGTCCAGTCTTCCAAAAAATCAGCATGCAAGAGGTGACCGTTGAACGAATCAAGAATCGCCCACCTCCACCGGGTAAATTATATCGTGTTAGTTTAAGTAGTAGCATAAGTGGAATGATTGAATAGTTACAGTGATTCTGTTTATGTGAAATAAACAGAATCATTGCACCTACTTTTTTTCTAATTGTGTTAGATATTGGTACTCATTGACCTGGTCTCCTCAAAAGAACAAGAACTGCTGAAATAATAATTACTATTATTTGTGGTGATAATATTACAATGACAATCACTTACTATAATACGTCGCTGCCATATGAGTAAGGCTGAAATAAAGATTTGAGGAGCATAAATGGTTTCCGAAAAAAAAAAAAATCAAAATTTTGAGAAATTTCACACAAAACAAAATTATGTAAGTTATATGGTCATTGCAGCCTACCATGAAGTAATTGAACAACGTTTTACTTCTTTATCCAAACAGAATACGCCATTCTCATCATTAACACCAATACAATCGGCTGATATTTCCATCAATGACCAATCGCGCCTTATTAAGTTAGTTAACTATTGCTGCATAATCGCTGGCTGTTTTACTAAGTAAATCATCGTTGTTTTAAAACAGTTTAAGAAAACACATTTTTTTTTATCCCTGAATTCTTTACCTTTCTGGGGAGCCCTGTTCTAACATTGTAAGTGATGTCCATAGCCCACAGCTCACAATTTATTATCTTGTTGAACTTCAGTAAAAAATTTATTATGCTTGAATAATTGTAAAAGTATTCCAATTCTAGCAGTGTGGCGTCTCAGCCAATCAATCTGGATAGCGGTGGTGTTTTGATAAGTAAGTTTTGTAATTTCAATTTTTATCTGTTTTGAAGGAAAGTTTGAATTTATTTCATGGTGACTTCTCCTTATCCTTTTTAACAAAAATAGTTTGCCTAATTGGTGTAAGAAAAATCTTATACCATAACTGACAAAAAAATTTCGTCCAAAGTGTGGAATAACTTTTAATCCAACTGAATTAACATTATTTTGAATCAGTGGATGTTTTCGTGAATTCTTAGAAATTTTTGTTTCCTTTTTCAAATTTAGTACATGACACTGGACATGTGTTAATTTTCTATTTTCCTTCCCAAATTGTTTGGTTTTTTCGCAGAAAAATTGAGTACTAATGCCTTGGAAGAACTGATTCAAGATCAGAGTCAAATTATCGATCAACAGAAAGCTCATTTAGCCAGATTGGATCTTGCTGTCGACAATGCCCAACAACGAGAAGTTATCCAAGTGATTATGCATGTTATGTTGGTCCAATAAACTTTAAAGTTTTAAAAATACAGAACTTCCTGTAGTTAAATTCTCTCCAGTATATTGTTGATGAGCATAAAAAATCGTAGAATTTAGATAGGGAAGATTGTTCCCTGTATCCCGAAACATAGTTTATTTATAATGATAACAGTAATTGCATGCAACTACGAAAGGTTCATTGAAAACCTTGGTTTTTTATGCGAAATCACTGAATGACAAACCTATCTATTCACGGCATCCAATTTTTCATACTTTCTGGAAAGTATAACAAAAACGACATAATTTACGTCTCGAAATTTCTATTTCTTTTTTTTTTTTTTTAGCTGAGAAGACAACAGGAAAATTTAAGAGCTGTACTGAATCCGTTACGGGAACGTGAGTGGCCAAACCGTTTACAACATGAGCGTACTGAGTTGCAGAAAATTACTGCGGCCATCAATGAATTTAAACAGAAGTTGGATGCCATCACAAAGTAGGTTTTGTTTCATCAATTTCCTTCACTGTGAATTTTCTTGTTACGAAGTAAGATGAATTTGTTATGACGGAATTCGCTGCTACAAATGCTTTCAAATTTCAGTGAAGTTAAATTGCGAACTGAAGAAGGGGAGGAATTAGAATACGGTATACTGATGTTGGAGGACGAACTCAAACAGCTGGAGGATGATATCAACGATGCGATGTGGTCTGAGTTAACGAATGAATAATATATTTCACTTCCCTACATGAAACTAACTGATGATTTGTGTATTTATTGATTTTTTGGAGCTTTTATTCATATTGAAAATAAGTAATAATGAGAATGATGAAATTCAAGAATTTATCATTAAAAAATTTTCTCAAAAATTTTCGAAAATCGGAGGATTTGGTCGTGAACTTGGAAACATGCTCAAGATTATATGCTGTTCACTGTAACATACCGTTTATTGTAATATAATTATATATATTAACTATTGTCACTCTCTTTTGATCGACATTTCGTTTCATCACTTGTTTATCTTAAATTTTGACCTCAGGTTTTGTTGTAGCGGCGGAATATGGAATTTAAGATATAGCTGTTTGCTTTTCCTCTTAGCTTTTTAATTGCTCAGTCTTTATTGTTTGTTTTTCATTACCTTCTTCAACTTCATATTTTCCCCTTACTAGCGCTTTTTGAATATCAATCAGTTCATATTCTTACTGTTATCCTCACTCTCTGTTTACCATCATTTATTTGTCTGTCTTCTAAAAATTTGAAATTCCGACATAAGTCCGTAAGCAGCGTTTTATTTCGTGCGTTTTGCAGAGGATATGCACTTTGCAAGTGCAATTTTACCTAGTGATACTGGTTGTCATTGCCAAAAAGCACCTCTTAGAAGAATCAAATCTTTTTTTTTTTTTTTCACCTTTTATCCTTCCGTGATAGACTTTTTAGATTTTTGTGCTAACTGTTGCACGTGGCGTATTTCTAGGATAACCAAATTATCGGTTGCAGTAGAAATATATATGTGGATGATTTTGCTGAGAACCCGAGAGTTAAGCATAAGTAGGTTGCAGCTGAATTTGACACCAAGTTACTGCTCACCTATATTTTCTAAAAAGTTTTTATGGATCTTCAACTAGTTAGGGGTATACTCACAGTAAAAATTATAATTTAAATGTTGTCATCCGCGCATTTTGGGTACTTTGTTTTTAATGTATTTTCTACTTAATATTTGTTAGAAGTGTATTGCAGAATTGCAAACAAGTACTGTAAGCATTCCGAGACATTTGTGAACTTTTTTTTTTTCTTTTTTCTTGATTTTCAAATCTCGAAGTCGGCAATCATTTTATCGAATGTGGCCTACTGTCACCGAATTTCTCCATTCTCTTTCTGAATGCTTAGTGTTAGACTGGTATTAATTTGTAGTCAACGTAATGTACTGGACATGGTACTAGAATAGTTGTATCGATTTCTTCGAGTATGACTGTTAAAGAAAGTGGCTTACCCGTAATTATTTATTGCATGTCAATTGATGGATGTATTCATATAACATTTCAATCCATCAAAAAATATAAAGTATTGAAATACTGGAATGCAAAGTTCATAATTTACTTTGCAGTGTCTATTTCCAGTAAATGTGCTTTGTTTTATGTTGGCTGTGTTAGTTTGTCACTTGAATAAATGCTCAAATTTAAATGATTTTATAAGAGAGATAACTTGTTTGTTTGTCTGCAAATATTTTAATTGTTCCAGCCATCTTTATATAAATATATGCATTGCAAACACTTCTGTATCCATAATTCCTTTCGATGCTCCATTTTTTCTTCACTTTTTCTTTACATTCGTATTGGCTTTATGTGGATGACTAACATCGATACTGTTGTTCTAGGTTTAACATCTTTTTGTTTTGATCGTATTTATTCCAAAGTGTCATTTGAAAGGTGTTAAGATTAACAAGTAGTTGCAATTATAATAGTGCAGTATTCTCACTTTTGCTATCGAGGAATGCGCTATTTTCTTCTCTCGTTTGTTGCTCGATTATAGTTTTTCGAAATCGGCAAAAGATCTGATTGCAAGAGGACGAAGTTTTACATCAACTGGCTATTGCAAATTTATGTTTTAAATCTTCAAATTAGATATCAATGGACTTTAATTCTGGAAAGTAAGTAATTCAACATTTTTTTTGCTAGTCTGCTTATGGTTAGATCATTTAAAAATAGAAGTTACCAGTTTTCAAGTCTATTTTCTCCTTTTCATTTAGAATACGTATAGGGATTTTATGGGTTGGAGAGTTCTTTTTTTGTTCAGATGCTTTTTTTTTTTTTTTTTTGTTCTATAAATATGATTACTGACCAAGAATTATTGCATCTAGTTGTTTGTTTGAGACAGTCTTTTTATTAAAATGAACTTGTCACATAATTATAAAGAAGTGATGTTTCTAATTTTCTTTCTAAAAAGCTCATCGAAATAAACTGTTAGTGATGGCTGTGTTTAATACATTAAAAATTTCGTCAAGATTGAAGTAATATGTTTGACTCCTAGAATGTGACAATTCCATAATGATTGTAAATGTTTATGAATTAGCAAATTGTTCAGTTAATTTCCATTTCCTATTTCTTATCAAGCGAACACTTATTTAGCAGCGACTAATTAAAGTCATTGTTCTCTTATCATTTCCTTACCTTCACTTCTTTTCTTTCTCATTTCATATCATCAGTTGTAATTTGCTGGTTTTTTGTTTTTCTTTGATGTTGTCATGCTGGTATTTTCCCTAGAGTTCCAATAAACCTTAATTATATTTCTTGCTTGCAAATATCAAACAAATTCATTTAATTCGATTCATTATTTGACTGTTAACCTATGATTTTCAGTTTTATTGATTAGTTGTTATAGATGACTGATTCGTATGATTTTTTCATTTCTTTTCTCTATTTATATATGTCTAGATAAGATTTAATATTACCACTGAAGTCCTATTAACTCTGCTTCCGTCAGCGTTTTTAATTATTCCTCTTTTTCCTTACATTTATATTATTGGTAGTAGAGGACATTAAGCTTAATCAATAATGCTCTTCCCATTTATTCCTCTATTTTGCACTCAGATGATTCAAGACTCTGGTATAAGTTCTGCTTAGACATTTCATATCACGAAAGTTTTGTAAATTTTGCCTCACCAGACTGTTTCACTCCATTTAACTTCTACTGTAATAAGTATACCAGTCATTCGAATATTGTAAAGTTGAAAGATGTAGATTGATGAATATACATAGTCTGTGATAGTTATGAAAGTTATGTAAACGAAACTCATTATAGGGCAGAAACGTAGGATTTAAATGTTCCTTACCTTAACTAATATATCCGTGCTATACTGTAAGTTACTCAAGTTTTGTGCAGCCCATTTTCAATATTATTAATTATAATACAAAATTCGCTTATCTTTTTGCATAAATTTTAATCAACTGGACGTAATTTAATTTAATTCAGTTCCGAGAAAACAATGTCTGAATTGGTATCTCAACTAAAGCATCCGCCCGATATATCGAAACCACGATGGGATCAGTCGACATTCGGAGGACGTGCTCGTCATTTTTTTGTGACTACAAATCCATTAAATCTATTTATATCTGGAAAGCGATTGGAAGAAGCAAAAAATATTGTCCTAGATTATAAGTATGTCTTAGAAATTTAGTGGTCAGTTTCTGAAAACGTTAAAAATATGGCAAAGTTCGGAACATCAAACATTATATGGCCACATATACGTACAACGTCAAAGCTATTAGGATAAGTGAGAGTGTGATACAACAGTTGATATCCGTTGAGGTAGCAACAGTAAGAAGTATCCGGAAATACATTTGATTTTTAGATCCAATCTTCAGCTAATCTGAGTTTTCCATTGCTTTAGCTTATGCGTCCTTCTGAAAACATGAAGTATTAAAAACCAAGTTGTTAACAATTTCCCATATTTCCACTTTTCCATGTGTATTTAATTATGATAACTATCAAAAAAGCAAAAATGAAGTACTTTCATGGTTGTAGGCACTTGTGACAGTTGTGTAGAGTTCTGAAACAGTTGCAAAAGGTGAGAGAATTAGTTTCAATTAAGTTAGGTTTTAGACACGGACACAAAGTGCCGGAGAATTTGACGGTTGATGAGTTATGGCATGCGAAACACATCTTCGATTCTGCATATCATCCTACTACGAATGAACTTATGATTTTGCCAGGACGTATGAGCTGTCAAGTACCTGGTAATATGTTCCTGACTGGTGGCATGCTGACTTTCTATAAGTTTGTCGTTATTTTTAAAGTTATTTTTTACGAGCTAAACATCAGTAACAATAAAATCACTGGCTTTTGAAATTCTCGTGCATTATACCACCTCTATTTATTATTATTTCTGGAAAAACAGTCTGTTTTACCGATTGACCTGGGCTTGAATAAAATAACTGCTTGTGTTGTTTTGGCCTTTGCTAACTGTCATCATGAAATTTCAGTTTTTATTGCAAATTTTGGTTTCGTTTTTCTATAAAAATTTGTTTTAGTTTGCAAAGTCGAAATTAAGAAATTTCCGAGAATTCCCCAGGATCTGTAATGAGTAAAAAGAATTAAGTACCATCCCAATTTGAATTTAAGATCCTCAAGCGCTGTAATATTTTGGCAATGGTTGAATCAGTCATTCAATGCTGTTGTTAATTATACTAACCGTTCGGGTGATAGTGTTTCCAACAAAACGCTTCTGACGTCGTATTTCTGTGCAACGGGTGGTGCTGTTACTGCTGCGTTAGGACTCAATTCACTGGTAAAGGTGAATTAATTTCAGTTCAATTCAATTTTATTTCAATTTTTATCAAATATTCATAAGTTCTTAGATAAAAATCAAAATGGATAAAACATTAAGCATGACTGTAAAGAATGCATTAGCTAGTAAGACTAATAAAAACTTTACATGTCTGCTTACCATAGCTCTACCATCCAATTACCACTTTCTAATTGTAAGTATTAAAGATATCTACATTTCATTCTTTAAAAATGTGTATTTTCATTCTTGCAAGAGTGCTCTAATAACATTTTCTGTTTTAACCATGTCGTTCCATTTTCTTATCTCCACTCCATTTTCCATTTCACTTGTACCTCTTTATGTTCGAAGCTAATTATTGTACTAATCACATTCCTAAATGCATGATTGTTAAAACTTTGGAAAGTGCAATTATTATTGTAGTCAATGTCACCGCTGGTCGGACGTCTGGTACCATTTTGTGCCGTTGCAATTGCAAATTCAATCAATATCCCTCTTATGCGATCCAAGTTTGTCTTCCTTATTATTTTAAGTGAACAGTGGGTTAGAAAAGTTTATTAATACTGGTATTTGATTGTAAGAAATTAAGTTCATAAGTGTTACGTTATGAAATATTCCCATTTGGATCATATGTCCTTCAGTGTGTTGAAACGCCTCCTATTTATTTGTTTATTTTTTGTTTTTTTTTTTGGGAGGGGGATTACAAGATTTTATATTTATGCTTTCAAACTGTCAAACAGATTTTAAGTATAACTTCTGAGGATCACTTCCTTCTAGAGAATTGGTAGATGGCATTGTGATAAATGATGAAAACGGTAACAAACTGGGCACGAGTAAAAAAGTAGCGCGGATAGCTATTGCTAATGTCATAATAAGTCGAATTGGGATGGCTGTTCCATCGTTTTGTAAGTATTTTGTCGAATATCTTCACTGTCTTTGTGCGATGTTTTAATACATGGAAGCCATAATCAAACTAAAGTGATTCAAAATTCAAATTAAAGTAGTAACAAAAAACTTCATTTCTTATTACTGCTATTATTATGTTATAGTCTCCATACCACTTCTGATGAATCAGATCGTGAAGACGAGTTGGTACCAGGTAAAATCACATTTAATTACATAAAATTTGAAGCACTAAGAAGATACAAAAACTTCAAATTGTAAAAATGTCTCAGTATTATCTTCATTAATTGCACATCTTATCCTGTTCCCAAATAGTTAACTATGCTGATAATGAAATTTTGCCTCTTATTGAAAATTCTGTAGTTCCACATGTACCGAATTTTTTTTTCATTTAAACAAATAAATTGAAATGAATTTGTAAAGTTGAGAGGAATTAAGGATATTTTTTGATTCATAAATCCGTGAAGTATTATTCCAAATCACGAATTCATGAAATGTAAAATAATTATAATATCCTAAAGTTTTATTGCAGAAGCGCCCTTGGGTATCAGCTCCAATACAAACATTGATGGCCGGTTTCATCCTAACATTTGCAACACCATTGTGCTGTGCCATTTTTCCGCAGATAAGTTCCATTGAAACGAGTCGTTTAGAGCCAGAAGTTCAAAAGGAAATCAGTAAACTTCAGAACCCACCTAAACTTGTGTATTACAATAAAGGGCTGTGATCTTGTGTCTAAGCGCGACACCTAAATGTAATGATAGTTGTGTGAAAAGTTTCTTGAATTACTATCCGTCACATTTTGCCCACATTAACCGACTTGCACTTTGTAAGTACATCGAAATTACAAATCTAGACTTAAAACTGAACAAAGCGAGAATCAGCAAACATCTGTTTGACTTTTAATTCGACTTAGTACTGCTGACGATCAATTCAGTCAGGACATTGTTAGCAAAGCTAATATATCATCTTATACATAAAATATGTATGCAAAGAAGTAAAGAATGTTAAGCAAAAGATTTCTAACAATTCTCTCCACAAAACAGCTTGTTTCTTCGATTAAATGGGAGAGGATGGTTGCAAGTCAACTAAAGGCACTTTTATCAAGATTCCAAAGTTATATCTAAATCATATGAATGGTATTGGAAGTGCAAAATTTGTAAGTTTGGCGCGAAGAGGAATCTGAATTGCCGAAGCTTTTGTCCAGTGGTCGGAACTGTAATTGCATTAACTCATTTTTACAATGCTATTTATGCACCACTTTAAAAAGAATCAACAATTACGACACAACGAAATTTGTGGGTGATATGAAGAGCAAACTTGGGATTAGCGTTAAAAGGATAGTAGTAGTAGATGTGTGGAAAGAAGTGCTAATAGTGTAGCAAAGTCCGATTTCTTGTAAATATTTATTGGAGGCATAGGCATCTTCAGATAAAATCAACTCTTATTCCTGTTTCAAATTTCTATGCCTGTCATGGATGTAAATTTGGTTTATTCTTTCTCAGAAAGCGAAACAATAAATTATAGCGGTAGCATATTACGGTAGCAATTTCAAATGATTTAGCGGTCCATATTTCACCTTCTGCTTGGGTGCATCATAATTTTTGCGTTGGTTTATTTCGGCAACATTCAAAATTGTCATCACTGCGTCACGATTATTTCGCATACTTTCACCTGTAGAGCAGTTCAATGATAGAAAAGAAGTAGATAGATGAAGCGATGGTAGAATTGTTTTAATGAAACAATCGTACCATTGGAAGTTCTCCCATGTGAATGACTAGATTCAATCTCTCTTTCCGTCTTATCTTTGTGAATTGTTTTGCTGATATGACTCTGAAAAGATTATATGTGGTGGTATTCATTGTGAGTATCGAAATTAGCTTTCTCATTACACCAAATTTAATTAGCTTCTACAGATTTAGAACATATTCTGTGAAAAATCTGTACCAATGATCACCTTCATCTCCTTTGTTGTAAGATTTAGAAGTTTCTCGTAAAAATCGATTACGGGACTGTCCAACATAATTGCTTCACGTTGTGGATGTAATAAACTTCAAGCAAAGAAATTAACCATTTCACTTGCTATTCAGTTAAACTATCTGTATTGCGATTCAAATATAGGTGCAACTTAGCTCTACAATTTAGCTAAAAATAAGATTTGCTACAAATATAATTATGTTAAAAACGATAAACTTGTGAGTTACCGGTAGAAAATTGCAAATGCAACGAATGGTATAGAAAGCATCATCGTTATAAAATAATTAGTCGTACCTCGGCTAAGCCCTTCCTAAAAACTATGCTTCTCTGATTTTTAATTATTTAACAGCTTTTAAGCAAAATTAAGTTACACTTTTTCTAGTAATAATATGCTATCCACTTACAGCTACAGAAATGACATGTAAAGTGACTGATCCATGTGGTTTACCATCAATAAAACATTCGTATCGTCCGTCATCTTGGGTTACCATTAGTGGCCAAATCTGACACAGTTTAACATCGCAGATGGTATCATTTCCATGGATACGAAATTTCGAAATTTACAGGAAATGACATAAATCTTGAAAATTTAAGTGATCTTGACCGAAAGGATTTAATTTTAAGTTGTATATTTTAATTAAGGTGAACCTGAAGATATTTGAGTGGAGTAAGTTTGACTCTCCAAGATAATCGAGAATATCGAGAATCAGTAGTTATTGGCGAACCATCTAGGTACCATTCAATGTTAGGCTAAAATTGCAAAGGTAAAGTTTTCAAAGAAAAAAAATGCAATCGCTTTTGCTTTAGGACGAAGTAACGTAAACTCATATTCAAAATAAGCCAAAAGCTATAAGGTGAACAAATTATTAGAATTTGTAGGTACAACAGAAACAAGTGTCATGAATATTTCGAGCAAGTAGGATAAATGGAAGAATCAACTTAATATGGCGTACGCATAAACGGATCACCTTATCTCTCAAATTAGTCATTCTGTTTTATTAATTATTTGATTTACCAAGTTTAACCTCAGCATATCACGTGTCTGAAAAAAAGAATCTCTATTTAAGCAGTAGTTGGCATGCAAGCGTTTTTTGTTTTTTGGCAACTTCGAGTTATCAGTATTCGATTAATTAACTTTGAGTTATCAGTATTCGATTAATTTACCATCATCTAACACTAAATCAAATTCACCAATAGTGCTTCAGGCAGACAAAGATGTCAAATTTTTAACTTTCTTTACTTTTCTCCTTGTTGGACATTCCAATATCAAAAATAATCCCTCGATCAACTCAAAATCGAAATCAACATTTTGCAACTGCAGTTGATAAAATGATTGCTTTCCCAAAAATACTGCCTTCATTATCAATTTTTTTTTCATCAACCAGTCTTTCTTTTCTTTTTTCTCTTTCTTCATCAACCAAGAGGTTTTTCGGTGATATAATTTCTCCAACTTATTTCCAAATGTCTTTAGAATCCTATAACTTCACATAAATTTATAAATTAAAAGCATAATTCTCATTGTCAATTTGATTTTCCAACTTGGAGTTCTTTTTTTTTTTTGTTGAACAAATGCAGCTGGAATAATGTGAATTTATGACTTCCATAAATCATTTTTTCACAAATAATTCTTCATTTAATTTTCTCATAACATATTATAAAAAAGAGATAGTAGGCCATATCAAACTTTTAAGTGGAAAACAAAACGAACAAACTCATTTCATATGTTCAGACTGTACGGGATTTTTAGAAAAAAAAAAAAAAAAATGAAAATATCATCAAGTTTTTAAATCTTTAGCGGCAGAATGTTGCTTTATGTAACAAACAGGAAAGCAACAAACTTTGTGGGTGATGGCGGACATAAGCCTTTAGCTACATGCTTATCATATTCGATAGGTTCCAGCACTGCACATTCTAATAAATCCAAGCGTCCCAGTGATTTACTTGTGGTCTTCACAAATGCCTGAACCATCACCGCCGCCTGTTTATTAGTGCCGCATAGTTTCATGATAAACAGGACGAGAAGTAAACAACCGTTCATTGTTCATCAAATAACACATAATAACATTCCTTTAATTACTAAACAATTTTTCCGAGTATATCAAAATCAAATTTGATCTACATTTTGAATATTTTCAATAAATTTAATTAAACAATCCCAGTCTCATGTAATATAATAAACATAGTCAGAATAGTGTCTACAGGATACATTCAGTTTAATGTTGCTATTCCACACTTATTGTCAAAGAAATTTTTGTTTTAAAACTAATCTCTTTCAAACATCACAGCAATGTATCATATTCTGCTTTTTTTTTTTGAAATTCGTACTCTGAAGATGCATTGTTTCAATTATCTGTAAATATTCGTGATTTTTCTGAAAAATTTTTTGATAATTTCACGGTTTTAAACATTTGCACTTCACATATGGAAATTTCGTTAACTGCAAAAAACCAGCTAACAGATAATAAGCCATACTAATACATTCTAAATCTTCAAAAAAAGAACTGAAAAAAATCTAAAAGCCCCAAACATTTTATTTTAAAAATTAAACTAATTCAGCAAAGTTAAAGGCAAAACCTAAAAAAAGTTTTCAAAACTTAAAAAAAATTAACTCAAGGTTAAAAATCAAATGATCTGCAATCACCTATATTAAATTATACTACAAATATTCCATATAAAAACTAAAAACAACATAACAAAAAAAAGGAAAAAATACTATAAAAACCACACTGTCGAGAAAAAGCTCGAAATTCCACTAGAAATAATCTTTGTACCGAACAATCGAATTTAGCAAAGGGTCAAATTTAAATCAATGTATTTATATTTAAGCAAATCATGTTAATCATTTATTGTAAGTTTTATTGTAATTCAAATTCCTTAATGACTCATAGATGGTAATGTGTTAACAAATTCCCATGCTAATCTGTCATATTATCTAATGCACATCCTTTCCAATCCTTTGTTTGTTATCTAATTCCGTTTACAAAAACTACCACCCATAGCCTTCCTCCTAGCTTCCATTGTATCAATCGCTTTATCTCTCCACCCTCAAATCATGCTATATAAGGGCAATTACCACTCAACAAAGGGCATTGTTCCAGAAGTCTCCCCGTTGCTTAGCTCATCCTCCTCACTAAATTGTCAAACTACTGATTGCTTGTTTGGTTTAATTACCCAAGATAAAGCACTCGACTCAATTGTGCAAGTAAAACAACCCAATTCAATCCATTCACAACACCAATCCAATCCAACATTCACAACAATTTTATGGTGCCACGAGCCGGGAACATGTCATCCATCATCATCAGAACCGCAGACCAAACAAAACGAAGATTGTGTGAAGTCCTCAACGAAATCAAGCGTCTGAACTTGGATTCGGTCGACCAAATGACAACAATCGACGAAACAATCCGTCTTCATCAGGAACGGAGAAGGATCACCCAAGAAAAAATCATGCATATCCAAATATACATAGAGACGTTGGTTGTTGTCATTTGGTCGACCGAATCCAAGTTCAGACGCTTGATTTCGTTGAGGACTTCACACAATCTTCGTTTTGTTTGGTCTGCGGTTCTGATGATGATGGATGACATGTTCCCGGCTCGTGGCACCATAAAATTGTTGTGAATGTTGGGTTGGATTGGTGTTGTGAATGGATTGAATTGGGTTGTTTTACTTGCACAATTGAGTCGAGTGCTTTATCTTGGGTAATTAAACCAAACAAGCAATCAGTAGTTTGACAATTTAGTGAGGAGGATGAGCTAAGCAACGGGGAGACTTCTGGAACAATGCCCTTTGTTGAGTGGTAATTGCCCTTATATAGCATGATTTGAGGGTGGAGAGATAAAGCGATTGATACAATGGAAGCTAGGAGGAAGGCTATGGGTGGTAGTTTTTGTAAACGGAATTAGATAACAAACAAAGGATTGGAAAGGATGTGCATTAGATAATATGACAGATTAGCATGGGAATTTGTTAACACATTACCATCTATGAGTCATTAAGGAATTTGAATTACAATAAAACTTACAATAAATGATTAACATGATTTGCTTAAATATAAATACATTGATTTAAATTTGACCCTTTGCTAAATTCGATTGTTCGGTACAAAGATTATTTCTAGTGGAATTTCGAGCTTGTTCTCGACACACACTGAATCAAAATAACAAAAATAATAATCTCTAATTCAAAAGTAACAAAAATCAAAACAATAGAAAAAAAAAAGAAAATAAATTGAAGAAATCATAATGAATTTAGTCGATGAAAGAATATCTCCATGTGTTTAGCTGCCAGAAATTGAATCTAAAATTGTGGTTGCCATAGAGATATCACACGAATGTCATCACCGTTACGTGACATTCATCACCAGTTAAACTTATGAATATATAAGGTAAGTTGCTGTAATAATGCTCATAGTAATTGAATTCTTACTGCCTTTTCGTGCAAAATTTGGAAATTTGTTCTATGAATGATGTTTTTAGCTCTTTCGTTCAATTATTTCTATCATACTTTCCCCAAGATAGCAATGACCTTCCCTTCTAATTTACCTCTTTAAATTTAAATTTTTAAAGAGTAAATTTGATATATCTACGCTTTCAGACTCGACAGCAGACAATAATTCTATTCTTAGATGGTGTAATTGCACTTGCTAAGATGGTTGATAGCGATTCCGATAATGTTGCAGATTTGCTTAAATTAAGTTTGTGGGATTTGTAAGCAAAAAAAAAAAAAAAGAGAATATTGCTTGTTAACTAAGTGAATTCATCATATTATACATACTGGCTATTGAGCAAATGCCTATCTCTCGAAATATTTATGCACTAATTTTTGTCTAACAGCAACCTTAAATTTAGATCTAATGTATTACATTTTTATTAGAACCAATTCAGTGGTTATCTTTCAGGACATTGACAATATGGATGAAAAACTGTTCGGGAAAAAGAAAGATGTTGCACCAAGAAAAGGTCTTTCAATCATTGATGATTTGCTTGATGATCCTCAAAAGGTTCATTTCTTTTCTTTTCTTTAATATTGAGAAATTTGTGAGAAGCATCATCTATAACACTATTTTTATTTAATTTCTGAAATTAATGAAAAAAAAAAAGATTAGTTATTTGTAATTTTTTCAAATAAAAAAGATAGAATGGAATGACTGTTAGGGCAAATTTTGTTCGCTTTTTTTTTTAACTTAACTTTAATACATCTTTTCAGGAAAAAAAGTTGAAGAAAAATGTCGATGATTTTTTTCCTATGAAGAAGTCAACTGTATCATTTATGGATGAACTAAGTGACGCTGAACTTCAACAAGTTCCTCTTCCTTTTTTTTTTTCTCTTTAAAATTGCAATGAGTCACTCTTTTTTATTTTGTGATGTTTCACACTTTTTTTTTTTTACAATTGTTAAAATGCACTTATAAAAAGATCAACAAATTTCAGCGAGAGCAAGCGGTAACATCAAGAAAAAACAAAATGTCGGAGCGTCCATCAGAGTAAATCTCCATGTTTCTAAATACTTCCTTCAATTTATTTTACTGTCGATGTGAACATATTGCTTTTATTTATCTGTGCTAATAATACCACCATATCATATCAACCTGATAGATTTTGGCACCATATAAGACAAACTCAAAGACACTCTCCAAAGCAGCTTTTGTAAAAACTAATAAGCGTTGCATAGGGAAGCGTTCCAAACTGAAAAAATTGACCACAACTTTGTTATAGTATCAGAGGTACATCCATTGTTGCGACAACTGGTGATTATCCAGCAAAAGTTACGAATAGAACAACTTCCAACTTGGACAGTATATTTGGACCAGAACCCAGGTAAGTATTAGTTTGTCTCAAAGACGTCAGTCTTAGTTAAAAGCTTGTTAGATGTTAGACAAAGCTTATTTGCATCCTACTAACCCACGTTTAAGCTACTTTACTGATAACATCAAATCCGACGTTGAGCAAAACTTTGGATACGATGGATCTGGTAGGAAGCATTCGTAAATGTTAAACATATAGCCAATATCATTTGATAAAATCAAGCTTCAGAAAAGAGTGATTAGTAATGCACTGATAGATTTTAATTTACTAGATTATAAAAATAACGCTAATATTACAAATTATTAAGAATTAATAAAATTTTAAAATAAAATAGACAGTGGAGATGCCATGCTAAGGCACAATGTTGATAAAGTTAAATTGGATCAATTAAAGAAGGATAACATGATTCATACAGCACTGATTGCATGTTGTAGATATTTGATTTGCACTGATCTTATACTGAAATTGCTTCTTCCATAATTATACTAGTGTGCTAGTGTCACAGAGAAGGAAAGAAAAGGAAAGGGGCAGAGAGAGAGGGAGAGAGAGAGAAAGAGATCTGAAGTACTTTGATAGGTTATTTAATTCTATTTTATTACTCAAATTTATTATTAGTCTTTCACAGCTGCAACATAAACTAGTAAATCTGACAGGAGGACAACAAGCAACTGGACAGGAAAAATCACTGAAAGAAAAGCTGGTGCAGGTAATGAAGCTGATGAAAGTGGACGATTTAGCGATTCAAGCCAACTTGAATCAACAAAAAATCAAAAGAATCGGATGACAAATCCATCGGCTGAAATTCCTGGATATGCCGGAATGCAACGGTAATGATGCGATGCAACCGGAATGCTTTTGAGCTTTTCATTAGAATTCAGGAAGCAGGGAAAGTGGGATAACTAAATTAGTGTTATTTCGGAAACTACTCACACTGATATTATTAATTTAGAATGGAAAACGAAATAAATCGCCTAAATCGAGAATTGGAATCCTTGAGACATAAACAAACGGTGAGAGAAGAAGCATTGGAAGAAGAATGGAAAGAAAAGATGAAACGCCGAGAACGACAATTTGAAGAAGAATTTGCCGATCTGGAAGAGAATAATCGGTCCTTTTTTGCCATTTCAGACTGATAAACTAGTACTTTTAAGATTGAAATATAAAAAATGTTACAATATTTAGCATTTTTCAGCATTTTAATTTATAAAGTGCTACTCAAATTTACAGGAAGCAAATGAGTCGTTTGAGAAGTGACCACGAAAATGTATCCCAAACAATTCGTGATATGTTCCACAACCAAATCGAAACACTAACAAATAGCCAAAAAGAATCAAAGTTTTATTTTTTGCTGCAAATCAATCAATCAATCAATCAATTCAGTTGATACGATGATATGTATTTTATTGAAGTCAGTGTGTTCCCAGCATCCTCTTCTCTTTTTTTCCAGGAATTATGAGAAAATGCTGGAGAAAGTGGACGAATTGATTGCAAAAATAAGCGAAGTAACCATAAATTTGAATAAGCAAACGGATCAAAGTAACTCCGATCAGAGCCATTACATTTCATTCAGAGAGCAACAGCTCGAAATTCGAGAAGAAAGGTTAGGGAAAAAGAGTAAGACGTGGAATTTGACGTTTATACAATTATATGATGCGATAGTAGAGGAGGAGCTGCTAATTTTCATTTCCGTTTTACACTTTGACCTCAAAATAATAAAAGAATTAGCATTGATTAGCTTATTTATTCCTCTAATTGGTCTTCGAAGACAATGCAGCGGAGATTAATAGATATTAAAATCAATTTAGAATCAAAAAAGAGGAGGAATGGCTGGCAAATGAAAAACAACATGTGATCGAATTAAATTTGAAACTGAAAAGTTTGTACGATAGTAACGAGCAAAATACTCTAAAAGTTAGTGTCTTGCTGATATTTTAGTCGTCTAATAGTATCTGGCAAAAAAAAGGGAAAAATAAGCCAAGCATTTGATCATCCTTGAGGTGATATTAGAGCAATTGCTAATTATAATGCGAGAATAAACTGATGATTTTGTTGTTCTTAACTAACTATAGTTGCGGTCAATCCTCTTTCTTCCTTAAACTTCTGAAAAAATTTCCTCAGGCATTTGAAGTCTGATGCTAAATTTTTGTTGAAATAGAATTAAATAATCGACTACACTTAAAATCCCTCAAATCAATCATTTTAGGAAAAATGGCAAGTACGTGAAGAACGCCAAAAATTGAACGCTGAAAAAGAAGCATTTAAAAGTGAGCAACTGAAAATTCTGGATGCAGCAGAACAACAAAAGATTGAAATTGAGGCTTCAAAGGTTACAGCATCTAACATTACTGTCATTTCATTTTGTCAAACATAAACGAATCCAAACCTGTAACGGGGAGGAGATAACTATAAAAGCGTAAAAATGATCGCTTTCAGTTTTCTTTTGCAGTCCAAATTTCTCCGTGATCAACATGATCTGATAATGCGAGTAATGGCTGCAAAATCATCATTGGAAGCTGAAAAGAGTACATTTGATGCGCAACGTCAGCAGGATGTAGTTAGATTAAAAATGGAAGCGGAAGAACTTGATCGTAAGTTGAAAGAGGTCGGTCAGTTTTAAAAGACACATGAAAGTAACCCGCACTAACAATCTCAATAAGCAAGATTAATTCATTTTCAGGTGCAAAATGCTGAAAATATTTTACAGAATACGCAAAGAATTTATGAACAGAAATACCAGCAGGTATTTCCCTATTTTCTACCTCATTTCGAGATAAAAAGTCGTGATAATGGAATTCACCACGTTTTGTTCATTTTTAGGTGGTGGCATTAGAACGAGCACTTATAGATGAATGTTTCGAACTGGAACGATGTCGCAAGCAACTGGAAACCATTCAAAACGACAATCAAAAGAAACGAAATCCAAGAAATGAACAATTTCAAGTAAGCATCAAGAATAATACACGCACCACTTACCATTATATTTGGCGGATAAGAATTATGACAAGGCCACGCACAATTTGGGAAAATTTCTTTTATCCCATACCCAAATTTGTCATTCTTAAATTGCTTTGTTTACAGCAAGTAATACCAATACTGGATACAAACGCGCCAGACTTTATCGCAGATCCGTATATCGACGAAAGACCAAATCGGAGGTTATCTATCACTTCTTTGTTTATAGCATTTTTAAATCGGAGTTTTTAAGAATTCGTAATATCCAATATTAAATCTTATTTCAGGGAGAAAAAAATCTACCATGCAACACTAAAGATGCATGCCAAAACATTAGAGAGTGCTACTTCAGAACAAAGTCTAAATACGCAAGCTTAAATAATGCGATCTATTGCTCTCCTGCGCTTAGGTGATCGTAAGCAAGTGAAACGGTACTGCCTCAATAATACTATTGATGACAATATCAATAAAATTATTTAACTAAAATATGGAGAATCAAAGAAACTTTAAACTCTTTACTTCTAAACTAATAATGAAATGGTAACAAATGCGCACAACTGAACAAAGATATCATTTGAGTAATATGATAAAGAATGCAATTTATGCCAAACATGGAAGATCAACTGAAAGATACGCTAGCACTTGGATATAGAGCTCCAAAATTATCAATCCTAGAAAAAAAAAAGAAAAAAAAATGAACAAACAAGGAGGTTAAGAGAACCAGCAACAAAACCTGTAGTATTATTAGTAAACAATCGTAGCAAAAAATAAAACACTGGAGGCATTTTCCGCCTGCCACTGTGACCCGAAAAAAGGAATTTCGAAAATAAAATTTGACAATATTCAAGAACTTATGTTTCGAGTGACTATTCAAGTCACTTCAAAAGTACTTAAGCTCACATGACAATCTCACAATTTTCTTCCCATTTGTACAATTACAAATTGCAGGACTGTTGTGAAATATGAGAGAAAAAAAAAAAACATCTTAAATATCTAGAAACACACAAACTCATTTCAGTGAATACAGTTATCAACAGAAATAAAATAATTTTGAAGAATAGAGATAGATGATTTAAAAGTTGAGGTGAGTTTAAAATAAATTGTATATATGCAATTTAAGGCTTGAAGAATATATTTACACACATTGTTCTGCCAATTCATAATATTTATTGGCCAACTTCCCTTGCATAGCTTCTGTTGCTGACATAGCTGCTTCAGTATACAAATCATACGCTTTCGTTAAATCCTGTAATAGACCATATCCACCTGGAATAAGCAATAACTATGAATTAGAGTATATTTTGAAACGAGTGAGAAAAGAAGGAAAACTTCAAGTTGAGTAAATTACCACTTATGAATATGAGATTTGGTCAAGATCATTATGCCAGAATATATGCATTTCTAAAGCACTGAGTACTCTTCCCATTTATATACCACTTTAATATTTTAACAACTAGGATCATGATTATATATCTATCCATGTTTTCATTGGTTAGAAATTTTCTTAACACTTTGTTTCAAAGTATTTTAGCAGAAATATTCATGACTATATGCAACACGTTTTTGCATTGCCAGATGTAACTGAACAATTTTTTTTCTTTACTTTTTGTTGCACAAATTTTTTTGCTTCTTACCTTCCTTTAATTTACTTAATCAGTTTGTACAGGAATTCCCAACTAGCAATCTCAACTACAATTAAGTGGAACAAAAGCATTAGTAGACATTTGCAATATCAGCTGTATTTTGATGAGGAAAAAATGCATAGGTAACTAATACAGTGTAGAAAAAAAAAAAAAAAGTACTTTTGGAATAATGTTAAGCGCAAACAAAATTTAAATAGACTTGAGTAGAATAGAAACCAAGGCATTACATTAAACAAGCATCAAAAATAGTTAATATCAACGAGTAATAAGAATTTTCATACCTTCTTTATACATTACTGCCATTCTCTCCAACAACTCATAACGAGGACGGACTCCTTCATGAGGCGTTTCGTTTTCATTTGTTTCTGAATTTTGAAGAAAATTCAAAGCTTTCTCATACCATGCAATAGCTTTTGGCCATGAGGGTTTTCTGAAAAATTCTCATCCAATATTTACTGATGGTTTTTCTTTCTTATTATCATCTATGTTAAAAATGACGAGAAATGGAAGGGAAAAAAAAATTCGTTATTTCTGGCTGAATTAATCCACCTTAAAAAAATCAAACAGACAAGAAAAGGCAAATTTAAGCACTAAATAACTAAACCAAATGAAATCAATATTTCAATAACAAACTTCATTGGCCCTAGAAAACGACCCGTTTCATACGCTTGTGCTACGAAAATGACGGCGGACTGATCACCCATATCTGCAGCACATTCCATCAGCTCAAAACCAGTCCCTTCCAGATCGTCATTTTCCCATACTTCTTCGCAAACTACCTCTTTCAGCAGCTCGTGAGGGTGACCTAAATAGAATAACAAAAGTGTAACTAAAATCCAACTCTTAATAAGAATGTTTAATAAGTAAGTATTAAAAAGAACCAAAAGCCATTTTAGCCATGGTAATTATCGCTTCAAGAACACCACAGCGTCGAGCAATGTCAAGATGATAAAATGCTGCATCCTTGTCGTAACTAATATAATTTCCTAAAATGAACTGAAATTCTCATATGGAAGTGTTTTTGTTACTTTCTTATTGCGACAGTTTTTTTTTTTTTGTTATAATGTCGATTATGAAAATTTACGACTCTCATTTTCATAACAACTTAACAAACTACATGAATATAGAGACACAAAACAGTCAACACCTGCATTTCTTTTGTTTCTCTGTTCTTTTGCTGAATAAATATTTTCTTTCTCGGAACAAACAAAAGGCGATTTATCAACGAACTGTCCCAATTCATGATAACGCGCAAGATCCAAATGTATCTGAAACATTAAAGCAAGGACTAGGAGGACAGCATTATTACTGAAAGATTTCGGCATGACCGAAATACTGGACATTAATTCAGTAATACCTTCTAATATGAATCATCAAGCAAAAGCATCATTAAACTTACCGGACATATAACAACTTCATAAAAAAACCTAAATATCCCTTTATAATTGCCAATACTCAAAGAAATGTCCGTTGTAAATCTCAAATCAAGCAGAAAACTATATGTGAAACAGAAAATGACATCGAATTTACAAAGTTACCTGGCCAAGGATGCAATTCATACCATGAAGTTTTTGCGAAAATTCAGAAAGTTGTTTGATTTGCGATTCTGATAACAGCCCTGCCGGTCGTGAAAATTTGCGTTTTTCCAACCAATAAGCTTCTCTTTCTGCTTCCTGGGTAATATGCTGTAGGTAAATTGAGCTAACAGCTTCAATTTAATTTAGCAGGATTACAGCAAGTTATGTGGTACTAGACTTACTCGAGTCATTCTCGAACTGCAGCTACTCAAACTTTCGAACTGAGAATCGTGGTGCATTCGTTCTTTCACCTAAAATTTCATTGTCCACCTGTTATTAAGCATTTTCCCATCCACCATATTTTTCCACATTTTTTACAATATATTTTTTAAATTTGGATATCTTAGGAATTTGAGCAAAACATCAAAACAAGAATGATTATCCTTCGACGATAACATTATACCTCGCTATCAGTTAAATCGAATAAATTTGAGGAACATGAACTGGTGAATCGTGTTTTAGCCATAGGCTTATCAGAGTCATGCACAATTTGTTCAAAGTAATCGCTATAAAATCGTACATCAGAATGCTGCGTATCAGTGCTATGCTCATCACAAAACGAAGATGCTGGAAAAAATAAAACCTACGACCTTGTCTTTACTAGGATTCTTATTTTCATTACACTACAGTAAAACATTACAAGCCATGACATCAGGATTTTCACATTCTACAGACATGGAGGACCAACAAAACCTAAACATCTTCCAAACATAGCTGGATGTATATAAAGGAAATTTCGCATGAATTATCGGAAAAATAAAAAGATGCAAGTTCGAGTAAGCAATATTGCAGAGTCTTAAAAATATGCCATATGAAACTAATCATAGACGGTTGTTTTTCTTTATTGTAGTTTGTTGCATATCTGAACAGTGCTTGAACGAGATATGTTTTCTAATGACAACTAAACATAAGCATATTAACCTGAAGAACGTCTTCCCGAGCTGTTTACTGACACTGTTCTGCGCCGCAGCTCTTCCATAGCATTACCATTTTCTTCAACAAGAGACGAACAAATACTTGCTGGTCTGTTACTGCTACTTCTAGTCATTGAAGTCCAATTCTAAAAAATTAAAAATTTCTAACCTTATCAGTGGTCATCGAGATCATAATACAATAAGACGATCTAATTATAATTTTATGGTATTAGTAAAAGCAGAATATCTAGGGACCTTTACATTTTACGAGTCACTATTTCCATTTGGTTTGGCTAGTCATGTGATGGATAGTCTAATTTCTAGATTCTCCACAAAAAGCTAAATATTTACCCTCTCCACATTATCACCTCCCTTAAGGGCATTTCTTTCGCTTGCAGCAAGATCGAACTCTGTCAAGCACATTGATCGGCAGATGTCATTGCACAAATGGGAATGGAAAAACAATGCCATTCCCTTCGTACCAAGATTTCCATTACCATAACCTTCTCCAGTTGCCTGAAATTTCTTTAATAATGCATATAGCAGGACTTTCGGCTAACTTATAATACCGTGCAATTAGAAATGGAATGAAATCAAAATTTTTTGACAGTTGGAAATTAATAAAGTTTTTAATTTAGTAGGTTTTTTTTACCAGCTATAATCCTTTTCTGTATTTCAAATGTAAGCTACAAACGAAACTAAATACATAAAATATCACTCCCAGCAAATAACAAGCTGAACATAAATGGAGAGTTGAGATAAAATAAACTGAATATAAATTTTGCAACCTGAAAATTGCAAAAAAAAACATACGGTATGTATTTGCGGATCGGTATACAAATCTCCCACTCCTTGAATATCGACAACAATCAATTGATGTCCACTACGTTCAAATGTAAAGTGACTGAATGCCTACAAATGTAAGAATATTTAAGAGTTACTGTTGTGTCATCCTTAATTTATTCCAAAAATAATTCTTAACAAAATAACTAGCATATCTGTGACAACTAACCTGAGGCGTCTGTCGACAAATATCTGATACAAAGCCAGAGTTGGAGTTGTACTTAATATACTCGCCTTCTATGAAACGTTCAAGATGATAAAATGCATGTTCACTTTCATCAAGAAATTCCAAAATGCATACTTGAAAAATGTCAATCTAAATAGTTGTCGTGAATCGTAGGCCATGCATAAATTGAACTTGCTCAGGTATTTGGTATGATACAATGCTTGTCTTTATTAAATCAACTAAAGAGATTGATTTTTTATTAAAATAAACTGATGGAAATAAAACTACCTTTTTGGGTGGATGATGACGATTAAATTCCTCAGCCCAAAGTTTGCTATCCATTTGTAGCTTCACGTCTTCAAACAAAACCTAAATAACAGACGTTATTCTGCATTTACAACCAAAACATTTGCTAAAACTTATTTAAACAATCTCAAAAATCCACAAAATATATGTGTGTCATGTAATTCAACATGCAAAAATTCTGTTATCTAATCAAAATAATTGGCGATTATATAATAACGACAAATCGTCAAAAATCATGTCTTTTTTTCCATCCTCTTTATTTTTCATATAACTCAACAGCATGTGAATTACAAATTCAGCACACGCTAAATCAAAAATAACAAACTTCTTTATCAACACTTCTTATATATTTTTTAGCAACATAGTTCTGTGCATGGTCCCAGTCGTCATTTTTACCACGCGATCCTAGCTTTTTCAAGCGATAACACTCGCGCATTGCGCCTCGAGCGAAAGGCTTCAAACAACACATATGAATAAATTATATGCCAAATAACTATGCTCGGCATTCAGACATTTACTGTTTACCTTAAACTGGTAAAAAACCCTAAGGTAATGCGATATAATTTATCGAGTAAGGATGAAAAAATAAAATAACACCTCCGGGTGCAATTTCACTTGCACATCATCAACGGTCCAGCACTGTTGTATACATGAATAACGATGACGTTTACAATCCCTCACAGGTAATTGGTCAAAATGGAATTTTACCCACGGATCATCTGGATGCTTCACACACCTAATACAAGCAAAAAGACAATAAAAAGGACATGAAGAACTGCATCCATAGAAAATCTAAATCAGTTACACTTCCACAGCATGATAGATGTAATAATTTGTAAAAATCTAGATAACAGTATAAAATACCATGCCGCAACCTGCTGCCATCGATGCATCAGCCCTCGATTTCCTTCGGATAAGCGCGACGAACGAGGATCAGGCTCGAATTGCTGATAATTTCTATTATCTAAGGGATCTAACTGGCTAAACTTCCGTTTTACCGATTCCTAAAATTATAAACATACAAGCAACACAATGATATTAAGATCTGTCAAATGTTGCCAACACTTACAGAAATGTCACAAAGAGGTTCGAGCAATTGCCATTCTTCTGAGTCGTCCAAATGCTCATTTTCAGCATCATCGCCCTGCAACAATCAGATCAGCTATACACTAAAGGAAGATTTCAGTTTCATTTGTTAATAAATTGAAATAAAATCAGCAAAAGCTCGCTTAATCAATATCGAACACAGCGTTGACACAATAAAATATATGCATCCGTATCTCACGAAACAAAAAAATCTTTTAAAGGGAAATTTGAGGCATTCTAAACAAAAGTCTTTGCTTGAGAAGCGCTAGATATCTTGAGCTAGCAAAACTTAATAGAAGACAAGAGAACAAAGAACAAATCTACAATGCCCTATTAATTTATTCGACATATATATCATTTGAAAATTCATAGTACCTGTGTTGGTGAAGTTGAGCCTACATATTTCCCGTGATTTTCAGTCGAATCCATACAAAATTACTCAATAAAACCAATGATCTAACTTTCTTTCCATTCCTGCAATCGCAAAAACATGGAAAACCGGAACCGGAACTGGTAAAATGGACCTTAGAAATGGTAAACTTGATTTAAGTCTTCCCACTATAAAAAATAAAAGGAACACTTATCAACATCATTTTCGAAAATAATTGAAGCAGACGTCAGGCACTACTATTGCAAAGAAAATTATGTTCACAATACTGCAACTAATGCAACAATTATAATTTTGATTCAGTAATTCAATACAAATGAATTCCACATAGAATAGGCTGTTCTCAGATAAGACAAAAAGACCTGCTAGAAGCATCAACAAACAAAAATTTTAGGAAGACTGCTTTGGATGTACCCCAGAACTTCATCAATCTTTAACTTCTTTGAACTTCTTCACAAACCTTATTACACTGGAAGCTTTCAAATCTTTGGTTTCACACTCTGGATACTGATAGTACACCGCTTATGCCAATATAGTTATCAAGGTATCAATCTCAAGCTTTCTACAACAGTGTACCATTTTTCACATACTACATTCTTACATACTAATTACTCAAACACCAGAATTCTTCTAGGGAAACAGCGAAAGCTAAAACAAAGCACCAAACAATGGGCGATAACTGGAAGTATCACTTGGAACACAAATGAAATTTCAAACTGCCGTTCTTTTAGAATAGAGAGAAGTTCGCTTAGTATAATACCACCCAGAATGAATGTACAGACGCACCAAGCTATCCCTTAGGATTGTCTGGGAATAGATCAGCTATTTCCAAGTCGTTTTGCATCAAAGACTACTACCAGGACACATACAAATTTATTTTATATATATATATATATATATTTCTGAATTAAAATTGAAAACTTAAAAAAATTAAAAGTACTACATATGCAACGCAAAGTTACGATGTCTACTTCGTTGTATTATAGCTAAGGCTTTGACAACAAATGGATCAAGCAAAATCGTTTATTTTTTGCACCAAGGAAATACATGAAGTACATTGCAATCGATCAATGGGTAATGCTTCTGATTATCCATCCACATAGCATTCCACAAAAAACCAAAAAAAAAAAAAAAAAAAACCTTCTCTAAAGACCATACGCACAAACGGATAATTGAGCAACGAGATCTAACGCGAAATGAAAAAGAGAATTGGTGGATATTTCTGAACACGTTAATATCAATATCACAAGCCTACACTTTTCAATATTACCCATGCATACGACAAACAAAAGAACAATATGAATCTCACTTCTTACTGAACACTTAACAAAATGCTAATATCGATACACGTTGCTTTGCATGCTACACTATAACGCTGTATTTAGAAACAGAAGCATTCTACATCGCTTTAATAAATAAAATATTCAAATTATGAACAACACAGAAACGAATAATCTAGTATAAATCCAATCAATTCCAGGAACAACCAATGAATGGAATCGCTCCGTAGTACTACGCCGCTGGAAGTTGATTTAATGTTTTCATTAATGTATCCGTTTCATTTCATATTTTAGCGTTTTCCGAAAAAGTTGGAAAACACTGCTCAGACTTGATTTTCAATATCTGAAAAAGCTATAGAAAACATCGTAAAATGCATTCATAGATCCATAAATAATTTAAAGTTGGAAAATACAAATAATCATGCATATCTAAATTACAAAAAAGATATAATGGAAACTGAACAAGAATAGACGACATTATACATTTATAAAGCGACCAATAATCAGACCTTCATAAATAAGAATGGAAATACATCATAAATTTCTGTAGAGTAAAAATCCTGCTAAAGCAGCTATTGCAGCACCAACAGTAATTGTGGACAACAAATATGAATCTTGGAGATAGTACACTCGTTTAAGATGTCTGAAAATTCAAAAAATTTTTAAATATATTTGTTGACTATCTGTGGAGCACTCTTTCAAGTCTTATCATCAAACTGCACAAACCTCGCCTTTTCCAATCTCCCAGTGCTCTCAATACTTTTGTCTAAGACCTTCGATTTTGACGTATTCCATAAGAAAACGTTGATTTTGATGAGTTGCATAAAGTGAATCAATTCTTTTCAAAATCACTCAATATTTGGTATTAAAATTTTTTGCTAAATAATATAAGTAAAATGCTTCACATACGGATAAACAGCCATCATAGCTAGCTGTAAAAAAATGGGATTATCAGTTTTGCCAGTATCATTAACTCGAAAACGGAGAGGTTGAGGTAACGAGTGTGCACGACAAAAATCACTTGGTTGCTGTTCATATTTTTGTTCCACTTCATATAACTCCGATCTTGTGGCCACAATTACACATGGCACTTTTGTACGATAGAAATATTTCTGAAATGATTTAAATCTATGACATTTTAGGTAAGAATTTCAAGAAGGTACGCAGTTAAAGTTACTTAATGATAGTATGCATATACAGTCAAATTTTACAAAACTAGGATAAATTTATTTTTGTCTAAAAAATTAGTGTGAACGATAAATTAAATGCCGAGGAAAATTGAACTTTCCAACTTTCCAAATGCAAATGTACAGAATCGTGAAATATTCTCACCAAATAAACAGACGCACAATACGCAAATGAATCAGGGTTAGTAATATCATATAAGAGGACAATAACATCAGCACTTTTCTCATAGGTTGTGAGCGCCTCATCAGGTGAAAGTACATCAACTTCATGAAGCTGTAAATTTCTTTTTTTCAGCTAGAAAAAATTTCTCATTTATTACAAATTCTATTCAAATACTAATTTTCACATAATCATTAATACTGCCAAATCACTCAGCATCCGCCTCTATATTCAGATGTCTTCTGAAAGGAATTGACAGTTCCGATTTAAACCGTGCAACTCCTATAGAACGTTAATTTAATTTTATCTTTATCAAACGTTAACTTTAATTACAAAAAATTCCTGTGCTATCTTCTTAAAATTCTTACCAAGAGATACTTCGTACTTTGTTTTACTTTTACACTGTTCAATACATAGGGTGAAATCGACTTTTTTCCCATTGCCGCCACATCCTACAATTGTTTTACTTCATCAGATCACAAAATGTCATGCATAAAGATCAAGCAAATAACATTCCTAATAATAACATTCAAGTGTGAAATAACTTACGGTAAAGCAAAACCTTCATTTTATTTATTATGTCAGATATTGTGGGTATATGACTAATGGAAAGATATTATTGAACAATTTTAATTTGTCTACCCAAACTAATACAATGCTTAAAAAAGCCACGATTCCAAGTTACCTAGCTGATCTCAATTTTCACTATTCTCAAAAACAAAATAATCAGACTGGAAGTTGTAAAAAGCCTTAAATATCATCAGTTCCCTTCCTAAAAACTCTTTCTAAAACATTATTACTGTGTAATACAACAAACCATCAGATTACGACCAGCGAAGGACTGTAAAAAAATCGTTTTGCCAGCACCTTTGGGACCAATAACATGACATTGAAATACCGCTCTTGTTGTGAATCGTTCAGCAATATCAATTCGCCTCTCGCGAGTTACCTGAGCAGGAAAAGGCAAGTTCATGTCAATTTTTAACAAGATACTTTTTTTATACAAGTAACATCTATATAAGAAATAATGCCACACCAAACAGACCTTAATAGCATCTAGTTGAGATTCGTGCTGTAAACTGAAACCAAGATAAGCCAACAATTCCATCGTCAACGAAACATTCAAGAATGTTGTCAAACTAAGAAAAAACATAATTAATAAGAAATTCATAAGTTACTTTTGCAAACTCTATAGAAATTAAAATTTTATCCAATTTTATTCAAAAATGCTTGTAATGAAAATTTACACATTACATCCAGTAAGCCACAAATCCATTGTAAGTTAGCCATCCCTTGTGATTAGTCTCAACAGCAGAATTAGCTTCTTTGCTCCACACCTGCGGTGAACAAACACTGAACAGATTCTGTAGTTCCACAGGAGATAAACAGCCATCCTTATCCTAAAATCTTTTCCTTCTTTTCAATTCAAAGAAACTCACACTGCAACTTTCGAACCATTCTACTAACCAGCTACCTAGTTACGATCTGATCTCGACCAATCCAAAATATAACAGTTTATGCTGTTTGAAGATTTTTCGAATCATTCAAACAGTACCAAAAGCATTTTTCCGTTATCGTCTACTGTTTGCTTTAGACATTTAGATTTGTTCGAATTATGAAAATGATTATTTTACGACTCAATATTCCTCCCAGAATTTCCGCTTTACTCTCTTTTTTTCTCTCATCGGTTCCACGCAAAATTACTTTTACAATAAACAACAAACCTCGTCAAATTTTTTAAACAATGCAGTGATGAACTGAAAGCCTTCCTCAGTCAATTCCGTAGAGCTACCCTTAGGTACCTTCAACCTGAAAATACTGGGGTATTAATGAAAGCGCATTTAGTCGCTTAATATTTATGCTCCTCAAAGACAATATTAGCGATATGTTTACATTTAAAATGACATACACAGGCTGTATATAATCAGCTGCAAGTTCTAGTTCATTGTCATATCCGAATCGCCTCAACACCCTCCATGTTGTCTCATGTCGACCACGATGAATAAAAAGCTGGTGAAGATAAATAAAGCCTAAACATTTCGAATGCGAGGAACGAAGTTTATTTAATCAATAAAGAAGTGATTAATTTAATGAGCTATCGGAGAACAGTTGAAAAAAAAAATAGCAAACCCGGGAGAGCAATGGCGTCATCGATAACACCATCCTTCGTATTTAGTCGTACAGCTGTTTTCACATCCTTGGAAAACAACATATTTTTGTCTCAAATATCAATGGCTAACAAATCTTGAATGAGTCAAACTTTTTATCATTGACATCCTAAATCGAATGTTTTACCTTTCACAGCAGATAAACAAACTAAGGGCTTCTTTATAGCTTATGCCTATACAAAACGTACTTGAAATAGAAGTGACTCAACACAACATCAACTTGAATGGCTAGCAATCAAACAAGAGCGATTTGTGCAGCATGAAAAATTTGATAGAACTTAACCGAAACGGCAGATGCTGTAAGCGGGACTCCAAAAACAAACAACTGGAACTGATTCAACTCAATATCATTTAAAAGGCCATCATTGTCGAAATCGCATAACTAGAAATAATTTTTATAACATCTCCAAGATCAGAAGTAACTTTTGATAATGTAAATGTAAAATTAGGTGGCTGAAAGCAGTGAAAAGCAAATCATAGACAACGGACTTTGTTCAACATCGTAAACCTACTTTGAAAATCCGTATCAGAGCCTTTTTACACTTCCTTGTTAACTCCTTATCTTCTGATATGTATAATTGACGAGTGGGATAAATAACCGCTTTTTGGGCATAATAAAATATCTCGCTAATATTTTTCATCGTTTTTGCTGAACATTCCACGCATGTTTCTATTTCATCGTATTCATTCATTATTGGAAGCACCTGTGAGAAAATTTGTTTAATTGGAAAATTAAATAATTCTCGTTAAAAATATAAAGCATACTTTCCTACCTTTTCTATATGCTTAGATGGCCCAGCTCCATCTGATTTGTTCCCAACAAAAATAATTGGGCAGCTGTTACTTTCATAAGCTTTGACTTGCTTGATCAGAGGTAACCAGATATTTGTTGCCTGAAAAGAAGTACATGTGGAATTAAAACTGAACATATACTGGAAATAGTATACGGCATCTGCCCTTTATTGATGAACCACGTTTTTCAATGATCCTAGAATTGTTTGAATTGTTAATGACAGTACACAAGTATGATATGAACAGAACAGAAAGGTTATCTTTCTTGTTATATTTAACAATCATTTAGTATTCTTCATCGCTTTCGCTGAACATTGACAAAGCATTTGAGACTTAACCAACTTTTTCAATCGACTGATGATCGTCTACAGCATAAACGAGACATATGACGTTCGCTGATGCAATTTCTATTTTAAGCTCTTCTTCAGTTTGCTCACTAGCTAAAAAAGACTCATCAAATTTCAGTAGTTATTAAAAAATACAGAACAGTGAAATTTGATTTTTAAAGGACAAGTACTCTTCCGACTGATAATATCCTCTTCCTCTTCAACATATATCCTCTTTCTCTCCCTCGTCACTCCCTCTGCACTACACATTACACCATCAATATTATGACACATTAAACATGCTGATGGTCAGCATCTTGAAACAAATAGCAGAAGAACTGACCACAATAATCATGAATTGATGTAACAACACCTTCAGGTGTAACATCAGCTGGAATCATGATATTATCAATCCGAGAGGGTACGTTTGCGCAGAATTCATCTTCAAGTAGCGACATTATCAGAGATGTCTTACCAACGCCAGCTGAAAATAAACTGAAAATGAAAAGAAAAGCACCACTATCTTTACCATTCCATCTGAAAAAAAAAAAATCAATCACTGCAGTGGTCCACACCAGAAACGGCCGATAGAAAGCAATAACCGGTATGATGGAAACCTGTGCAGTTCTTCACAAATTCTACGAAGTGGAAAAAAAATATAAAATAACACTGCAACTTACGTTCACCGATAAGTAGAATGCGTACGTCGGCATTCTTATCACTAGTATCATCTCGAGTAGATGCTTCTGAGAGAGTCATTGTTAGTGAAAATGTTAATAGTCAAATGGATGACTATCCAGTTAGTTTTCACGAATCATTTCTTGTCGTTCAAAGTTCAAGAAGTAATCTGCAAGATAAAATATTAAAAAACTCAAAAAAAAAAAAAACAGATGATTAGTACTACATCATGTGATCAATTCAATATCTATATTGAATGCTATTTCTGGGTAACAAAAAAATTTATTTATATAAATGATACAGCCGAATAGCTAAGAGGAAAAATAACGTGTTGTGAAAACTGAAGAAATCCCACAATCTCCAATAATTCAGGATAACCGGAAATACCGACAAAACCAGGACGCAATCAGTATCACGCAAGAAGCGAACCACAGCCATTAAAGCCACAAAATCAATTTCATAAAGAAGGCCATGTTGCAACCAGCAAAATACCTTCCGGCCCATGGAATGAAAGTGAGAATTGAATGGTTGGTGTTCGCTTTCGGCAACGAAGTTAGCGTAAGTGTGTTGACGTAGCGGGAATGTCGTACGTTGATGTATGAAATTTCTCGTTATCAATACAGAGTTTATATAAGGCAAATTAGTCACAAATACTTCACTTCTTCATATCCAATTTATTTTTGTTGAATATTTGTTGTTCAGGAGAAGGATGTTACACGTCGGGAAATCATTATAATCTGAAGGAAAAGTACTCCTTCTTCTTTCTTCCTTACTGCTTCATAATATTTGGTTATTTTTTTAGATTCGTAAGATAACCATTATGGTCCCACTTTGAAGATATTATTAATTCAGAAATGATTCGAATTTCTAAAATTTTCCTGCTGCTGTGGCTTTCCTGAAATCTTGTTTATGCAAATAATGCGTTCTTTTGTACTTTGTCAGATCGAATTAACTTATTTTTTTAGTGTTTCAATCAGGTTGAAAGTTCAGTTTGAAGAATTGACAACCGATACTGTCACAATATCCAATTCACAATTAAAATGGAAAGATTAAATTTTGTTACAGAAGCCAGGCATAACACAAATGATAAATTAATATAAAAGAGAAATTAGTAAACAGTATTCTAAAGCACACTTGAAAATGTAAAGATAATAAAGAAAAATTGGCGAGCAATTTTTCAAGAATTCACTCTCTATGATGTCATCATGTACGTAGATATTTTTTGGAATGATGATAGGAATTAATAACAGCAACACAACACTCAAAGTTGTCTTTCACTTTTAATGTTTATCTTTTTTTGACAGCATTTGATTAGTGATATCTGCTGCTATCGCTACGAATGATCAAATTTGTAAAATGCTATATTTCCCAAAATAGCTCGAAAAATTATTTTGTTTCCGATGAAATTTGACTTTATGTTGTTGCTACAGTATGTTGACTGAATTTTTTGCAATTCTCAATAATTTGAAACTTAAAAAGCTCTTTTCTTGGTTTGCTCAAGACCTATAGATATTAAATCACTGTCACGACCCAATTTGGCTACAGTTTCAAGAACAATAAATTCGAGAAGAATATTCAAAGTTTTTATTAGTCCACTTATCTCCAATATCTTAATGCATAGCAAATTAAATTTGTCTGGTAAATTCTTTTAAATTTAAACCGTATGAAAGGATAAGGTTGATCAGCTCTATTGAGTAATAGTTTTGTGTTGTTAGCTTTAAGTGGTAATTATTCCTTTCCAAAAAGTCAAACTGAATTTGTTCTCTAGATCAAAAAAAAAGAAAAAAAGTTGAAAGTAAGAACAGAACTATGTTTGCACTTCTTCAGAAGAATGTTGCAGTAATTAAATAGAAATTTTTCAACAAAAAACTTGAAAACAACCTTTCAAATGCGGAATTCCTATAGTATTATATCTTCTTTGGCGTGATAGAAAGTTCCGTTAGAAATTATTGTGCAACTTGGACAAAGCTAAATTGAAGCAATAAGTATGACACTTGCTTTTGTATAAACATCTTATTTCCACAACATTTCCAGACGTTATCGAAACCATCCATTCTAAATTTAATTTTAATAAGTAAACATTCATAAATGTAAGATGGAAGCAATCAGAACTAAATAAGTTTGGTGATAGATAATATTTCGAGTTCCTTTTAAATGTTAACCATAGATCCGACAAGAACAGGACGATTCATTTCTCTAAATTAAAACAATTTTAATTGTTGACCTACCGTACTCTTTGAAATTGATTTGTAATACGGAATACTTACGAGAAAATGATTTTTCCACACGAAATAACCTTATCACATTTTTGTGCCAATATTACTTCTCGATTCAAACCTATTTATTTATTACCTATTTAACAGAATTCAGAAAAAAGCAAACCAAATAAAAGAAAGATAGACTTCAGTTTATTCTTTTTTTCCATATATCAGAAGGAATCAGTGGTGTTATTTTTCTTCATTTTCATTGATTAAAATAAGCAAAAAAAGTAAACTCGATGTTATTTTATTACAAATTTGAGCCATTAGACGGAAATAAATGATTCTGAAGCTTAAAATATTTCAAGAAATCAACTTTATCTTTCTTTGGGATGCTCTCGATTTGTGTTCTTAACTATCCGATCATATAATTCCATCAGACCTCTCAATTTCGTCTTATCTTACTGATTCATAGCGCAATATGACAATATGCGAAAAGACAAAATCTATAAAAGGAAGGGACAATACCATCAGATATTCTTAGTACATCTCTAAATTTTGTCTCAGCGTGTAACACTCACGTTGAAAGTGAACAAATATGAATAGAGTGACGCACTACTCACCACAAATTATTAGCAGAAAATACCAATTTTTAGAAAAAAAAAAAAAAAAAAAAACGAAAAAAGAGGCAAATAAATATTTTCATCATTAAAAAAAATACAATTTTGGGAATTTATGAGCATTAAACGATTATAAAGATCAGTAAAATTAAAAAAAAAAAAGTTAAGAAAGTTATGGGAATTAAAGATAAATATCTGGTGTGGAGTAAAAATGACTTTAAATTTTTTTTATTTTTCAAACTTTTATATCAGAATGTCATATAGTAAGATGAAATCAGCCAAATAATCACCTTATAAAACTAATTTTTGTTTCTCGGATTTCCAATCCTACATAATCTTTTCCTTGCAATTGTTAATAATAAAAAATAACTTTCACAGTTCGATCATCTATTTGATACTGTTTGTTCCGAGATATTATATAATGCAAATGATGAAGTCTGAAATGTACAGAAAAGCGAATTTTTTTTTGCCTCTATTTTCTAAAATTAGAGAAGTAAATTTGAAAAAAAAAAAGCATAAGTGTTTGGTTTGTTCAATTAAATTTCGCGTTAAGGAAAATTAAAATGCCCAAATGGGCACTGTTCCTTTCGTTGAAACTTCTGTATTTCAGTACTTTTCTCTACTCGTTTACTTTCTTCTTTTTCTTCTTCTTCAACTCTAACATTACGTATTGAAATTCGAATATTCAGTCGAGAGATTCTAAAACATAAGATGGGTATTTTAATTTCAGTGGCATTTTCCAAACAAAGAAAAGGAATCTTTAGAATTAAGGTATCCTACTTGTTCTTCATTGACATAAACCCAGCATTTTAGCCAAATCATTGAAATCCCCATTCATTTAATATTCAATCTTTTCCTCAATGAAATTGAAAGCGATAGTGTTGCGCAAAATCCAAAATGGCTCATATTTCGGAAAAAACTGTCGTTATTGACTGATATTTGTTAAGAAAAGAAGAAAAGAAAAAAAAAATTGGAAAGGGCGAAAGTATTTTTATTTTTCAATTTTTTTTTTCTTTTAAATTTTGCACTGATTCTCAGCACACAAGCTATCATAGTGTTTTCCTATTGCTTTACCAATCTGCTTTATATTGAATTTCCATTTCATGCTTTTCTCTTTCTTTGGTTCCTAAGAAAAACATTTTAGTTCATCTTCATAATCATTCAAACTATTTTTATCATTTGTTGTACCCATATCTGATTAATCTCACCAATAATAGTGAAATCGAAAGTCCTGTCGAAATATTTGGTTACTTTGGAAACCATGTTCCATCAAACATTCGGCATTTTTTTTTTCTTCGTAGAAAAAAAAAACTTTGTGAGGGAAGGATATTGTTTAAAAAAAAAAAAAAAAAAAACTTAGGAAAGATACTGTTTGCTATTACTACTGCAACTTGAGACAATAACATTTTGGTAAAGTAAAAGTAGTAGTAGTAAGTAATGGTAGAGTAGGAAGCAATCATTGAGAATAATTAAAGCTACCGTTTGCAATTCTTCTACCTATGTTTCTTTTTTAAAGTGCAGATGGACACTAATAATTACTCTTTTCTATCGTTGCTTCCAAATGGTTATGTGTGATTTATCAACTGATACCTGTCCAATTTCTAACAGTCATCCATTACCTAGCAAATTTATTTATTTTTTGGTTATTATTATTACCAGTAATTACCGAATGTGACGTTGTATGTTACCCGTTTTTATTATTTATCCTTTATTATTCATTGTATTGTGTTACCCTTCGTGTTTCAGAATAGCATTTAAGGTGATTTCTATCTGTCTAATTCCTAATAAACATACAACTTCACGTTTTAATTATCGTATTAGTAATGGCAATAATAATTTGACATATTTGTTATTGCCGTTTCCATAATCATTGTTGTAAATAAATGTTGCATGAATTCTACTACCAATAGTAATGCTCCATAAAAATGAACTGTGCATCCAATTTCTTCGAATAGTTTCAATAATTTCCTTCAAAACTAAGATTCAAAGATTTCAAATTTTCTTCATATTGGAAGGTAAGAAGTGGTACTGTTTTATAGGAGATTTAATAAATTATAAATATGGAAGTTTAATATTTATATGAAAATTTTTATGATGAAAATAATAGTGTTCAATAAAAAAAAAAATGAAAAAATGCATCCAAAAGGAAAAAAAAAAAGATGCAGTTTGCAGCAAAAGTAGCTTAAACATATTCACTAAAAGGTGTATAGAAGGGAATGCTTCTTTAAGTATATATTATTAGTTTCACTCATTTTAATTTTAG